AATTGCAAATGAATTAGTCCGTGGTACAGACCCCTTTTTATCAAATTATTAACATCCGCTTAAAACTTCGTGAATAGCTTTATCTCATCGTGACCTACAAATATTTTATTTACGAAAACTCTTGGAATCGGGACATTTCCAATCTGAAAATCGGCAAACTATGTCTATTTAATTAGGTACTAAAAACTTATAAATACTCATTTGCTTTCCACTTGAATCGTAAGATAATTTGATCACAAAACCTAGGAAAAAGGTGCCCTACAAAAATAGTGGACCGTTTGGCGTAACCTACACCCAGAATAACGGGGTTATACAGGCGAAACGGCCCAATATTTTTGTAGGTCACCATGAGATGAAGCTATTCACGAAGTTTCTGGGGTATATTAATAATTCGATGAAAGGGGGCGTGTACCACGGACTATATGTACACCTTGTCACCAATGACTGAACACATCAATATTTCTTACAGTTGTTTTAAACACCTGTCAAATGTTATGTTGTTTTTTTAGGAACAGTTAATTGCTTTAATAAAAAACGAAAATGTGACAAAGTCAAGTTAATTTGGAAATTTTAAGTTTTTCACAACTAAAGAATTAGGTAATTGACTAGAAAGTTAGTCATTAGTATTGATTTTGTTTTGTGACTTTATATCGACAGCCACACTGCAAAAACCTGTAAGGACAATTTCCATGGAAAATGAGGTTTTGAGCTTTTGTGGTCAGTCTTGTCCTACGATATTTCATTTCTTTCCTATGGTCTTTTGTAAGAACCTTATAGTGAGTTACAGTGAAGGTTATAGAAATTGTGTCATTACCGAAAAAACAATGAAATGCTCAATGGAAGGTAGTCATGTAAATGCAGAATATATAAAGCATTTTGCAAATAGACAGTATCAATTAGCGTTATCATTAGGCTAAAATTAATTTTTCTAAGACGCTCTGTAATATTTTATTTTTAATTTCTAATAAGTGGCGAGCAGATCCAGCCCGGCCTCTCTGGTCAAATATCCGGGTTCCCCTGCTCTGATGCCGACACTGCTTACCATGGAAGCAAAGAAGAGAGTGGTATATTAAATATTATCAGTTTTCGAAAATTTACTATTTATATTTTTTTCGCCACTCTCCGTCACCTTCCACAACTTTCTATATTAGATATTGTTTTTTTTCTAAAATTCTCCGCTTTCCAACGATATATTATAAGTATACCTTCTGGTTTGTATTTTTATTTTTTCTCCTTTATTCAATTATCAAATTCTTCTTCAAAAGTTATATTTAGCATTTTCTCGTAACTTTTAATAGTGAGAGAAAGTTGATTATTTAAAATAAATCATATCAAAAGTACTTTAGAAGAAGACGTAAATGAACATTGGGCATTTAAGCCCTGTAAAATGACATCAATGGGGACAAGACCTAAATGATATTAAAGATCGCTTAATTATACAATGATACCCCGAGTTTAATCAATATCGTTAGAGCCGTTTTTGAGATAATTGTAAAAATGTGTTTCAGCGTTGATTTAAAGTGGCACTTTCGGTTAGCCGATTGTAAGGGAAAAGTTGCCAGGACATGTTAGGCATTTATCTATCTTGAATATGTAATATCAGTTTCGTACGACTTTTCGGTTTCGAGCTAGAGTGTTCACATATACACAGACACACAGACCATTTTTCGGGACTTGGTTATTTGGACTCAGGGGACCTCAAAACGTGTATTTCCGTTGAAAACTCAGATTAAAAAATTTTCGCGATCGCAATCTTACACTTACACTTACTATATATTACATATACAGGTAAGTGAAAGTCATTACACTTACTATATATTACATATTTAGGCAAATGAAAGTAATTACACTTACTATATTTTACATATATAGGTAAGTGAAAGTAAAGAATACCGATCTTTGCCCATTGTCTTGATATTTTGAAGATTGATTTATTTCAAATTATGCTTCCTCTACGATCCCTGACAACCCTCAGAGGCGTCTGAAAAGAAGATGGCCTCGAGATCTCCTTTTGTAAATACATTTTTAGAGTGCTACCAATGGGTAGTTTCTCAACATGTGATTTCATGCTATTTTATTCCTTTTTTCACATTTACTGAATGTATTTTTACTTGTAATACAGTTGTAAATATCATCAATAAAAAAAATAAAAAAATTCAAAATATATCAAAAATAGTAAGCGTAGAGTCGCAAGCAGGAAACACGAGATCTAAATTCAACGCAATAGGGAACTTGGAATTAAGAAAGTAGTGGATTATATAAGTTGCCTAGACGCGAGCTGCTTTATATCTTGCACAAGAGATCTGTTTCATAGGTAATTGAACACACTTGGATGTCACCAGTGACTGGCAGTAGAGCATTTACCTTGATGGAGAGGACAACCAACATCTATTGCAGCAAGTTGCTATCATCAAGGATATCATATTGCTCCAAGGCAACTTTAATAATTTACTTTGTATGGTTTCTACGGTTTTAAAAAAGTTATAAAAACGCATAAGAGCACATTTCAGGAAAGGAAACAAGGATTTAATTAAATTAAGTTGATTTTCGATAACTGGAATTTTTTAATGATCATTTTCCGATATCTGTAAAAGAACGTTTATTTATTCCGTAGTGATCTCTCCATCCCCAATAAGCAATCAGTTTGTATCATTCTGTTAGTTTTCTCCAGTTATCTAGATGTAGATGGAGAAAGGGTGCGAGTTGTAAGTGACAACTAAATAAATCACAAAGTGAATAATTTTTTTATAAAACAAAACCGAGAAATTTATCCAAGATATCTATAAATGGATTTCTATTTGAATATTGAGTTTCTGAGAAGGAAAATTAATTGAGTAATTAACGTTGAAACATTTTTTTTTTTCTTACCCTCCAAAATGTTTATTGAAACAATTTACATATATAGTATACAATAATACAATATATACATGTAACAAATTCCTTCCACTGCCCGAGGGCATTTTAAGGATTGGGGATAGCTAAGGGTTACATATGTGGCAGAAGGCCTTGTGACTTTCATTGAACGGGGAAGGACCGTTCTGCTAATTTTTTATTATTTACAATATATACAAATTAATGAGTTTGGACCGCAGAGACCAGACCACATCCTTCGGCGAGTATGTCCACCAAAGGGAGTTTACCTTGCCACCTCCCAGGTCTGGGTGGTGGTGAGATCTCATTGAACAGTGGGTTATGTTTCAATTATGTTTCAACGTAAGTTAACGTTGAAACATAATTATATATTCCTTAATATACTATTCTATCACGGGCGGATCTACGGGGAGGGGGGCTTTGGGGCTGAAGCCTTTCCCCCCTCACCCAAAATGGTAAAATATAACCATGTTTTATGGAAAAAAATATTAAAAAATTATCTCTTAAAATATTATTGTTCGTATAAGTACATTTAAAAGGACTTTAGGAATCACTTAAAAACCATTTCATATAGGAAGTTAGTTTCTTTCTTTTTTCCAAAGTAATTATCGTTATTTTTATGAAAAAAAAATCTTTCGGACTGAAGCAACCTCAAAAATTAAATTCTGGTTTCGCTAGTGTATTCTAGCGCTAAATGTCTAATTAGAAATTATACAAAATATCGATGAATCGTGGGAACAGATAAAATATTTTAATAAACTATAATACAAATATTGAAGACTCATTCAATTATCACCACGAAAATGAAAGTTAAAAATCGAGAACTTGGAAGGTTTGACAGCCCATATGCCAGCACCTGAGTCAGGCGGCCAACACGAAGAGTTTGGAGGTAGTCGAATTTCAAAAAGCGAAAAAACTGCCAAAAATTACGTGATCAGTAGCAGCTAAAAATCCAGCGGAAATAGTGTCAGACCGCTTTCTAGTTAGCTAAATTATGAATCTAATAGATTTTGGACAATTTGCCAGAATGCGTTAGATTTGCATTGGTAGCAGAATGAAGAAATGTCGGATTCATTGATCCATTCAGTATCCATTGATGACCATTTCAATGAAATTGTTAGTTTTTCTGGAATATGTCATTCCATTTGACTGACAAGATTTAAAAAATCACAAATAAACGCTAAGCAAATAATATTTTATGTTTACCTAGTTTACTTCCTAGGCTAATAATTCAGTAACAAAAAAAAAAGCTGCAAATTATTTCACAATGGTTTATTATTTCCAAGCAATTATACATCTAGAGTAACATTACCTTCCTAGTTCAAAATAAAAATAAATAAAAGGTGATTCCAATTATTGGACTAAGCTTTTTTTTTTTTTATCATTCTTAATATGCTAAAAAAAAAGCGTTACTTCAGTAACACATTCAAAATTTAAAAAACAAAACAAATTAATATAACATTTGCAGTAGAACATATACAAAAAAAAAACCTAGAGACCATATCTTTGCTCCTGATTGTCCGATTGTAACGATTTCTTTATGTTTTTTAGGAAATTCCGTAAACTTTTAAAATAAATATATAATATCCACGAGAAAGTGTAAAATTTTTGAGTTATTCAGAATTTAATTTTACCATCCCCGAGAAAATGACATTAGCGAAGTTTTATTGAAATCGGTACATTCGTTTAGGAGCTACAGTATATAGCAATGCAGGTTTTTCGGCCGCCATTTTGAAAGTAAAAGGAGGATAGTAATGTCGATGAAGGACGATCATCCTCGGATGACCTCTGATTTTATATCCAAATTTGAAAAAAAAATCGGGCCAGTAGTTTCGGAGAAAACATGCGGACAGCGGACGGCGGATGGACAATAAAATTGTTATTCGTTTTTCGAATTCTACGTATAATGAAACGCGAAACCTCAACTTTTAAGAGGGAGTTAAGTTTTTGAATTTTTTGGTCAATCACAATGGTTCATTATTGAAAATAATAAACCAAAAATATTTCAATATTTCTAATGTTGTCCATGAATCTGACATTTTCAATTTTTGTATCATCAGCCAATATTCTTCTATTTTACTATTAAATTGAAAAAAAAATAGATGGGAAGGACAACTAATTCGAAATTTATGGTTGCAAAAACTAATCCTTGGGGTTTCGTCAAGATATTGGATGTGGATACGCTATTTCTTGGGATCCATAAGCGGGCAAACAAATTTTACGTTATCTCTCCGACCTCTGATCTCTCGAACTTCTACTTGGTAAACCACCGACCATGTGAGTCAAGGACGTTAAGATCTATCTCGTTGGTTTTGACAGCTTTGATATACTTTGAATAGTAATATACTAACAGTTAGTAATGATGTCAGTGTGTACGATAGTAAGTTTTTTAACCTAACCGGTGTCAGAGAAACATCGTACTATGCATATCGTAAAGTGACTGTAAGTACCACTGCTTATTCGTAAATCGGAAATCTAACCAATTGTTATATTTGACATTACCAATTCGCCGGGAATATGAAAATACTTGTACCGAAATTATTTTCATATTCGATTAATAATTTGAAGCTACAGCAGAAATGCAAAGAATGCAAGAATGTAAATCGGCTGAAGGAATAGACTATAACATCTTCATTTGCATTCTATATACTGCTATGTTCCTGGCCTCGCGTTTCTACGGCGAGTAGGGGTTTCCAGGAACCGCATTTATTTGTATTTATATTACTCCACAGGTGGTCTTATAGAGCTTATAGTTTCCATTTTGTGAACAGCAAAAAAACTAAAATGCTTTTATTTTTTCTCGTAATACAAAAAGTAATTAACTCCCACCTTCTAAGCTCGAATGCAACTGTTTCAAAAATAGCGGTACTTTCTTCAATAAAAAGTTTAACTTCATCTTCATCTTCATATGTAAGACTAGTTAACATAAAAACAATTTCTCAATTTTCCAAATATTTTTTCAGAATAATTAACAATAACTTGACGACAAAGTTCTTCAGCTCTGTCTAGTAAGTTTTCAAAAACAGCTCCCAGTAAAAAAGAGCAACAAGTAGTACCAAACACCGCGCGAGAATATTGTAAAGCCTACACACTGCCATTTATATCTATCCACAGAAGTTTTAAAAATTCTCGGTCATCATTATCATTATCAACATTAGCATCTCTTGCAATAGAATCAGGTTCAGATTTCTATGTTCAGGAACAACTACAAACTCCATCTCCTTTTTGTCTCTGTTTCGCTTCCTTTATATATTTGGTTGTTCTTTCATCATCTTCAATGACATGATGCAATCTTTCAGATCTGCAACATTTTTCTTACTTTGAGATACATTTCTTTGTTTTATCTTCTAGCAAAATATCTTCTTCTTCGCACTTTTTCATCTCTTGGCTTTTTCTTTTCTACTTCTTTTTTGGAAGTGTTTCAATTTTAGGACTCGTCATCCAAGCGCATCCCATCTTTGATTCAGTTAAACTCTTATAAAAATTTTCATCTGATTTCTTTTCAATTAAACTACCATCATCAACATGCTTATATAAAAGTTCTTTTATCTGAGTGTCTAAACTAAAAAGTCTCTCAACTTTAAAAACGCTCACTCAATATCAAAAAAGGTAATAAAATATCATCTGTTCTGTAAACCTCTTCTTTGTACAATTGGGGCAAATCTCTGTGGGCCAAGTTAAATCGTTTCCGTACCTTTCTCTGTATAAATTTTCGAATGAACTCATCATAAATTCAATGAATAAATTTACTACACACCAGTTCCCCGCAAGGGATGCCAGTATTTTTCGTAATACAAAAGTATATAACCATGGGAACTTGAAAAAAGTAGTGATATAAAAAACAAACACAAAATATTTTTTTTATTCAGACATGCTTATTTTGGAAGGAGGTTTCAACATTGTTGACATATGTGAAATTAGGATTTGCATTTGGTCTATATTTTTTTTGGTTAATCTTCCAACTTTTTAAAATGAAATTCATCGAAAAGTAGGAATGTATATGTGGCAATACTTTGTAGACTATGTGTAAATAAGCGCTGCTTGATCAAATCACTCTCCACAAAATCACTCAGCCATATGACCTAGCGTTTCATAATTTCGAGTGCTATGTTTAGGTTACAAATTTTTCACGCGTTTTTAAATTAAGTATGAAAAGATATTCCACAACACACTACACACATTCAGCGATGAAATGAAATTTCAGGTATATGTACTAACTTGTATTTTTTAGATCTAGCATACTTTTAAATAAACCAACAGAAAAGGTTTTGCTCACTCGTAAATAATATGTGTTTATATTAAAGAAAACTAGTTGGCCCGTGCGAATAATTCGCAGAAAATTTTGTTTAGTGAAAAAATAGCAAAACAATATGGAAAAATAAGCAGTTCGTATGTATTATGTAAGGAAGGAATTATTATTTTTACCTTGGTCGATTACAATATTCCATTAAACATAATAGACCAAAATATTTGTACAAATTACTTTGCTAGGACATATTTAAACACTGACTGGAAATATAATAAAAGTAATAAAGGCAAAATAATGCCTCAACCATGAGATTTTCTAAATTATTAAAATAAAATAAAATGTAAGAACAATCAAATGACTTTAAGAAATAATAAAATTAATATATCAGCCAGGAAAAAAAAGTGTAGTAGACTATTCTACTCCTAAATGCAATATTTTTAAACAGGAAGACATTATTAAGTATACCAAAACTAATGGACTGTATCTTTGTTAATAATTGTCCAATTTTTAAGTTTTTGTTTTGTTTTGTAGGTAATTTAGTAATCTTTCTAATTATCATGGTACAATCAAGAAAAAGATGCATACGTTTTGAGTTATTCGCAAATAAAGCCTCTTTTCCTCCATAATTTTCTTTCCAGAAATTTCGGGGAGATGGGACTATTTTTCGCATGTGAAGGAGAAGAATATCTTCAAAATGAGTGGTCAATCATTGAATTCGATGAAGAATTGACGAAGTTATGGCGTACCGACAAAAAAAAACCTTTTAGAAATAATATGTAGGATAGAAGAGCCGTGCTCAGATAATCGTCATGACAACGACTTCACTTTTCATTATGATGTTTTTTCCTGCCGTTAACAAAAACATTCATAACTCCTCAGGATTTTATCCTAATTCAATGTTTGTACTACCGTTGAAAAGCTGAATTATCGCTCTTCAAGACCGTATAAACTTTTTGATTTAAAACGTCTATAAAGAGTAAATAAATAAAAACTCCTAACAGATTTTTGTATTATAACTTGAGTTATAAATTATTTAGGAAGGTTTGTGTCGTTCCGTGTAGTTTATAAGCATCCCTGCATCCCTGCGAAATTTCGTTTAAATAGGTGTAAGAATATTGATTAAGGGAATTGGAATTAATAATAATGTTGTGGGGAATAAACATGACAAAACTGAATGTTTCATGATATGGGTATATGGTTAATTATTTTATAATTTATCAGGAGGAATCACTAGCGGATCCAGGATTTAATTTTGGGGGGGCTTCAGCCAGAAACCTTTTTTTTCCAGAAAAATAACGAAAATTACTTTGGAAAAACAGAAAGAAACTAACTATCTATATGAAATGGTGTTTAAGTTATTCCTTAAGTACTTTGAAATGTAATTACACGAACAATAATACTTTAAGAGGTATTTTTTAATTTTTTTTCCCATAAAACATGGTTGTATTTTTCCATTTTGGGGGGGGCTTCAGCACGAAAGCCCCCTCCCCCGTAGATCCGCCCGTGGGAGGAATGGAGGATTGAAACAGTTAGGCATTTCCAGATGTAATTTATGTTGTATTTTTGACACCATATATGCGGAGGTTGCTAACTTAACTTACTCCTTATATTTGCAAGTAATTTAATTTTTTTTTTTTATAATTTCGTGGATCCATTTAAAAAATATTTTCTGTCTCAATGCGAAAAATTGTCATGTAACCTTTCAGAAAATTAAATTAGTGAATAATTTAATGAATTTTCCCTTTGCGATATTCCAACAGAATCCACTTATAATCAGTGTGACAACTTTTGACCTGTCTATGACAGACAATGCGAATCTCTTAATTCCGTTTTGGTAAACTTTGCAATGGAAAATAACAGTTGAATAATTAATTGTCGTACGATCCATAATCAAACCATCGTACAATCCATAATCAACGGATTTTACAATCTATAATCAAACGGTGATACAATAAACAGGACTTTTGTTATTTTAATAGTATTTATGATTTGTTAGCTGTAATCTTTTAGGTTTAGCTCAGTTAAAAAATGCAATTGGAGCGGTTGACTTTTATTTCGTGGCGGACCCACGGAATGAAACTCGATTCTCCCACTCTGGTTACAATATGTTTGGTTATACCTCTAGAACACAATACTCCTCCCCCCCCCCGTATGCCAGAAATGGTGTGTAGGGGGTTATCCAATAAATACTATTTTAAAAAATAAATAAAAAATTGAATATTTAATAGTTGACCGTTGGCTAAATAGTGATAAGACTATTTTATTAAAAGCTGGCGTTTCGACCCAACTTTGCAGGTCTTCTTCATAATGGTGTGTTCATCTAGGAGTTTCACTTAGAACTGAAAATTGAGTTGAAACGCCGGTTTTTAATAAAATAGTTTTACCACTATTCAGCCTAATTATGACCGCCACCCCGGACCATCTCCTTCCTTTATAAATAAAAAATATTTGGTTTGCTAGAAAAGTAACCTTTTTTATTATCAACTCCTCTCTTATTTATTAATTTCAAATCTTTCAATTATTTCTCTATGTTATTGTTTAAGCAAGAAAAGGGGTGCTCATCTCCCCCAAGGTCGATGGTGCACGAATCATCTCCCTATCCAAAAATTTTATATCTCTCTTCTTCTTAAAAGCAGTGCAAGAGAATGTAGGATTAGACAAATCGTATAACCTTTACAATTACACTTGTAGTGGTCCGTCCCATGTTTCCTAATAGTTCTCTGTTTTGAAACTTTTCACTCAGAACATTCATAGCTTCGTCGAAATGTGCTCAAAAATTTTGATTGCGCAACTTGCGCCATGAAACCCCCAGTGCTGTGTACTCCTGTGCGAAATAGCATTAACTCCTAATTGCCCAGGACCGCAAACAATAAGGTAGAAATGATAAATTTAGATACTTACTGAATTGCTTATAATAATAGAGCTTATAATCAATCCTAGGAACAAAACGTTTCTCGGTTTCTTAAAATGGATAAAAACATCAGTTTAACGGTAAAACTTTTGTAACTGTAACAGATAACATTCCTGGGAGCGAACTCACTCTTTGGACGGGTGGCCTCAGCCCTCTTGAGCAGAACTCCCTCGGTAAGGACACTCAAGCTCTACGATGAAGTGGACAAGCCTGAACTGGAGTCGACTAGCGTGCCGACCTGCTTGGTCCAATGGCACCACGGCAAGGAGGAGCTTACCTTCGCTCTCGAGGTGACCTAACCATTGTAGTTTGTATATTTTATCTTTTTATAAATCTATATTTTTGGATTGGTATTTAAAAGAACAATAGACATGTTTTTGTCCCGAGAATATCATATTTGGGCCTTTTAGAAATGAAATAGAAATCAATATCAAGGTATTGGTATTAATAGATACTAGTTGGCCCGTGTAAAAAATTCGCACAGCATATTGTTAAGTGATCAAATGCCAAATTAATAATAAAATAAAATAATGCAACGTATAAAAAGATGAGGAAATCAATTGTTATTTTATCGATAAATAAAATCGACAAAAGGAACAAAATTAATTTAAAACCTCATTAATGTTTGGAACAACTTGTTTACAAATTTCAATAAGCTGTATCTTTGCTAAAAATTGTCCGATTTCAATGATTTTTTTTCCCCTTTTGTATGGAATTTAGCAATCTTTTATATAATCATGGACATAGGGAAAAGTGTGTAATTTTTTAATTATTCGCAAATAAAGTTTCTTTCCTACATAACATGTTTGCCCGAATTTTCGGGGAGATTGGACTATTTTCCCGCCTGAAGGAGAAGAAAGCCTTCAAAATTAGTGGCTCAATCTTGAGATTTAGTGAAGAATTACGATGATATGGCTTTCCGATCAAAAACACCATCGATAAATAATATAAACTCCTTCTCTCTCGATTATAGAGGCCTCAAATCGACGAAATGAGACATGTATTCAATGACGGTAATACAATTAATGTAAGGTTGTTTGCATGCAAACCCTATGCCTTGCGTTAACTCGAAAATAGTACGTTTTGGGACTTAAAAATGCAGGAACTATCCGGGTCTTGCAGTACGTATCAAAATCTTCAAAGTCCAATTGCTCCCGTATCGATCTACAGACTTACCACCGTTCCAATATTGAAGCCTAACAAAATGTTTGTATCGACTTTATTTATTTCAGAAAGAAAAACAAAAGTGGAGAATACGATTCGCTAACCCGCGTGAAATTCTGAATCCAACTGTACCCCATTCATGGAATTTGAGCATGACAGGAGCTTATATTTGGTACAAACTCGATATTGAGCTTAACTGTAATAATATATGTGGGGATGGGGATGGGGATTAATAAATAAAAGTAGAAAAGATATAATCTAGCGCTTTTTAGAACCATCCCACAGAATAATTTACTATTGAACCTTAGAAATAATTTTAACGGAGAATTCGGAAAAAATAAAATCACTCACCACTTAATCAAAATAAATAATTGTTTTTGTTTTTTTGACACTTTACAGGAAAATTTAACCAGAATTTGTCTAAATATCAAAACAAGCAAGCAAAAGTCACTTGATATACTGTACCGAATCATATTGAAATTGCAAGGCTATTCCAACCTATTGAGTTGCTAATTCACACCACATATTCAGCGTTTGACAAATGCTTTTTAATTCAAGATGTCTCCTTCTGAAATTCTATCCCCTCAGACATTCGACTCGCAAAGTCAGTATCCTCTTTCAAATGTCTCCATCTCCATCTCTTCAAACACCTACTCCATTCCCAATCCGGTTGATCATGAAATGCCCTGAAAAATCCAAGTCGTATGAATCTCAAAGTTTGATTATTTATTGATTTTTTGATATTTTGTTTATTTATTTTACTTTCTCTGTTTATTTTATATTTAATAATAATGCTTTATTTATTCTGGGAAGTGTCCCTTTAGAATAATACAGAGAGGCAAAGATGTGGGCTAAGGAGCCTCAGAGATACATAAACAAGAAAATAGTTTGATTAAATAGTCAAAATAAAAAAAAAATAATAAAAGAAATTATATGTTACGTTTTAATTTAAATCAGTTAATAATAAAAAATAAAAAATTGAAAATAAGCATGAAGTAAAAATAATGAAAGACGATCTAATAATTTATATACTTATTTACAGTAGTAGCTATTTACAATTTTATGAGGGCTGGATGGATAAGAAATGGTTAAAGTCGGGATTTAAAGGTAGGAAGAGCTTTGGATTGACGGATGTGGGGAGGGATGGAGCTACATAGGGTTGAGGATCGAATAATAAAAGATTTATCGAAAGCAGCGGTTCGGTGGGCCATTATGTATAAATCTGAAGACCGGGAACGGGTATTGCGATAGTGGACTGAGGATTTAAATCGAAGGAGCTCGGAGATGTATGAAGGACGGCGGGAGTGAATTACTTGGAAGAGGAAGGATGCCAGAAAATACAGCGGTAGGAAGGATAAAGACATTTCAGCTATTCATAAAAACAGGAATCATATTTATGTATTTTCTAATACCGTATTATTATTTGTACTTTTATTTTATTACTGATCATCCTGTAAATATTTAATTGTATTTTGTGGACACGCCAGAACATTAATATAATTTCTGTATTTGTAATTAGTTCTAAAGGCACACTAGTCCCAGAATAATAAAATTATTTTCATTCATTCATTCACATACTGATCAGTCAAATAGATATTTAAGAAAACCAATGATAGAGAATTAGACGGGGACTATCCCGTCGCATTACCACATGCTATGATTTAATAGCATTTAATAGCATTTAATAGCATAATTTACTTCGCCAAGGTGAGGATTAATACAAATAATGAAGGATTCCCGGTGAAGTCAGAATAGTCAGGCCCGTTCTGGCTTTGTTTGGGGCCCTCGGCTGGAGTCAGAAGCTGGGACCGACTAAGTGGTTTCCTAAGATTTAAATATATAATAAACTAACCCAAATATACATAGCAATTATTTTTGTTGCCAAACAACAGCACTAGAAAAATACAAACGATATTAGGATTCCTCAGAAGGGGCTCCTAATCATTCTAAGGTGTTTATCAATTAACAGTCGCCGCTTCGTGGTCCTTCTAACGAGCAGAATAAACACGCCATTCCAACTCCGGACACCTCACCTTCGGAGATCAAACCGAAATGACAGAGCTTCGAAAAGATTTTCTCCTTCTTGAGTGAGGGAGATGGAACAATCTCTTCTTTTTCAAAGGGGGTAGTAGTGATGTGAGAGGACACCTAAAGAGTAGGATCATCTAGGCAAGCTATCAATGGAGAGAGAAGAGATAGCTGGGCAGAATAGGTTGCGAGTTAACACCTTATATGTAGGCAAAGTAAACAGTGATTGTTTTATTCGAGAGAAAACAAGATCATTTGAAGATATATGTTGTTAATGATTTGATGAGAGCTATCAATATTATTTTAATAGTTTATAAACTATGTTTTTTTTTTCAGAAATTCGTGCGTTTTTAGGTCTGACATCCCTTACAGTTATTAATCGATTAAAATATTAATCACTGATGAGAATATGTAATATATGATGTTCTTATTATTTCAGGGATCCGACATAGTTGTTATAGGAGATGATAGTAAAATGATTTTGAATAATGAAAAAGATGCTCTTTTATCTACAGCGTCCAAGGTAGTGGATTTTGTATATGCTGTGGCCCAAACAACTCCCAAGGTAAGACTGTTCAGTACTTTATTTACAGATTTATTTCTTATATATATTTTTTTTTACCTTATGCCTTGATCGCCTTGAGCTCTTTCGGGCATGCGACGTCTAGCAGCTCAGTAATTTCACCTTTGTTTCTAATGTCCTGTAGTCCGGAACAATTCAGTAGATGTAGAGCAGTTATGAATCCTTGTCGACACAGAGGACATGTTGCTGATTCGACAACTCCAATACGGTATAAATGTCTTTGGGGATAGTCATGTCCGGTTTTCATCCTGAACAGTGCAACGGCCTCACTTCTAAGGAGATCCACTGGTATTCTTCCATTCAACAACTTTGCACTACTTTCCATGCAAAAACACCAGCTCTCCCATCCTTTCTTGCTCTATCCTCAGAACCGTCTGTTTACACGTGTAACGATGGAGTGCCTCTTCCTCTCTCAAGTGCTAAATTCCTTAGTTCTATCTTAGAGCAACTTTTCTTATTGATTGGTTGCAGGAGCTATAAATTGGTTTGTGCTGACTTTGTAGAGACCCTTGGTGGAATCGTCATGAAATTTCCTCTTGAATAAATTACAATCCCTTTAATTTCTCTAATTGTCTCCAATTTCTTCGTGAATGTAACTTGGGCTTTAAGCCTAGTTGTGGCAGGTTTACATTCCTTCCAGTAGTTAATTCCAAACGCATCATTTTCTCACTCATTGTTAGCGCAGCGATCTCATTTCGTACCTTGATAGGTTCTATACACGTTTGTGGCTGCATAGCTTCATAACCGAATATAATGTATGAAGAGAAGAATGGTTGGGCTGATCAGTCAGAAATAAGAAGACAAAAATTAATAATAATATTTATTTTGACATTTGCCGACATTTCGACCTGAAGTTCAGATCGTGATTTCTGACTGATCACCCCAACCATTCATCTCTTCATCATTCACGACAGGCAACCATTAACCCACAATTATAAATATAATTTAGTTTGTAATAAAATGTATTTCATGTAACATTGTATTTATGTACTCAGGGATGTCGAGGATAAAAGTAATTATGCAGAAAATGGCTGACCATATGGAAGCTGGATCCAAGATTACCAGACCTATGATTGGAGAAAGGGTATAATATGACCAATTCACAAGAAGGACTTTTTCTTGAAATGTGACAATTATCACTTCTACAATGGGCATATAAAGTGCTTTCAAATGTTCTTTTCATAAAGCTTATTCCTCGCTCGCTGAGCGAGAAGTTGGCAGATATCAGTCAGGATTTAGATAGGCGCATGATGCTGGAAAAAAGGTGTGGAGTATGAGATGGTCACACACTATCTTTTTATAGATTTCCGAAGCGCTTCTGGCAGCATTAATAGGTCTAAGCTTTATGAAGCCTTGCGCGAATTCGGGATCCCATCCAAGCTCGTCCACCTAATCCAAATTACGATGAATGATGTTAGATGTGCAGTCCGAGTACAACAGGATTTATCCCCCGAAGAATGAGACAGGTCGATGCCCTAGCTTGCTTATTATTTAATTTTGCCTAAGAAAGGGTAATAAGAAAGGATGGAATTGAAACTACAGGCACCATTTACGATAAAATAGTACTATAGTAGGTGCTTGGCTAAGAGGATGATTTAGACATTGTAGCGAGGTCTTTGAAAGCCTTAAACGATGCTTTTCTTAATATAATAGAAGAAGCTGCAGACATGGGGCAACCAAGATGCTGTCATTGAGGATGCTCAGGCCCTTTTGGGAGTACGGAATTGGAGAGCGGCTTCACAGGATCGAGCAACTTGGCGAAGGCTAATTGAGAAGGCCATATAGTGCTGTAGTACCATTGGGATGGAATGGAGGAATGTTAAATTTGTCCCATACATTAGTAAGCACATGAAGTAATCGCCGGTACCATGTTAAAGTTTATCATGGCGTCAACGAAATGACGAGAACCAACAATTGATAAATGAAAAGTTGTAAATGCCCTAGAAATAATGAAAATTAAAGCAGCCATATGGCCTCTCCACTTTAAGTTAGTGTTCAAGAAATTAATTCATCCGTAAATTAAAAACTTAAAACCTTTTTATTTATTTATTTTTAGGTTATTTTATTCTTATTTATTGTATATATATTATTTTTCTGTATAATTTATTTATTGTTCATAGAGTGTGAATGTGATCTGTGAACTCAATTATAAATGTCCTAGAGACAGATTGTAATATTTTTCAATAAATAAGTTAAAAAAAAAATATTGAAAACAATTATCAGGATACATTGGCGGGACCACGAAGAAGGGTTGAAATCACGAAAAATTCAGAGGCTTCTGATTTTTATGGATGAGAACCGAAATGTTTATTCCGAACTAACTATTTCGATATTCGGCATTGATGGCGACTGGATGCAGTTACAAGCTAAGTGCAATCGAATTAAAGTACCGAGACAGCCCCAAAGTAAACAATGTCGACCGATCTTCATATTTTCCCATTAAACCGATTTCACCATGGTATGGTTCAATCGGTTGAATATAATTCTGTCTCGGTAACTTTTATAATTCGATCTGCACTTTAGTCTTGTAATCTTGCATCCAGTCGCCATATCAAATGCCGAATATCGAAATAGTTAGTTCGGAATAAACATCATTTCGGTTCTCATCCATAAAAATCAGAAGCTTCTGAATTTTTCGTGATTTCAACCCTTCTTTGTGGTCCCGCCAAAGTATCCTGATAATTGTTTTCAATAATTTTTTTTTTTAAACTTATTTATTGAAAAAATATTACAATTTGTCTCTAGGACATTTATAATTGAGTTCACAGATCACATTCACACTCTATGTACAATAAATAAAACAAATTATACAGAAATATAATATATATACAATAAATAAGAATAAAATAACCTAAAAATAAATAAATAAAAAGATTTTAAGTTTTTAATTTACGGATAAATTAATTTCTTGAACACTAACTTAAAGTGGAGAGGTCATATGGCTGCTTTATTTTTCATTATTTCTAGAGTATTTACAACTTTTCCTCTATCAATTGTTGGCTCTCGTCATTTCGTTGACGCCATGATAAACTTTAACATGGTACCGGCGATTACTTCATGTCGATACTAATGTATGGGACAAATTTAACATTTCTCCATTCCATCCCAATGGCACTACAGCACTATATGGCCTTCTCAATGAGCCTTCGCCAAGTTGCATATTTTTTTTCTAGAAAACGTAGTGCTTCCAATCACCATGTTCTTAGATGCCGCAAAATTAATTAATAAACGATCGTTTTCGTTTGAGTTTTCTTGGAGACTGTATTTTCCTATTTTCGGCTAATAGATAGATTCCCTTCCTATTTTTGTATTAAAGAGTCCAAGAACTACTTTAATATCACTTATATGGCAGCTATCTACTGTTCATTTATAAGGTCATATAAGGTTTTTTTTGTCCTCTTCTGGTGAAACCTCTGCCGGAGTATGATAGTTAAAGATGCTGTAGTTATAAAATTTTCCTCTGATTCTCGGAAATGCGATGGCTAACTGGCGTAAAGTCTATGACGCAGTCTCTGCCTCCCCTCCTAACAAATAATTCCGTTCCAAAAGCATGATGTTCCTAGCAGCTGGAATATATAATGTGGATGCGCTTTTCAATAAGTTCCTTGCCCTTCCATCTTACTTCTTTGATTGCAGCAATGGTGTCTATTTGGTATCTGTCTAATTCAGATAGAAGTAGTCGAAGCGACGCCAGTCGGTGTAGGGATAAAATAATCCATTGTCCATTATTTAAGTCCTGTTGGCGAATCCTGTATCGTTTTCATTTATCAGTCCGGCTAATTGTCTTTGAGGTTTCTTGATTTGTTGAAGTTTAAGTGAAGTGAGCAATCAACCCAATCTGCCCTGAGTCAGGTGGAGGGAGGGGCTGTCTCCTCTAAACACCCTGACTTGCTCCCCCGTCCTAGGGGCGGCTACCTAGGAAAGGTAGGGTATGTACTGTTTATAACTTCAATCTGTAGTGTAACGGTGTTATGGTATGCTGGAAGAGTGTACTCTTCTGGTGAGGTGGGCATGGCATAGTGAACTCGGGATCTTGGTGGCGTTACTAACTAAAAGGATTCATGCCTAGCCCCTCCTCTGGGATTAACATTTCTTAAGAAATGTGAATTTCAGATATATTACATCTGTAAAATAAATTTTTCTTTTACAGGCGATGGTCGTGGTCGCTGCACCACCACTCAACTTGATGGTACCACTGGCCGGGTATGTTCTTAAAGAGCTCGACTGTTACGATGGTCGTAAACTACTTGGAGTGACGTCAGTAGATACCCTAAGGGCCAACGCTATTTATTCAGAATACATCGCCCAGCCTAACTCGATCTTGCCCGTGGTCGGAGGGGCGTCTCCCCAAACTAGGGTGCCTATATTCTCACACGCAAGACCGAGCTTGGATTTGCCCGAGGTTTTTAATACCCATATTTTAATTTTCATGCATTCATTAATAATATAAACTTACGAAATAGGTGAATTCCAGGTATCACACCATAATTCAAGGTTATCAATCATATATAATATAAATATTCTTTAAAAATAAATTTGGTGGAGATATCGTTGACCCTAGATGTAATCGAGAAGTTGGTTGAAGAATTGCACAACCTATATTTTCTATTATATCTATATTAATTCTTTGAAGCTGTAATTATTTTATGATGTTTTAAACTTACTCTACGATTTTATTCTATACCGCGTCCTCGACCAATTTCTTTGTAAATACTTGCTCTGTCTTCCTTCCTGAACTTTCAATAATCAATCATATTTATTTTGATTTTGTAATTGTAGGAAGATGTGCATCGTCTAATCGATAAAATCAAGAGCTTTGATTTGAACATGGATGGTCCCGAATTGAAAGCAAGTACCTTGGAGCGAGCATACGCTACAGTGAGGTTGGTTAACTCGTTACTCTCCGGTCTACAGGACGAACCGAGAACCAAAGAGATGGCCCTAGCCAAAACCTCTCTCATACCAGAAGTCAACTATTTCTCGCTCCCTGTGAATCTTGGAAAATTTGGAATAGAACGAACTTTCGGTTTGCCACAGTTATCGCCATTGGAAACAGAGATGGTAGATTATGCCATAATTAATCTTAACCATGATCTGATAAAAGCTCAAGATCTATACGCCTCTTTTAAACCATGTTTTGAGATGCTCAAAAGCATCGTTGGTGGTCCCAGCAGGTGTAATGATGTAACAAATGAAGATTGCGCCTTATTAATTGGTCATAAAATTGATACGAGGAAAAGAAAAGATAATAAAATGAAATCAAATAAAAAAAAACGAAGTGAACAACATACCCGAAACCGTAAAAGAGCACGCGCTAACAAATTTCCAATCTTACACTGTCCGGCACCCGAGGTTGTTACAGACATGCCGATTGAGGAAAAATTCGGGAAGATTGAACGAGTACATAAGAAACTCCAGGTAAATCAAATATTACAGGAAAGAAACGTGGATGAGCTCCCTAGTCTAAAGTGTAAAGAAGTGAGTGATGTAAGCCAACAACAAAGTCGATTAGGAACTACTGGTAGTCCATCAACGCAGTTTGATCGAATCGATGAAAATATTGATTCACTTCCTGTTTTGATTAGTTGTACGGAAACCAAAAATGTTCAAAAGCCCTTTTTGAATAGTGAGGTACCAAAGACCGTAGGTTTCACTGATGCACGAAAAAATTCGAAATGTATGGATAAAGCAGTGAAACAAAGTGTTGGCAATAAGAATGAAACAAATTTAAGTGAAAATGTCAAAGTAACAGTTGATCTCAAGTATAAAATTAAAAGCAAAAACCCTTATGAACATTTACAACCTCATGCACAAAGTCAGTCTTCAAGGATTGAGATGATGAAATCGTTGATGCAGCAAAAGCAGATGAAATACCAAAATACGAAAGCTTTATGTCGAAGTAATTCTTCCACAAGCCAAAATCAAATCGAATATTTAAAAAAAAAAGCAATGGAACTCAACACTTCTAATATTAATCGTTCTCTAAACAAACCTAATTCCAGAAAATTCCAAACACCACAAAAGCCAAAAAAAGAAGTATGCGAATCCAATAATGAAGAAATTTCAGGAAAAGAAATAAACAAAAGTTTGCATTCTGTGGAGCCAGTGAATTTACAGCAAAAAGAAAATACAAACACGATATTGCTTGAAAACGACTCATTTGATGAACAGTTCAGCTTATTAATGGAGAATATAGAAGAACAAAATGGAACAAAAATATCAGAAGAAAAAATAAAAACAAGAATAGAAACTAAAGGTAATCAAGAAATGTTAACTCCAAAAAAGGAAGTTGTTACTATAAAACTAAATGAAAAATACACTGAAAACCCGCTTGAAAATAAAGTTGGTAGTTTGAAAGCTGAAGGTAAGATAAGTGAAGTAAACTATGAAATGGACCAGAAGACAGGAATTAATACCTTTTCAGAAAATAATGAACTGGCTGAGAAACGAGAAAATGCTCAAGAAAGTTGTAGTTCAAAAGATGAAAACAATGAAAAGGCTTTAGAAAAAGATAATATCAACCTACAGACTTTAATTTGTGAAGGAAATAAAAGTAACAGTCCACTACCTTCAGCAGATACTGATAAAATAAAATGCAGTGAATTAAGTAAAAATAAGATTATTCCAGAAGAAAAAGTTACTGTATCTGAAAGTGTAAATAAAATATTGGAAGATAAAAGTGATTGCGTCGTTTCAAATGTTAGTTTAGGGAAACGTTTTGATAAAGACATTCATGACCAAAATCTTATGCACCCTCAGATTAATAACATAACTGATACTCCGAAAGAAGCCGAAAAACAGTACATAAAAGCGAGTATATATGACGTCACTCAACAAACAATCGACGAAGAAATATCTAGACAAATAAACGAATCAGTAGAAAGTAAAAAAAGTGAAAAAGAAATTTCTAAACAAAAATTTTCATTCCCTGGCGGCCAAATGTTAGATGAAGGTGCAGCCGTAATAGAAATCGATGCTCAAGAAAAACTTAAAGAATTGGAATGCTTGTCAAAGAGGAAAAAAAGAGATGAGCTTAAAGAAAAAAATCAAAAGAATACTACAAAAGTTAGCTACGATCCTTTAGATCAAGTAAATAAAATTAGAGAGATAACATTGCAGCAAATCAAAGATCCGTTAAAATACCTGAATTATCCAAAACAGGAGGAGAATAGCGGGATGGAAAAGGTTGAAGAAACTGAGAAAGATAAGGAAAGAAAGAAAGTGTTGGGGGTTGAGGAAACTAAGGGAATTGATGAAACTAAGGAATCTGGCTTGGAAGGCCAAGTTTCCGAAAGTATTGAAGTGTTCAACTATGAACCGAAAAATATGCATGATACAAAAAATATAACAAATCTAAATGAAATCATACAAAGTTTAATAAAACCAAATAAACTTGAGGTAAATTCTGAGCAGCCACCTCCCGTAGTTCAGAAATCAATTGATAACATAAAAGGTGACTTACACGTTGACTCAAAGCCGACTAAGGTGAAGGTGATAAATGTGAAGAAAAAAGAATCTATGGAGTCTTACCAATTGTCCAAACATAAAAAACAGAAGAAGGATGACAAACGAACTCATGCGAGTGTCAATTTAGTTATCAAGAAACCACCGAAAGAAACCCCTTTCCCTTATTTTAATAGGATAAAAGAAATACCCAAAATTGAAACTTTTGATAAAAACAAATGGCTAAAAAAGAAAATACAACCAGAACCAAAAGAAGGCTCATCCGTTGAGGTAAATCTGAAAGCCATCGATGAAAGCAAGGCTCTAACAATTCATTCACGAAACATAAATGAATCATTTACGAAAAGAATTCAAAAAGGTCACCACTCAAATAAAACAAATAATGACATAAAGTCCATTAGCTACGCCATTGATACTAAAAGTAAGAAAGATGAATTATCTAAGAGGTATACAATTTTGAAAAAGGGAAAAATATGTAATATGGTAAAAGAAGATATTAACGCTGATGAGTTCAAGGCGAAGTTGTATCAAAATTCACTTTTGAGAAGTACTATTAAATCAGGTTCTAAACGAGATGATAAAAAAATTACTAACTTAAAAAATCTTACAGAGTCACTTAAATCTCCTCCTACTGATAAAGAAATATCGTCTTCCAAACCATCATCTGAAGTTTTAGAAGCTATAAAGAAAGTTTCCACCGATATATCAAAGGATTCTAACGATTTAAAAAAAATAAATAAGAGTAATAATAATACCATCAAATTGCAAAATAAAAGTTTTTTAAACTTGATTGCCAACAAGATATCGAAAAGATCCACAACCTTAAATGAGACAACCGAAGCCATCGGAGTAAGAGGGTCACATTATGGATCAGGGACATTTCATAAAAAACCTACAATAACAAATGAACAGCAAATTCAGCAGCTAACTAAAAAAGCCAAAGAGCAGTTGAACATAACTAGGTTTAAAAATAATAAAAGAATATCACCAGGGCTATGTACAAGTTTACCCGTTGTTTCAAATGAACTTGGTCATAAAAGGCAACCAGTTTTAGCCAGGGGACAGGAAAAAACTAAATCAACTGAAGACTCGAATGATAGCATGGTGCGGAGTAGAAATAAAATTCAGCTCATGAAGGAAAAGTATCAACGCTTGAAAAATGCAAATTTGAATTTAACGAATATTTATGACAAAAGTCCACCAAGTGGGGCGAACTTTATTAAAAAAAAAGAAACAAAAAAAGTCGTTTGCGGTATAAAAAACTTACACCATGGAAGTTCCTCAAAAAGTAAACCCGAGTCTAAAATAAGAATAAATAAAGTAGAAATGAAAGGCGAATTGTCCTCTTTTGAAAATTCTGGAAAAGAAATCGTTACAAAAGCATTGGGAGGAAAAAAATCTGAGCAGCAAGATCCAGCCCCAATCGAAAAAGACGATTCTTTAAATAATTCCAACACTAATAGAATACAAGATACTAATTCTTCTGAAGTCTTCGACAGAACTAAATATATCGATTCAGAAGCAAAATGTTCCGAACTCTCTCAAATCATTCAAAATCCTACTCCCTCTGACGACAACAATACAACACCAGTAGACCATAAAACATCTTATCAAGATAACCAACAGGGATCGCAGGATAACAATAAATCAATTAAAGATTGTTTTGATAAGCAACAAGAATCGCCCAACCCAATCGAAGAAGAAAATAATATTATTGCTTTTAATAATACTCAGTCATTAAAAGATGAGATGACTTCAAATGTGGAAAAAAGTAATAAAAATACGGGTACATCTATACAAGAAGACAATAGCAAAAGAAAAGTCTTCAATGATAGAACTCAAGAAATGGGTAATTTAAAGTCAAAAGAAAAAAATAAAGAGAGTAAGGATATTCATCATTCAAAAGAATTGCGAAATTCTGCCTCGAAGGAGAAATCCCAACAGCTCAATGTCAACTTAGTTCACAAGAATGCACTGATGAGGATTAAATCCACAAAAACAAAACACAAAAAATCCGTTGATAAAAATTTACAACAGGAAGCAGAATTAAAAGCAGTATTCTCCTCACGACCAACTACAAGGGATTTAATAAAAATGAAGCAAGAACATAAAATTCCTGACACTGAGACAGCTAACAGCCGAACTCATAAGGTTCCTTCACATAATTTCGGATTGGTCGAGAATAAACTTATGCCGAGGCAGTCAACTGCCTCTTCTCTACTTCTCGATCCAGATATTGAGAAAAGACAAACAACTACTAGGAAGGTAATACATCCAAGTTTAATGCATGCCGTCAAACCTTTCCCTGGTCAAAATACAGATTTAACAAAATTAAAAACCAATTTTTATTCAAGATGGACTCCTCAGACTCTGAAGTTGAAGGAGAATAAAGAAAAAAATACTCATATACCCAAGAACGAAAGTGTGAAAAAAAACCCATTCGTTACTGGGAGATTCAACTTGACTTCCGATCTGTTCAAGGAGTACATGAAAAAGAACAGAAACTATGAATCCACTAACCCGAATGTGGATGTCCAATTTTTGCATCAATCTGGTCAGTTAGCCCTCATTCCGCAGCAGGGAGTTTCAGCTAACACAAGCAGGATAAATGATCAACGAGCATTCAGCACGCTAGAGGCTAATTATGAGAAAAAGGAAATTCCAAAAGTTAAAATACCAACAGCCGTTAGTTCTTTTCGATTTCAGAGCAAATCCAAACCTTTATTGAACGAAAAAAAAGAAAAGCCTCAAAATTTTCTTTTTAACAACCAAATGAGGCTCAAAAAAGTATTAAAAGAATCTCCAAAGAAAGAGAAACATATTCCTAACAGCTCATATAAACCGCACTCGCTAACTACGCCTAAAAATATCCAAAATAAATCTAATGAAAAACCTACCCATCGTTTTAGCCCTTTTCACTATAGGGAAAAACAAGTAGAATTAAAAAGAATGCATCTTTTAAAAGCATTTCAAAATCAGGAAAACAATGAACTGAAATTTGAAGAACTACAAAGGAACTACAAGCAACAGTTGTGTAGGGCGCCTGCAAGTTTCTTCAATTCTCAAAGTAAAGGAGTATCCAAAGAAACACCTAATAGACTACAGTTGCTAAAAAGGCATTCTGTGGAATCGATAAAGAAGGAATCCTCAGAGGTCAGCCGTCACCATAAGAAACCGTTTTCTGCACCTGCCGACTATCACCCATCATTTCCGCTGTCGAAACCAAAAAAAATAGAAAAAAATAATAAGAAAGATGAAAGTAGCAATTCATTAAAAAAACGGTGGACTCAATTATTGGACATCTTCCAATCGGTTATAACAACAGAAAAAAAAAATTGGGAACATGATAATCATGACAAAAGCCTTCTGGTAGCGGGAGGTCGCAACCTAACAAATAACAACATAGTGCCAAAAACTAAGATTAATACACGCGAAATGCTCCCTAGCTCGAACTCGACGGCGAAGATAGTACAATCTTACTATAGGAAGCATTCTGTTGTAGGTCCAAAGTTTCAAAGCAGTTACTCATTATCAAATAGAATAAGCAAAGCATAAAGCGAGTCGAAAGTTGTCATGTTTTTTCCACTGTATTGTTTTTAACATACCCTGTCAACATTGTCAATAATGTCTATGCAATCAAGTATGATGGTTCAAATACACCAAGTCCAGTTTTACTTTGTTACATCAGTATCCTGATTGTGGCAACTGATACACGTGAAAACTCCTAGAAAGTTACTGAAAAACAATAACGAAACAAATGGTGATTAAATTGTTGTCACATCCATTTTTTTAAGTTATTTTGCACCAATACATATTAAATGAATACGAAGTTATACAATTTTATTTAAATATTTAACATGAATGAATGAAAACTTGTTTATTATACTTTTTAAAAAATACAATATATATATATATATATATATATATATATATATACAAGCAACAATACATAGAAAATGGAAAATTCTGTTTGTCGAGGTCTATGTGTAATAAATAATAAATATTCATTACATTTATAACTAAAATAAATGAGTAATAATATATCTTCAGTGTTATTATATATTTATACGTCAGTTCTAGCAATTTCTTCCTTCACTGTTTCATTTGTTTAAATAGAGTTTTCAAAAAACAAACATTAATACCTCAAAAATCCAATAAATGAGAAATTTAATTTCAACAATAATAATGATAACAATCAAATACAATATTACAATTACAATAAAACAAACGTTACAATAAATAAACACGATATTGTACCAGTTTACTAACTGATCAATTTTGATCATTGCAATGTGGCTAGCTGTACATAATTGCTTAAGGCTTTCCTGTTAAAAACTTTTAATAAAACAAATAATTCTTCCGGAGGACAGGTCTGCTGCCCAAAACATTTCTCTGTTATATTCTCTCTCTGTACATGTGACAAGTCCTCAAAAAGTGAATTATATCCTCTTCATAGATGATATCACAGTTAGACTCGGGTCACCAATGCAAGACACCGAAACAGACTGTTACCAGAAGAGATAGACTTTTGGAGAAGAACAGCAAGAAAATCAAGAAGGGAATGAATCAAAAATGAAAGAATTCTGGAAAAGATGGAGCTGGGCAATATTTGCTAAAATTTTTTTAGCAAATATTGAAAAGAAAAGGTTATGCTGGTTTGGACATGTGAAAAGAATGATTGCCAAAGATGTGTATGGAGCGGGAAGTAGAAGGTAGAAGAAAAAATGGAAGACCAAGGGTAAAATGGAAAGACGCGGTGGAAGAAAGTGATGAGGGTCATGGCATCATAGAAGAACAAGCCTTGGATAGAGAAGAATGGATTAAATATCTTAAAGAATATTTAGGTCAAGGACAATAACAGTAGTGGAAAAGTTATAAAAAAAAAAAAAATGTTCAAGGTACAGCGCAATTTATAATAATTTGTCTCAGTTTTTGACTAATTTTGTAAACATTAGCGTTTGTTAACCGTGGTATAGACCGTAACACTTTACTAAATTATTAAGTTTAGGTATTCATTAGTTGTACAATTTAACGTTCTTCAATTTCTTAAAGAGTACGCTTTTGGCTTAAATACACGGTGAAGGAATTATATATGAAAAAACATTTGGCTTTTGTGGCTGTAAAAAGTCCCTTGGTGGCCCGCGTTAGCTGGTTTATTTTTTACATACATAAACTCATATATACAACTTAAAAAAATAAAAACTTTGACCACATTTTAAGCAATAAATTTCCCATGTCGATCCTTAAGTTACTGGCTTAATATTCTTTAAATCAGCCACCATTTTTTCTGGTAGCTTGATCTGACTGGTAGACTCTATGATCTCACATAACATAAATGTTATAAATAATCATAAAATGCTTTCAAAATTGTTTTCAGATTCTGGCAATATTTTGCACTGGCTCTAAAAGTCAGCACCCTGCCACTGAGCTACCCCACACCCTATTTTTATTAAAATATAATTTTAAATAAATCTTTCTTGCCAACAATTTATTATTTACTCATCAATTTAAAATTTACAAGAAAATATTTAAAATATTTAAAATATTTCCAATTCAGGTATTATAAATTTTTAAAAGACCAGCATTAAATGATGTTTTTAATTAGAGGTTTAATCGCCCATTCAGAGGTTTAATAACAATTGGTTTTTATAATAAGATTTTCCGTACTGCCAAAAGGATAATGAATTGAATAAGTCAGGGTCGGCAGGCAGGAAGAGACCAGTTTTGACACCGATATACTAAAATACTTCCTGAAGGACCTTCCATCAACTAAAGGAGCTATCATTAACTAAAATAGGCACGCCATCCTCTCATTATCTGCTTTCTTATTTACCATTTTCTACCTTATTGGCACAATTGAGATCAGCTCCAAGTTACGTGAAATTGTTAAAATTCAGTTCCGTCCCCTTTTATAACATATACAATTTACGGATAAAACATTTAAAATATATACGGAGACTTTAACGTAATTTTGTTTTTTCAAATCACATCAATTTGAAATCACCACATCATCGGCTGAGATTCGGCATGCAGGGTTGTTTTCTAGACAGACTTTACGAGTGTTGGCCGATTCGTCAAAAAAAGTTTTCCTTACCTATACGAGTATAGTCCCTCCAAATAAAGTTAATGAGTTGAAATTTTTTATGCAGGTTCAGTAGTTGGTTGAGAAATGGTTTTTTTTAATCTCGACTTTTCCTGGGCGGCTGTTATATGTAACTACCGTTGAGGAAACACGGGTTTCAGTATACTGAATAACTAATAAATGATTTTATTAAAGTCTGTTTCTGAAGTATTTGGTTTTAGGTTAATATTTTAAAATATACTGTAATAGGTTGAAAGTACCATAAACTAGCATTTTACGTGTTAAGCAAGACGAAATTACACGTCTGTGGAACTTAACGTTGTAGGATTAACATATATTTTTGGAAATCAAACCATTATTGTACATAAATATATATATATATATATATATATATATATATATATATATATTTTTTTTTTTTCAATTCAATTCATCCGGGACTGCCGAGCGGATTATAAAGTCATCAAAACCTTTTTTAGGAACGTTGGATAGCCTCCTGCTTCTAGCGTACTGCTGGACAGAGGGGCATCTCATTCAAATTCTTCATTGTATGTATTAAACACCAAAATTTTCCGGATCAATTAAAACAATTATGCAAATTTTGAGCTGTCGAAAGCCTTTCCTGTCAAAATATTTTCGTCAAATAATCACATGGTTATTATATTATTATTTCTTATATATTTTCAAAAACACGGGTCGATAAGTTAGTTTACCGTAAATCAAGATTAAAAATAATAATATATGTATATAGAAGTTCATGTCAGAGAGATAAGAACAGAGAAGAAGTGATTTCAGTTTGGTTCCATAGTTAGTCAAATGCCACAGCGCCATCAAGAAATACGTGCATGGATAAAAATATTGGTGATTTAATGGTAGTAGAAGGTAATGATCTCAATTTTAAGTAGTTTTCAAGTAGGATTTGTTTTCAATAGTTAATTAAACTTTCTATAGTTTTCCGAACCTGCGCGGTGTACTTAGAGTGGGGTAGAGTGGGAGGGGTGGAGGAAATCCTCTCCTAGCGCTACTTACTAGGAGAATCCCACGATGGAGGATTTTTTTTATCGAACGATAAATTTATTGCAATAAAACTACTTTATTAGAAATTAAACTAGGGGTTTTAATTATTTTATTCATATATTTAGAGTGCATTTTCTAATCCTGGGGACTCCCACAACAAGGGTTTTCTTCTAATTAAATCATAACTGAATTGCATTTATTTATATTTTGTTTTATAAAGAACCTTAAATATAAACCCTTAAAACCTAATATTTAAGGTAACCTAGTGGATGGATGTGCTTGATTGACATTTTGAATAACAGTACTTTTTAACAGACATTTGCTACTCTATCTCTTTGGACCAGATTGGTTATACTCGTTACAGAAAATTACTGGTTTTTTTTTCATCTCTAAATCAATATCACGCGGGTTGTTATAGAAGAAAGAATAACCTGAACTAGACTTTATTACACTTAAAATAGCAGCACATTTAATCAATTGTAAAACCTTAATTATTAAACATATGTGAGCCAAATAAATATAAAATAATTCAATTTTATAACATTCACCTCTCCTAAATGGTAAAATCTTTTAAGTATGGTAGGGCATGTCTTTCTGAAGTGCTTCGTCTAAGAGGTTGTTTTGGTGATGATGTAGGATGATTTGTAACATCATAGTCTTGAGAAGTTTCAGCTGAATGGGATTGATGGATTCTCGGAACATGAGTATTTTGCTCAAGAGTTTCTTTTATTGATAAGTTAAAGTTGGCTGGCCTGTAACATCCATCTCTGGTGGCAGCGTTTCAGCTGTTCCTATGTCTTTTGTTTTTGTTTGAAGTATTTCTGTCTTTCCTATAGGAGCTAGCTGTATAGTTGACACTGTAGTTTCTCTTCAATCCGGGAGTCTTACTTAGGAATATTCTGGGTTTCTTTCTAGCAAAAATACTTCGTCAACATATGAGTCATATTTCGAATGACGAATAGATTTCTTTATGAGGACTGCACGAGGTTTGATTAACCATATCGGTATTGCTACCCTAAGCAAGAACGAAGATGAATAAACATGCGTTCATGTGGCGTTGTATTTATCAATGTACAAAGGAGTGAACGGATTGAATGTAATGTTTCATGAAAAACATTCTCTCATTTAGAAATATCAATGTTTTGACTCCTTGCTACCAGCTCAATAGTCTCCAAACTATCCCTAAGTAACGTTCACATTGTCCGTTAGCTTGGAGATTATAAGCAGTTGATCGACTAGTAGCAACACCAATGGTCGTTAGATTTGAGCTCTTGAGACAAAAGTATGAACCTCTGTCAGTATGCAGATTAAGTTTAGCGATGAAAGTCCTGTATGAAATGTGATGTCTTGACTGTTAAAACCATGTCTTGGTTTGGAAACGCGAAAATTAATCTCGAATACTCGTAGATAAGTATCAGTAGATACGGATTTTTTGAAGACGAAGGCAAAAGGCAGAATTCGAAAAGTTCTGTTGCTTTGAAAAGAGTGCCTAAAAACTTGCAAAATCTAGGTTTTATTTCAACGCATATACGACATGGTGAGATTATTGTTCGTATTTCCTCTGGTAGTGGAAATTTTTACCTCCTACACAGTGGCATAACCTTGTTTCTCCCGGATGACATAGCATTTCATTCAGATTTCTTAACTTGGTTAGAGAACTCCCTATTGAAGAGCTACTTCGTGAAAGGGTATAGGCAGCCATATTCTCACTCTCTAGCCTGTATATAATTTCATATTTATAATTTGAGAGTTCCAATTTCCACCTCATTATTTTTTCGTTTTTAAATTTTCCTAATTATTTCTGCTAAACATAAACGAGACTGATCGTTGATCCGTTATCAGACGAAAGTTTCTACCTAGAGGTAGTGTCTCTACTTCCGCAACGCCCCTACAATGGCATACGCTTTCTTTTAAATAGATGAATGACGTTGTAAAGCCTTAGTCAAAAAGCTTGAAAAAAAAAGGGGGGGGAAATCGGCTTCGATAGCAAAGTCATAAGCATCAGTTTCTACAGTTAGTGTATCATTGTTATCGATGGACGACACCACTGCGTTTTGGATGTCCTGTTTAATGTTTTCGAATGTTCTACAGCTTGCAAAATTAGAGGTAATGAACTTTAAGGTGTAATTGAATATTTTCTGCAACCTTTAGTATAAATGACGCATAATATGCGAACATGCAAAGTATCCGGCGCAGAGTTGATGTGCTAGTTGAGATAGGTAAGTCGCGAAGAGGTTGTAACCACTCAGGATCCGGACTGACTGATTTCAGGCTTATGGCAAGTCCTAATAAATTGTTATAAAAGAAAGAATAACCTGAACTAGCTTTTGTTACATTTAAATTAAATTAGCAGTACATTTAGGCAATTGTAAATCATTAATTATTAAACACATGTTAGCCAAATAAATATAACATAATTAAATTTTATAACATGGGTTTACTAAATAATTCCTTAGTAACAAGTAGCAAATTACTTATCCAGTTGCCATTTGAAAAAATCAGCAGTACCTAAGTTAATAATTAATTGCAGATGAGAATTCCTAAGGATGATAATATTTAAATTATTTTTTATACCTAACACTTAATAATCTATTATAGAAAATATATTGTAAGTAATAGTTTAAAATAGTTGTGCTATAATTTTATTCCATTAAAAAATGTTTGGACGAATCTATTTTGAATGTAATATCAAAAATACTTTTATGGAAATCCTGTTTGATTGAATTTCTACGCATTTTATTTTTAAGCTCAAGGCCAAAGATAACAAAGAAATTACACCATTTTTTATCTCAAGTCTCTTTGGAATTGAGCAATAACCTTGCCAATAACTTTTAAACAGGTGATTTCTTTTATGTGGACTGAAAATTTTAGTTTCGGTTTAAGTAACTCTGTAACAGACTTGTACGAATATACATCAAAATTATCGAAGAGTAAAGTGATATAATTTCTTTCCATACATTTTTTTAAAAAGTATACCGACACTCAAACAATGTATTCTCTCAGCAATGGCAGTTACATGTTGATCAAGCGTTGCCCTCTAACACAGATTACTTCAATTTCTAAATATACTTACAGCAATTTTATGACCAGATCTGCAAGGGTTACTACTTCTTTTGCTGATGCTAAGCCTAACCTTATAGATAATAGCAAGAGGAATTATGTGTCTGTTGGTGAAAGGAAAAGTAAAAATTTTAATATACCTGTGAATTTCAGCGACATCTTAAAGCAAAGCAAACAGTTATTGAGAGATGTACAATTATCTGAATTAAATAATGCGCCACTTTCAGCCTTTTGGTATGGGTTTGGTGGGCTTGCACCCTTTGTATTGCCACCTCTGTCATTTATTATTTTTGGTTACTCTCCATTCCTTGGAGCATTACAGCTAACATTTGGTGCTACGATCTGTTCGTTTTTGGGAGGAATCAAATGGGGATATCTATTGAAGGAGAATTCCTGTATGACTTGGGAAACCCTTGGCTGGGCTGTGATACCACAAACTGTTGCTTGGATCAGTTTATTGATGCCTCAAACTCTTGGATTTATAATGGTCAGTGGTGGTCTGCTTTTATCAGCCTTTTGCGATCTCACCATGATGAACTATCCTAATTGGTTCAGAGCTATGCGTTTGATCCTCACAATTCCAGCTGTCATTGGCCTTCTTATCACAGGATTAATGTGTCTGTTTCATTAATAAACCTTTATAAAGTATTCATTTCATTTATTAATTTTTTTTCTTTTAAAAATCTAACCAGTATTAGATTTTTGGCATTCCGTCTAGTTTGGAATTATACAAATGCACCCATCAATAATTTTAAGACTGATGTTTTCTGTTTTGTTTGTCTATTTGATGTTTTTTGTTATTTCATATTCCTCTAGCTTAATTAAAACCATGACTGTTTCGATCTTATGAAATTATTAATAATGTGCTTATAACAAATAACTTGAGCAGTAATTAGAAGTGTGCTAAGTAGTCATATTAGTACCTCTCTAGCATTTTAGTTAATATTTAATTTATTTTTATTAAACTCACGATGTGATAAACTAGGTTTAGATAAATGTTATTATATATTTTGTTACATAATGCAAATAAACTATTTGGTGTTATTCTGGCTAAATATTTAACTTCCATAATAGTAAGCTAAGTGCCTTCCAACTTAAATAAAGGGACACCTAAACTTTTTTATGTGAACACATTAAAGTGGTTTTAATTTTCAATTATTAGTCATTTTTTCACTTAGTATATTTATGGACTGCAGTATGGACTCCAATTGACAAGTAATTAGAGTTGAAACCATTTCGATTGAGGAGTTGATATGACATTTTTGGGTTTAATCATTTATTGAGTTGGAAGAAGATATTTTAGTTTTAAATATTTAGATGGATAAGTACAATTTATATATGTATATAAGTTACAAATTAAAATACTACAGTCTAAAGAAAATCTGAAAAACAATGATTGTAAATCTAGCATTCCATGGTTGCTTCCGAAGCGCCCCAGAATAGGATTAAGAAATTTTTCCCACTAATAATTGACTTCACTGGCTCCCATATTTATATCAAGTGCATTTTTTTTTTTTTCAGAATTCCACAGATTAATTCTTCCATAGAAAGGTAAATGTTAATATCGTTTCAAAGTTATATGGTCATCTTCTAGAGCTATGGAAAACAAGTAAATGTTTGATTTTTTATCAGTGTGTTTTTATTTTGTGATCAAAATTCTTCTTCCCCACAATTGATGATTTAGTATAAATGACATTCTTCTAGATATCTAAAATCATTTTTAACCATTTTAATCTTAAGATGTGAAAAATGTTTTTGAACCTAAGCAGAAGCTCTGCATTTAGATTTACATTGGTCATAAAATATGAAGCAAAAGTGAAACTACTGAAAAGTTAGTTCCTCTATGTAGTAATTCCACATTTCTTTTCAGTATTGTTATGTATTATTATTTGTATTTAGTAAATTATTAAGTGTGATGATCTCGATCTTTTTAGTTTATTGACTGACAATGTAAGCTTCATTACAAAGTTCATGGAGATCGCCATTCTTTCTGCTTCTCTAGAGGTATATCCATTGCAGGACAGAAAATTCTGTGCACTATCTGTATCTTGAAGATGAGATCCTTTTCCCATATATAAATTCACATCTTCATATCTCTTATGATTTCTCCTAACATATGCTTTAGCTGGCTAAAGCAACATCTGTTAGCAGCTGCTGCCCTACCCTATGCATGATTTCTAGGTTTCGACAGGTTATTAGATTTCACAGCCCTTTGAACCTAAAAAAATTTTCTCTGCAGCTATTTATTCCATGGATTAACTAAATTATTAAAGACCTCCAAAGGAAAAGAGAGGAGAGGTCATACCTGAGACTCGAAATGGCTTATGAAGAATAATGGCATCTTTTTTTCTTTATCGATGACTTTCACAATGCCAGAATGCAAATTTAAATTAGTTACATAATTATTAATTAACTGAAAAACAGTGCAAGTGATTTGAATAAAATAAAGATTTTGTCTGTACATTGAATAAAATCAACCCGTTTTATGATATCTATCAGTTTCATACATTGCAGACACCAAATCAACTTCTAAATTTTTTTTTTTGTCTGTATGTCCGCATTGCAACGAAATTTTGTCAGTGGTAAGCTTAGCAATGACTTATTATTGACTCTTAAAATTTTGACATTATATTAAGGTTTCCTTGAATTAAAACATAGGCTTTAAATGAAAACAGAGTTATGAATTCTTGAGTAATTTGTCTATATGTTAATAATAAACATATGTTTATAGGTCACAGATCATTATTGAATAAAGTATAAGTCTTGATATACAGCATTATTTACATTTTAATTTGAATATGTTATACAGACCAAATTCTGGTTTTTTTTTTTCCTGCAGACAATTGTGTGAGATTTTTTAAAGTTGGTTTTAAAATATTTTCTACGATTTGATAAAAATGTCAAAAAAAAAAACTTCAATTTCCAAAGCAGCAGGATTTAAAAGGAAAGTTAGGTTGAAAGACCCACTCAGGAATACAGCTGTTCAGATTGAGGACAAGCCCTTTAACATACTAGTTCCAGATTCTAGTAATTCGTAAAGAGCACACGCATTGGCCCTTCAGTGTGAGTATGATGTTTTGGACTCATTGTTAAGTGTCCAATCAACTCAATATACTACAGACTCTTATTATTACAATTCACCTGGCTCTTCTACGAGTGCTACTAAATTTAAACCCAATAGACCTGGCCAGTCTAGAAACAGTAGTCCACACTTTGCAGTTCTTATCCCTGTACAAGTTCCACAGCCCTTGAATTTGAGAGTTTCAGGACTTGCGAGGAATAAGTCGTAAAGTGGCTGAGTGATTGAAAGAGTCTGACTCCCAAAAAAAAAAGCGAGGCTTGATAAAAATAAATTAAGAGCTTCACTGATAAGGGGAAGGGAAAGTCAGGAGCAGAAAAGGTTAAGAATGGAAAGTGGTAGAAAGAGACATGTTTTCTTGCAAGAGAAGGAGACAGAAGAGGAAAGGAGGGCAAGGCAAGTTGATAGAGTCATGAGGCGTGAATGGGAGAAAGAGGAGGAGAGGGAGGGAAGGCTTGCCCAGATTAGGGCAAGATATCATATTTGTGTTGACCATCAACATTTAAGTTTTGAGGAAGGATAGGAGAGAATAGCCTCAACAAGGCGAGGGAATGAGACAAATGATGACCGTACATCACGTCTTTCATCGGACACTGAAAGGCATTACCAGATAATTGCTGGGGAGAGGGAACAACACATGATAAGAAACTAAAAGCAATGGCGGGGAAAAAAAATAGTAGGTTCTCCTATGATCGCCTAAAAGAATATGGCGGTGCGGCCAGGATTGGGCCAATGGATTCAGTTTGACGTTTCTGTTCCGCCCTAATGTGGACAAGTGAATCTAAGGGTATATGTTATTCATAAGAGAAGATTGTTCTACCTCAAATCAATGAGGCACCAGAACCTCTTGCTTCCCTCCTTAGTAACGAACATTCCAAATCACGTGGATTTTTGAAACATATAAGGGGTATAACAGTGATTTTCAAATGATCTATTTTGGTAATAATGAGGTGACCTCTGATGGAGGATTTATGCTAACGTTTAAAGTGCAAGGTCAGGTCTATCACCATATTGCTCCCTATTTCTGACATTGTGAGCAAGTGATACAAGGGTTAATAATTTCAATACTTTGGACCCTATTTTAATTGAACAGTTGCAGGCCATGCTTCAAGAGCATAACACTTATGTCCAGAGTTTTAAATCTGCAATAGAATCTTTAGATAAGGGTTCTGAAGGGTTTAAAATTGTCATTAAGGCAGACTGCACTCCAACTGGTGAACGATTCAACGAGCCCACAGTCAATGAAGTGGCTGTTGTAATGATTGGGAAAACCAGTGATAAGCGGGATATTGTCCTAAGAACTAGATCTGGGGATTTAAGACAAATCTGTGAGACACACCGTTCTTATGACGCCCTACAATACCCTCTGATATTTTGCTGTGAAGAGAACAGTTATAATTTCAATATATACAATGTAAATTCATCTACCGGCATCCCAACAACAAAAAAACATTGGCCTATGAATTTTATGCTTATCGTTTGATGATTAGACAAGGTGATCCCAACTACATCCACCAGTTTAGGCAACTTTAATCAGTTTCAAAGCCGAATAACAAAGTTTTTATTGTGACTATTGCGAAAACTTGACTTCCATAATCCCCGCCATAAAAAAATTCAAAACAACGCCCTCCACCCAATTTTATGAAATTAAATTTGGACCCTCCCCCATAGTACAAAATCCATCTAAAAAAAAAGATTCTGAAATTTTAACTATACACCCGTCAATGACGGGTACATCAGCTAGTTTTACACTATAACTTTCCAAACTCAGTGTCTGTGCAACTATAAATTTAAAAATTGAAATAATACTTTATTTATAACAGACATTTAAATATAACAGTCTATTAAATTTCCAATATCAGTGTAATAAAAACATTTTCATGAGGGATTTTCATATTTCCAAACCACAGCGAACATATCACCACCAAGACGTTTGGCAAGCCATTGGTTTTTAATAACAGCAGCTTTCAGACTTTCACACTTGAACTTTGCATTATAGTTGGTATGAACGGTTCTGCCCATTCCTTCAATTACTATGAGGTCAACATTCTGAAGGGCTTTAGCAAGACCACTATCCAGTCGACTGCAAGCATAAAACAAATTAATTGAAAATGATCTTAATATCTTGTCAATATTAATAGAACATAAAATTTTAAATACATTTTTCAACTTTCATGTATTAAAGTCATAAATAATTAGTTTAGTGTAGACGTAACTATTTGTCAGGTTAGTAACAAATGAATTTCTTTACAAACATTTAGTTTACTAGAATTCTATGATTAGCCTATGATGTATGGTCTAATTAATTGAAAACTTTTCCCTTTTGCTACTCCATGGTGACAACTAATATCAAGATCATTCAGAGCACGCTGCTCAAAGATTCCTGAAAATATATGAGTGCGTTCAAAAGAGGACAGTGCCTATTTCCAATTCTTGATTGTAGATTACCCATCATTTTAATAGAGAAATTTTTATTCATACTTGATACAATATTGAAATAAAAATAGTTTGTAAAATTTTGATTTGATAATCGGATTATTAACTATGAATAACAATAATTATGGTGCCATGTATTTTCACAGCAATCAAAATTTTCTCTGCATCACATTATTTTATCATGCCTATTTTTTCTATATTTAAGTATATTTTATACTTAAGTATAAGTATATACTTAAATATTTAAGTATTATTTGCCGCTTTTTCTCTATTTCTATTTCTACATATCTATCAGGAAGGAAGGGAATTTCAATTTAATTTTTTATATGATAGGCTACCTTTTTTTTTTTTTTAAATTTCTCCCTCTCTTACAGTGATACAGGGAATTTTAATTACATATTTTAGCATGTTTTGTTAAAGACAAGCTGTCATTTTTTTTTTAGCATTGGATATTTTCCTTATTATGCAGTTTATTATTTTACATATTTGAGAAACGCATGTAAAACAAGGCAGCTCTTTCGGATTTAATCAAGATTGTCAATTTCTGTATTCATCAGGAACCTAAGAGTAGTTTGTTAAGTTATCTCAAATCCACTTGCCATCTTGGAGCAGTGAAAGGGAACTAGTACTTAAATATGTTATAATTAATAACTTTTCAATAAATATCTATAAAATCACTAGAACATATATATATATATATATATATATATATAATTTTCTTTTATTTATGAAAAAATGTACCTTAAATCTAGACAAGGTCCAGCCTGTGCAGTCTCCATAGCAACCAGATTACCAGCTTCCAGAGCCTCCTTTATTTTTGGACATATCATGCCTGCCTGATGTAAAATCACTTCCAGTTCTTTATGTGTTACATCATTCAGAGCTGGTGCTGAGTTAGCACAAAGCATTACCTACAAGTCAATCATCTTTTAAAAATACATAAAAATAAAACAGTTTGTTTTTATATCAAACTAATTTAAAGTGTCTGGTAAACAGAATGTGAGATGTAACATTTGCAATTGCTTAATAGTTACAAGTCAAATACAGAGAATTTAATTCATAATTTCAAGTCTTATTTATATAAACTTGGCATTGTACATTACATTTAACAGGATGATAAAACAGTAAATATGAGATGATTAAAATTAAACTGGATGTTTAAGAAACCCAGATTAATTTCATTGATTGATTAATTAATTAATAAGAGCTTCCTGTATTGCGACTGGTTCTCCACTAAATATCTTTTGTATTTTATGTTTTTATGTATGCATGTATTTAGTATTTTCTATATGCAATATTTAACATATATAAATCATTGATGTTCATTTAAAAACCATTCATTATTAAGCAGTACATGTATTAAGCAGTTTGAAGATTATAAAAATCTTATAATCTATTAATAATATTTATTTAATAATATAGAGTATTAATAATATTTATTCTCACTTCTTATAAATATATTAGAACTTATTATTTCTAAACGAAATTAAATTCCTTTGTGTTTACGATTTTTCAAACTGGGAATAGTTTCTTCCTATGGAACATTCCCTGTGCTCTATAGAGAAGGGATTGATTTATAATAGAAGAACAGCAGTTGAAATAAAAGAAAAAGCAAAATTAACCCTGATACAGGAATAGCCAAACAGCGTGCTCAGTTCGTTCTGATTGGAGGAGATGAGTTAATTCACCTTTTGCTAGTTTTCAATCTCTAGTCGATAACAAGAGACTTCCACTTGTTTATATAGCAACAAATGTAGAATCAGAAAAAAAGAAAAAAATGAAATCTTCTTCAGGGTCCCTCTGTCGCAAATGTAACAGAGAGCCAGAAACACCAGCAAATGTGCTTGGAAAATGCCCCAACAACTCCCTCCTTATAACAAGCCGTCACCACAGAGTCAAACATGAACTGATGAGGCTCCTTGAAGACAGAGATTACGCCTGTTTCGAGGAAGTTTATTGTATAGATATGGATGGATCCACCCGATATGCCGACATTGTAGCATTCCCTACGATGGGAAAGCCGGCGATGATTTTGGATCCTACCGTGAGGTATGAGACCAATGACCTCGGTCAGGCAGGCAAAGTGGAAAGAGAGAAAAAAAAGACCTATGAGAAATGCATTCCTTTCCTTAGTGAAAAGTTACGCGAGAGTTTCGGGCCGAGAGAGTTCCACGTGAGAGGCGTTTGGTTCGGAGAACGCGGAACGATACCGAACTCAACAAGGAGCTTCAAGGAGGGCTTTGGTGTCAATATAAAAGACGTGGCAAGGTTGGCAGAGAATATAATCCTCGACTCCCTGGGAATTATCCATCACCATGTGCATGGATAGAGAGAGAGTTTGTTCATGGGGGGAGGCATGCGTGTTTTACAGCATTTTTACATTATTTACTGACCACATCCACTGCACTTTATGTATTTGTATGCATGTTATGAATTAGGTTAGGAAAAGAGATGAGAAAATCTAGGGAATGAGAAAAATGTATAAGGTGAGAGAAGGAACAGAAAGGGATGTATAATGCTCATAAATGAATGAAAGAAATAGTAAAAAAAAATAATAAATAAAAAAAATAAAAATATAGGAAAAAAATTATAATAAAAATATATATAGATAAAAAAAAAATTGTATACTATGCTCATACATATTGTTAATACTATATAATTGTATATTAGTTTTGGAAAATTGTCTGTAGCGATTAATAAGTATGCTGTGTTTAAAGCAACCCAATGTAATTGGGCAGCACCCTTTTATGATAATAAAATGATTCTCTCTATATAAGACTTAAACTTACAATTAGTGTGACAATTTTTGAATAATCTATGGCAGGCAATAAAAATTTCATAATTTCATTTTAGTAAACTTTGCAATTGAAAATAACAGTTTAATAACTAATAGGCATACAATCCATAATCATTTATATGGAGTCTACGACAGGTGTGTTACATCTACATAATATGTACAAGATAGGAACAAAAACAAAAAATAACTGAAGAGGTGCAAAAACAATTTATAAATACTTTAAAATGAGGAAACACTACAACTTGGTATTGACATATAATAAGCATTCAAGAGAGGTAGGAGATTGATACTGACCAAGAATCATATGAAGATGTAGAAGATCAATAAACATCAATGAGGAAGAGGACAGGATGGCTGAGCATGTTTGAGATGTGGTTCCCGGCGGAATGCCCGGTTATAAACACAGTGGGTTCCATTCCATTCAGTTAATTTTCAATTCTCGTCGGCCCAGGGAAATGAATCTTGACATTGTGTTAAGTACGCGATGGAAACCTCAAGGTAGCCGTCAGGGGTTGGCAGAAAGGAGCATGATAGGATTCATTGTTCACCACCAGTACCAATGAGGAAAAGGAGATTTAAATTCTTTGGTCACATAAAGAGAATGAGTAAAGATAGGATAAACAATCAGATATTTGAAGAAGTAATGGGACTAAAGAACATCAAAGAATACCCTGAACAAGAAGAAATTCAGGGGAACAGTGAATAAGATGAAGGTCCTTGGAATAGAAAAGAGGTTAAAGGAAGAAAGGAAATAGACAGAAGAACAGAAAAAGGAAATAAATGAAAAAAAGAAAAAGTTTGGGCTAAAAGGAAAGGCACGACATAATTATATACGTGCAGCCTTTGATGGTAATTCTCTTAACTTTATAAACAACATATAAATGTCATACTATATCAATATTACTTATAAGAGAGCTGAAAAAATGTGTATAAATAAAAAATTTCTTCTTTATTTAAATAAATATATTGATAATGTCATGGTAACCTTGGTTCCTCTTGATAACAGCTCCCTTGTGAAAGGAAGTATTCCAAGAATTATATCCACACCACTGTTGTCGACAAAGATAGCAGCCTGCTTATGGGGAGGCCCCTTCAACCTTTCTATCCAGGCATCTAGTCCATCCTCCACCCAGGGTCTTTCTAAACAACAATCGGTACGGATTAATTGTATTTCCAATTCATAGGATAAATTTTAAAATTATATTATGATATGTATACATATGATCTAAAAAAGATTAAGAATTATATTTAAAAAAAAAATGTTACATAATGGGAGTAATTTTACTGGTAAACAGATTAGTTGAAAAAAAAAATAATGTTTCCAATTATCTATAAAAATAAAAAAAGGAGTGAGCAGCAGAGCTCTGTCACTAAGGTTCTATTTTCCACTAATTTTTTTTATTTAAAAAATTGAAAGGGATTGAATTGTTTCACTGGCGTTAAATAGAGAAATTAAAACTTGGTAAATTATAACCCAATTGTTTATTATATTCAAATAGTTATACATTCTATGTGTACAGCGAACGACTTTATCTACCAGATAGGAAAATATTTAAAAAATTAGGGCGTTTAAAAATATTTATTTAATAGAATATCTTTTTAATAAGGTACAGATAGGTTTGAGATATAAATAAAAAAAAAAACGATTAAATCTTCTCCTCGAAGAACTTCAAATTGACATCTGTAATAAACTTCACCCAAAAGAAGCCAAAAAAAAAAAAATAATTACGATGTTAACATTGAATATCCGAAAAAACATTAAAAATATTAACTGTTTTGTTAATATTGTACAAGGTCATATCAAAGTAAACTAAACTAACTATAAAATAAATAAAAAATCGTTAAAATCGGACAATTTGGTAAAAAGATATGATCCCATATATTTACCAAATGTTCTAAAGCTGAACTTTGTTTTGTCTTAAAGAAACTGTATGACAGATCTTTGAAAATTACTGAATGGATTTTGATGAAAGTTGTTCTATCTTTTAGGAAATTTAAATGTCTTAAAATTATGTTGTGGCTCAAAAAAGGGAAAAAAGTGCACCCTTTTTAAGTTATTCGCAAATGTAATTTTGAATTCATCCAAATTCCTTTTCAGGTCTTTTTTTGAGGAAGTATGTTATATACATAAATTTATAGTGTTTCATAGGGAATAATTTAGGAAAGTTTTTATTAACAGGGCCATTTTAGCGCTGTAGTCTATAGAGAAACAGGTTTTTCTTCCACCATCTTTAAACAAAATGTCGACTGGTAATGAGTAATCTCTCCAACACCAACTTAATATAGATACAAAATTTCAACCTACCAACTTTGTTAGGAGGAGCTGTGGAGATGCGCAATGCTTTAAAACCATGAAAAAACGTACTTACATGCGGAAATTTTGACAAAATTTCTCCAAAGTTTAATATTGTTCCGCCAGGAAATCAACTGTATATACCAAATTTCTGCTTAATTTGGTCAAATAGCAGTCACTGGGGTAGGCAATAAATAGCGGGAATATATATATATATAAAGTGATATCTCTAAAAATTGCAGAATCATGATCTAGGGGTTCCAAAACGGATAGAAACAGCAACCCCGCCTTCCACTGACGATTTTCGATACAGTGCAAATAGTCTATTATTTCTGAAGGAAAATAGACAAAAATGTAAATATTCGTTTGTTCAAAACCTCAAATATCCTACAGTTCTTCATTGATTAATTTGACACGGTGTTGCATTTGAATCTGCAAGTGTTTTTATATACATACTATTATAAGATATTTTATCAGGGGCAAAAAATGACTTCTGTTGTCTCCAGGAGAGGCACCCACCAACAGTGATATCTGATTAGTATAAAACCAATCCACATTATATTAAATAATTTATGATTCCACTTAAATTTTTCTGATTTCTAATTTTTTAATCTATTTATATGTTTCAGATCGCATCGTTAAATTGAATTTTCAGACATTTTGGTGGAATTGAGCTGAATAGTTTACAATTTTTTATTTATTTCATGAGAATAATTGATTTTTCCCCTGCATCTAATTTTATTCATTTAACCCAGTGTTAAATGAAACGTTCCGGAATGGACTTGAGCTTTGTTGATCTGTGTTTGAACTGAAATGACACAGCTCAAAACAAATTAAAAAGAATAGAAAAATAAATTAAAAAATACTAAAGGGGTACTCTATGTTATATTAGGAGTGCACAGAAGAGGTTGGTAGAGCATAAGTTATGCCAACAAAATTTTTGAGGGTGGCATATTTTTACAAGGTCATAAATTGTTGACATGAAAAAAGCGTCCTGATTGAGTTGACTGCATATTGATTTTTTATTTTTTTTATTTTATAAAACAACTTCAATAATTTAAAATTTTTATACAGCTCAATATCATGAAAGAAAAAATGTGTACTGACTTGGTATTCTCCTCCTTGCTTCCGTGAGACCAAACTGTTCCAATTCCATGATCTGTACAACTGCTTTAGCACCCCAATCAAATAGGTTTCCAGCCAGCATACCAATCGCTAGTTCAGTCTGCTTTGCCTCCCAGCTCAAAGAATCAATGTGACTGATTCGTTCAGCCAATTGGGAGAGAGCTGCTTCGTTTTCACTTTGCTTTATCTGTAAAGAAATAAAGAATAGTTAAAAGGGTATTGTCTGATAGGAGGACTGGACGAAACCTCCCTTGTTATCTAATGTTACATCACATAACCTCCCTTCTTATCTCATGAAAGTTTTGATTTATTCCATTGTTCATTTTTGTTCCATTTGTGTTATTTTTGTCAAATTATGGATGTTATTACATTCTAGGAATTAGAAAAAATCATGTAGGGAGAGTTTTACCTGAGCAATGTTTGTTTGGCAGAGTTTGCCGAGAAACAGATCAGTGTTTTATCGTCAAAATAAACAACAGAAAAGCAACAACTTTATTACAAGGTTTATTCTGACTGTTGGAAAGGATACAACATCCGACAACTGAATGAAGCAAACTATAATCATTTCCAGGTGAATCATCAGAATAATTTTGTTGATCCATCAACTGGAGTCCATACTCCACACATATAACGATTATGAGGATCACCTAAGTGGGGAAATAAGAAACATAGAGGAACTTCCAGACATTAATATTTATGTTAATTTTTGTGGCGGCGGGCTCGCAGAGAAGAGGACCTGTTCCTCGCTATTTTAAGTAGCATTAAACTATTTTGCCTACCTAAATAAATAAGGTGAAGTTAAAATAAAATTGTTTTATATGTACATATATTGTTTATATTGTTTCTTTTATATGTACATATGGTGTTTAAGTGTTTTTTTATTATTTTATTTTTTTTTTATTATTACATTTATTTTTGTCTATTTAATATATGTGTTATAAAATTAAATTGTTTTCTTATTGTTGAGGGAATTATTACATTTGTTTTCGTCTATTTAACATATATGTTGTAAAATAAAAGTATTTTTGTATTATTACATTTGTTTTTGTTTACAATTTCAATAATGTGAATATAATACAATAAATATGAATACGAAAATAGGAATTATGAGGAGCCTTATCAGAATTATCAGTGTTCAGGTTATAAACATTGGCAGATAACAGTTGGTCCAGTCTGACTATCAGACTAGTGCCGAAATTTATCTTTTTGAATCACAAGGACTGTCTGTTTCTTTAGTAATATTAAAACCTTGAATTAGATTTTTTTTTTTAATTAATGCTTTATTTAAAGTAAGTGGTAAAATGTCACTCAAAATATTGCATATCACTAGCCAGTACTTTATCCCATCTTTTTGGCAAACATACAAATTCCAAATTGGAAAAATGACTCATCTTATAAGGCTATCCAATAATCTGTCCATTTTTTAGTATATTCACAAAGTGCTGCTCAATCAGACAATGTGCCATCCAATGAAATGAGAGATGATTGGAAGGGGCTATATCCGGTGAATACAGTGGGTGGAGCAGGATTTCCTGCTCAAGCGTTTTCAAGTAGGTTCTAACACTAATTTTGCAACATATGGCCATGTAAACATGTCATGTAATAAAATAACTTTGCCATGTCACTGGTCATATAGTGGACGTTTATCCTTTAGGGCTCGGCTCAAACACATTAGTTGTAGTTGATAGCAATCTCCTGTGATAATTTTGTTTGGTATGAGCATCCCATAATAAATTACACTGTGCTGATCCCAAAAAATGCAGAGAAGCTTCGAACCATGGATATTTGGCTGTCCGGATAATGTTAATACATGGTGGGACTTACACCATGATTTTTTAAGTTGCACTGTATCCATTTTTCATTGCCAGTCATGATATGATGCACACAACCTTTCCTATTCTGCCAGTGAAGCAATATTTCAAATGCTTGAAAATGATGTTCAACGTCTCTTGGCTTTAATTCATCCCTAATGCTTTCAAACATTGCCTGACATAGGTCTTCATTAAGTAATTTCTCCAATTCTTCTCTTTAAACTTTTTCAATGTGGCAGAGCATTCTTCGAATCCAAAATTAAAATCATTATTTTTGAAGTATTGAAACCAGTCGCTATATGTTGTTTCCAACAGAGCATGCTCGCCATATTTCTCAACAAGAACTCTATCTGCTATAGCTGCATATTTATTTTGAGTAAAATATTCCAAATTACACTTCCTGCAAATACTTTTTTACTTAGCACAAAATTCAATATTTTTAATACTATAAAAAAACAAGGTTCACAAGCTAGGAAACAGTGAGAATTCTGACTTTATCTTATGAACTTTACACTTTTCAATTACTCTAATATTTCTATTACAGAAATACTTGTTCCTGTATTTATATCATGGTGAATATTTTGTAAATGTTGGTATACAAGACCAGTTGCTAACTATAATAAACAAAGAAATTGAAGTAAGATTTTCATTAAACTAATATAGTCAGTTTATATGAATTTTAAAACAAATCATACAAGTCTAAATGATCTAATGAAAGGAACTTACAGATATATAAGGATCTGGAAAATCAAACTCCCTCATATAGTGCTGAATGGTATCCAGCAAACTTCGTACAGTCAGATTTCCATAGGAGCTGCAAACAAAATAAGATAATTTAAACAATAAATGAAAAAAAAAAGAGAAATGTATGCATTCTGAGAATTATTTTTGTTTTGTAATTATTTAGAACTGTCTTGTATATCAACAACTCAAGCGAAGAAAATGATTAAAAATTCTATATTTTCTCGCTTGAATTGCCAATTGAGAGCAAAGCATGAAACAAGAATTGTTCTGAATAATTATCTTCTATAGTTATGTTTTAACAACATGGACAACAAATGATAAATTACTCAAACCTTGTTTTTTTTGTTATTTGTTTGAGAGATAAAATATAAATTACTTTTGCTATAAATATGAGAAGAAAACAAAAGTTTTGGGGATGGGGCTGTGGTGAGGAGGTCGAGTTGGGGATCTGGTTCTTCTGTTGGGAGTTCTGTACAGGAACATCCCCACAGTCATTGAGCAAAGTTTTGTCACTTTGATTGCATCGGTTCGTCTGTGAGAATTTTCTTTTTAAAACATACTCCATATTGGCAAAAACATGAGATGAATGACTGCTAGGAGCAACAAGTGGCTGAGAAATTTAGTTTAGGGGAAAACCGGAGCTTCAAAATTTTTGAACAATCATTTCTGCGATTGGACAAATGCATTACAATAAATAGGAATTACTTTTAAGGTGATCAAAATTTGGTGAGTTATAATGAAATTCATTTTTGGGGGGATGAGGGGAAGGAAATGTTTTTAAAATAATTTTATTTAAATTTTTTTAGTAATCATTCATCAAAGTATAATATGACAAAGATCTGGTATAATCAATAAACACTCAAATAATATATTTCCAATTTTGGAACCAATCAACTTACAAAGGCTGTTTTCTGAACTGGTGTAGCCTTCTGATATACTTTTCCTTGAACTGACTAGCTCTTTCAGCGGCTGTCTCATTATCAGCTTGACTAGCTATGGCAGCACATACAAATTTATCAATTGATTCTTCAAAACAGTCCAACCAATAATCCCTAGAAACAAAGGAATTTTTAAACAGTATTAATAATGGTTGTTACAAAAATAAAAGCATTTGTATTTTTCAAATAATCTAATATAACTGTGATAGTTTTGATTTATTTAAGTATCTTATTTAATCTAAAAAAAAAAAATAAAACTTAAAAATCTCAGCAAAACGAAATTATGCCCTGCAACAATAATATCTAAACAATAATTAACCTCAAAGTTTAATTATTTAATTACTTAAATAAAAACATCAAACTTTCTTACAGACTGAAAGATTTATAACATATTAATTCTTCCATACCTTAATGTCGGCGATTGAGTTACGAATAGCGAGCGATATTTATGAAGCTTACGAGAAAAGTGGTATACTGTGTACCAAATAAATTAAGAAAATACTTTTGTAGAACAAAGTACTTACTATATGTTATGAATCATTTGAAAGTAGAAATAAGAGAAAGTCTTAGAAAAAGAAAAGTGGCCAAACGGAAATCAGCAATTTTAGAAAAACGCTTTCATAAGATATGTAAATGACCAAGAGACTATAAAAATGGAAGAAATCATATTTTCATATGGTAAAATTAATTCTATATTTATGGAGCACATGTAAAAGCCTTTTAAGGCCAGTCCACATTTATATTTGTAAGCAAGCGAGAATGTGGATGGGAACTATCAGGAATTAAAGCCCTGGCTCAGTCAGTTTTCTCCACCAATTTTTGAGCCACCACAATATCTATCAAATTTGAATTCTATCCATAATTGTTTTATTGAATGGAGCAATTGTAATGACAAAAAAAGAAAAAAAATATGGATTCAATGACTTTATGGTACCAACAGATGGTTTTACATGCACACAAACTAAATGACCTCACCCTATAAATTAAATTATTTTTGCAGAAAAGATATTATTTGAAATAAATTTATAATTACTTTAATGGAGAAAAATAACTTCAAAATAATGTTAGTTATTAAAAGTTCTAATTAGGTAAAAATAATACAATATTTAATTATTTCAGATTTTAATTTTTAGGATAACACAAAACTGAGAGCTTGGCATAATGAGAAGAGTAATCGAACACTGATTCTGTTTGGTACTGACAGAACTAAATTAAAAGTTAATACCAGCTCTATCATTTCAGCTTTCAATTCAGAACTCCTGATGGTACCTGATTAAAGACCGTATAAATAACATCAAAACATATTTAATATCAGTTCAAACAAACCTACTGTTGTATTCAACTGCAGAAGCTATAATTCATTTTTAACAGTTAAAAATTGATAATCAATAAATGAGAAAGGTTAATCATCAGAGAAATAAATTGTATTCACTTACCAATAATATAATGATTCCGAGAAAGAAATACAAAAAATATGAAAACAGGAACACTTAAATATTTAAACGAGATTAAAAAAAAAAATGAAATGTAAAATTCTTGAATTATCACAACATTTTTGGCTGAATAATTTTGAATTCAGAATGGTGTCATAACGGTTGTAACCAGGTAAAATCAAATAAACGACATAAGAAAACAATACCTAGCTTGATGGTCAGCATTGAGATCAACTGTATCAGGAATGTAATCGGTTCCAGCGAGAAGGGGGCAGTAGGCCAAGGGAGAACCCCATCTATCCAATTCCAATTGAGCAACAGGTACCGTACTGTTCAGCCAGGATGATGGCACTGGCTCTAAACCTGAACTACCAGCATAGTTCTCTTGCCAAGAATAGTTTTCACCTAATAGGACAAAAAAACTTAAAATACGGTATTAAATCACAAACTCAAGTATCATAAAGTTAAATCCATTACCGCACATCTCAGCGCCTTTAAGAAATGCACCGATGGCACCTAAATAACCTTCATGCCTCAGGAATAAACTCTGTACAGTTCCCTTAGACCAGTAGTTAATTGAATAAGAAACGGTGTGCATACTTAATGGGTGATTTCTTAAAAAATAACCTCCAAAATATACCTGGAATAAGTTTCAAACAATATCATAAATAATAAATTCAGATGAAGAAACCTGATTAATATACTCATTATCTAATATAAGATGAATTAAATCATTGTATCTCAATATAACAATTATGATTATATCTATTTGGCTTCTCAGAATAAACACTACTTTTTTCTTTTCCCAATTTTCAAAAGATAATCACTAAAAAAAAATTGTTTACACAGTGTAAGATTTTAGTAAATTTGTTTGCAGTGTTAAGTTAAGATAACAATATTATATCTTGATCTCTCTCTCCTATTCAGTACAGAATGGGTACAGTAAGAAAATGGACTCTTTACTATCACAATTAGGAGGAACTTACATTTACAATGAATGGTCTATAGCATAGGTGGGGAACCGTGGCCTCTGTGATATGGTTGTGGCCTCCAAACGTTTTTGCATGATATTTACTAATATAGTGGTAAAATTAATTAATACTTAATAACTTGAGTGATGACAATTTGGAAATTAATAGAATAAAGTTGAATGTATTTAAGTGAGTGTGTGTATTTAGTGATAAACAAAAATAGCAACGGTAAAATATAAAAATATTATTGCGGCTTCCATTAGCAATGCCTAACCTTACTGCGGCCTCTAATGATGAAAAGATTCCTCACCTATGGGCTCTAGCATAGGTGGGGAATCTTTTTATTATTAGTGTCAGCAAAAATGTACACACCCATATTCAATTTAATTCTATTAATTTTTAAATTTTCGTAACCTTAATAATTAATTCTAGCACTAGATTAATAAATGTCGGGAAAAATATTTGGAGGTCTCATCTAACTTACGGTGGTTACATGCACCACAGTTTCCCCACATATGGTCTATTGTAATAACTTAGTTATTTAAAAAATCTTACTTTATTTAAATTGTGACTCATTGCATACAATGATGCAATCTGACCAATATCATTACTGATGGTGAATAACAAACTTCTAGCCAAATCAGCTTCTTTGTAAGACATTTCTGCAAAATAAAGTTTACTTTAAATATTAATGTTAGAAATTATATATAGTAAAATGCATACTTCATCTCCATACATTTTAAAATAACGACTAATACCTTCAGATGTTCAAGTCAAAAATAGTTTGAGAAATAGAGGGTGGGGGATTAATGTTAAGTTAAAAATCCTCCCGACAACGGGACACGAACTTATATTTATTTTATCACGTTATCTGTTTATCAGGTTGCCAGGGCACTGAGGGTTTTGCACACGTTAGCCCTCTGTTCAACCTTTTTTCTTTTTCTCATTACCACTACCTCACCATTTCTGATATATGGGGAGGGAGGTTGTTCTAGAAGTACAACCAAACCTATTGTAAACAGAGTGAGAAGATTGAGATTCATTCTGTGGATTTGCCACAAAATAAATTTTAACCCATCCAGGCCAGATTCTAGCCAGCAATGCTAGGTACGAGAATGTTAAGTTTAAGCTTTAACAAACTCGGTCATCACGACTTCTCAACTGTTAAACCTTTTTATTCTCCTTTTCCTCGGTTTTTAGGTTATACGAGCTTTTTCTCGGACCAGAGGATGAAGGTGGGAATTAATGGCAGAGTTATAATCCCCATTGGCACCGGGACATTAACTCATAATTATTTTTTCATCTATAACATTGGTTACCAGGTTGCTGTGCAATGCATGGTAATGTGCACACACGTTAGCCCACTTCTCAACTATTCAACATTCCACATCAATACTTTGAACAAGTAAAAGTACTCTCAACTAATGTATATCAACATATTAATATTTTTCAACAGTTCTTTTCTTCCACTTCTGGTACCCACAATGTAAAATGTTAATAGGAAAAAACATAATTTTGTCACATGACTATATCATAAGTTGAAAAACAATCTTTTAAATTTAAATAATTATAAGAAAACTCACTTTTCCCACTCCTGGATGCATCACAAATTTTTCCAAAAGATGAGGCAATGAGATCGCTGTCAAGTCCAAGGGATCGATAATCTCCTCCATAAATATCACCCACTAATAAATCAGTGTTTCTATGGTCTCCTACTTCTGCAAGGTCAAGAAGTTCATCAAAACCCTGCAGATATGATAAACTATGAATGAGTTTAAATAATACTGAAAATAAAAACTAATTAAAATTGTTTTTACTACAAGTACATCCAGATCCATCCTAGATCAGTGACTGACATTGAGTTAACACATTGACTTTAACAAGAGATTTGAACTTAACAGATTACAACACAGAGGTTGGTTAATGTATATCTTAAACCAGCACATTATCAAAGAGCAAAAGACTCTTAAAAACTTAATTATAAGGATATGAAATACAATTGAAAATTAAAATATGAAAACTTCCTAAATTCATGTTTTGACATGAACTTATACCTTCATTTTTAGGAATGTATTAGGAGATAAAAGTTTTAGGAAAAAATTATTTTAGATCAAATTTCAATTAGATGAAGAATGAAAAGAATAGGATAATTTTATTAAAATTTTGTTTTTCTTATGCTGGATTCAGTATTGCAAACAGTCCCTCAACCAACAATACAACTATTGTTTGAAAACTATGTAACAATTAAAGATGGATACTTGAGCCCCACAAAAAAAATTAATTTAAGTCAAATCATAATTGAACCTTTCAGTTGACAAAATGACTAAATTCGTGCAATTTACTGTCATATCACTATATTTCTAGTTGGAAAATTTAAAATATTTGTACAGACAGTAAGGTAATTCCAGAATAGGTGATAGCAGTTTTGAAATATAATGAAAAAAAAAATGAAAATATTTTTTTATTATCCTGGGACTGTTGTTCCTTTAGGACAAATTACAGATACAGAATAAATGCCTGTGTGGCCATACATAAAATTAATTATTTACATTTATTATTAAGATTAAGATTTTGAAAAAATAATAAAACAAAAAATATAACTATTACACTAAAAACATTCTGATATGTATAATACAAACTATATAATAAAATAGAATAGCATAAGTAAAGAAAATCATTTCTGGGGGAACTTTAAAAGTTCTCTTATCTACATTTCATGATCAATCGGGTTGGGAAAGGAGTAGGTGGTTAAAATGGAGAGATTTAAATGAAGAAACTGATTGTACATGTCGGATATCGGGAGGGATGGTATTCCAGAAGGAGACGGCTTGAATTATAAAGGATTTGTCAAACGCTGCAGTTCGGTGGGGAGGTGGATAGAGGTCGGAGGTACGAGATCTAGTGAGACGGGATTGAATGGTATTTGAATTGTAGGTTGTGAAAAATATAGGAAGGCTGCTGAGTTCTGATGACTTGGTATAGAAAAGTGGCAAGGAGGTACAAATGGCTGTTGGATGGATAGAGCCACTTCAACTTGGTGTAATACTGGGTTATATGTGTATCTCTTGAGATTCCGAAAACAAAACATATTGCGCAGTTCATTAGGCTGTTCACAGAAATATAGGACTGTGAATAAAGATATACAATTTTCAACTAGAAATATCACTAAATTTAATAGTAAAAAATGTTGAAATCGGAGTTAATCATTCTGTCAATTGAAAGGCTAAATTAATACTAATAAAACAAATTATACATTTTAAAATTTAATAAACAGTTCATAATCTGTGTTGTTTAGATAATTTTTGTACTGAATGCAATATCCACTTACTTAAATTATTAATCTGGAAGTATTTAACATTTTTTTTTTTAAATAACATCTTAACTGATTGTATGTATTGTTGTATGCTACATAAAATTATCATTAAAGCAGACTTCCCCATTTGGTCAAATTTAAATTAAAACTAATTTATTTTAATTTAAGTGTTAATTTAAACTAAAATTAAACTGTACTTTGTTACGCTACTCACTTAAATTAATGCTTCTGATTATAAAGTAATTTAAAATATTATTTTTAGCCAGCCTTCTCAAAGTCAAACCTGAACCTAATTAGTCAGTTAGGTAATCGAATGAATTTCGGAGCTTTACTGATTAGTTGAACAGCCATCATTGTAAACAATAATGATGACAATGATATACTCATATTAGAATAATTACTTTGATAATCATTAAGATTCAGTTTAGAATAAATTAAATACTATATTTAATCAACATAACACTTTTAAATAAGAACAATTATTAGTAAAACAAGAAAATAGACAAATAAACACTTTAAACTCTAAAGTAATAGAAATCAGATTTTTAAATGATTAGAAATTAAAGATAATTAGTCAATAGAATGCCATACTAGCATATTACCAAGAAAGGCTATTGTTTGAAAAGATTCACTATATAAATGCTTATCTTTTACAGTAGTTTTATCAGGCCAACATTAAAGACAATCCGTTTACAAAAATTCTCATTAATTTATAAAGAAAAATCCATTATTTTTTAGAGAAGCAAAAATGATAAGTACTTTCCACAGCTGATTAAATCCCTTCTTTATGTTTAGGGACTCCAAAAATCACAAGTGTTTCTGTGGTTCATAGTCTGAGAAAGATAAGTTCAGTAACCAAAAGTAATTTCATATGGTATAAAAAAAATGCTCAAAAGAGAATTTAAAAATAATAATGATTATTTTAAGTATTAATCATTCAACAATTTTATTAGCTCAATAGTGAAGATGATAAAATAACCTTTGCGTTTGTCAAGAGTGAACCCAAACCCCAAAAGGTACCACCTCCAGTCGCTGTGCCTCCGATTCTTTCATATTTATCTTCCGATTCCACCTGCAATTCAATAAACAAAGTCCAAAGCCATAAGCCAGATAAAACAGAATTATGTAATCTCTTATAAATACTTTTATTAAAAAATCAATCAAATGGAATCAAAATACAATTGATGCTATCAATATTTACTAATTAAATTGACAAAAAAAAAAATTAAAATTTCTTTTTTACCAGACCTTAAGAATGCTTACTCCCGATCCAATATTAACCAACATGTATGGGAATATGTTAGGATCAGCTAGCTGAAACTCGTACTCAGGGTTAGCATGGCGATGGTAAGTAAAAGCTTCATCCGAGATATTTTTCAGAAGAAAATTGCATCCTTTTATCAGGCAACTCATTTCATCTTCCTTTTCTACCCTTAACCAATGAACAGATGATAGTATTTCGCCTAGTATTTGATAACATTTTGTCAGAAATGACATAATTTAAATCTGAAGAGACATAATTAATAAATAAGAATACAATAACTAAAAAGTGGAATCATAATTCAAGAATATATAATTTTTTTTTTCTTGTCTTCAGTATGCTAGAAAAAATAGTTAGCATCAGAATGAGAGAAACATTATAAAAATTAAAATAACGTAACACAACATTCCAAATAATGAAGAAAAATATTATTTAATAGAAAAGTGCATCAATTGTATTGTATAAATTATTTTCTAAATAAACCTAGCTAGCTAACCAGCCTAATATAGAAAATGTTTGAAATCAGCTGGAATGTCTCCATGAAACGTTAATTGAATAGATGACTAAGTACTTTCCTTATTTCTTTATACAGTTTAAATTTAGAAGTTAAAATTTCCCAATAGGAATTGATCCTAAATTATAACTAACCATTAAAATATGTGTAAATGATTTTATCAATCTTTTATGAAAATTAATTGTTTAATTTAAAATACACAGGTTGAAATGTATCAAAGACAAGCAAGAAAAAATACGATATATCACAGTAATTGATATATCAATAAAATTTTCAGTTAATAAAGACCACTAAATTTCCTTTTAGTTTTCAATGCATGGTTTTACAGCTATGTAAAAGCACTCATTTTTTCAACAGATGTAATTAAATTTAAATTTCTACTAATAAAATAATTAAAAAAATATCTGATACTGAAACTAGATAAACTAAATGAATTATTTAGTCACCCAATAACTTCCTAAACCTTACACATTTACTCATTCTTAATTTGTTTTATTTCTTATTTTTTAATTAGTTATAAAAACAGTAGTATAAGCTATTTAAAATTAAAAATTATTGGAAACTAACTTGAACACAATGAATCACCTTTCTTTCTAAATCTTCTGAAGCCTAATTTAAAAGGATTGCCATATAACCGAAAATTAAAATGATGAAAATTTAATATATCGAAAGCCACAATGCAAAACCCCATAAGAACAATTTTTTATTTGGCACATATTCTGATCCGACACAATGAAATCTGTGGTGTTGTTTCATTTCTTCTCTATGGCCTGCAGTAAAAACCAGTAAGTTAAAAAATAGCAAATTGTGATATAGAACCTGTAAGTTACAGTGAAGATTATAGAGATTGTGTCATTGCCGAAAAAATGTAATGAAATGCTCAAGAGAGGTGGTCATGTAAATATAGAATGTATAAAAAGTTGTGGGCATAGACTACAGTATTAAAAATCATTAATGGATTGGCTTCTATATAACCATATAATTAAACCCCAGGGATAGACTGTAATTCATAAGAAATTTTAAGAATGCACGGGGAGTATAACTAACATCAGTTTACTTTGACTTTTATATCGTTTGGATTCCTATTTGTTTATAATTAATTGGTAGAGAATTGATTTCATTAATTGGAAAATTAAACACGAAACGGAAAAATAACTCAAGTTTCATTGTTGTGGATCTTTTTACACCAATGAATCTTCTAAATCACAAGAAGCTGAGAAATGAAATGATCTACACACCAGCAGATTACCTAGAAATTATCAAACCATGTCCATATTTAGTTCAGTAGATCGATAATGGAACTATCATGGACTACTTCAGAATCGTGACTGATTCAGCCTCACGAATTTAAAATGAGGCTGATGAGATGTCGGTGACAAAACATAAGGTGGACATGACAAAAATAAAATTTTTTTACATGAGTAGACGCATGCAATTCGCATAAGTTGAAAAGGACAGACTTGAAAATGGCTCAACGAGCCGAAACGTCGTAATCAGATATGTAGTCATTAAGTTGACAAAAAAATTTGAAAATTGGTGTAAAATGGCTGAAAATAAATAAACTTGAAAAAAAAAAAAAAAATTTGATTGCTTATACCTTTGTCCTGGGCATGATGTTATACTGCATCTTGGAGGGACCTACATCGTAGCCGTAGTGAAGACAATTTGTCTAGGAGAAGGCAATTCCGAAACTAAACCAAGGGTAGGTTGGACTCTTCAGCACTGGGGAAAACAACTAGGCTTGGTAGGAAAACCTTGAAGACAAATGACCCTGTTCTCCAGGTTGGGGGTTGAGTGTGGGGCCAACTACTCCTCCTCGAAAATAATTTAATGTTCATAAAACTGAGTTAAAAGGAAAGCCTGATGTTTTTACTGGTAAAAGAATTAAACGCTCTCAATGGACTAAACTAAAATGGAAACAATGTGAGGTTTCATTAGCCTACAAGCAGGCATTTGATAGCATCTAGAGATCAGCTCTGTTAAGAATGCTAATGAAAAATGGAGTGCCACATAAACTAAATACCTAAAACTGTCCTCAGCAGCAAGTAGAAGATCCTGCAGTGATATCAAACTAAAGAATTTTAAGTTCGAAAATGTACCCACATTTGAGTATCTCGGTTCTGCCCAAAATAATGAAAATGTAATCAGCAGAGAAATAGACAACAGAATAATGGCTGGTAATAGAGCTTACTAAACAAACCAAAAACTGCTCAAACCTCCATTGTTGTCAAAAGCCACAAAATTAAAGCAGTATAAAACGCTTATTAGACCAGTAGTCATCAATGGAGCGGAAACCTGGTGTTTATCGCAAAATGATTGCCGTAAGCTAAAAGAATTTGAAAGAAAAATAATAATAAGGATTTACGGTGCTACAAGTGTTAATGGTGAGTAGAAAATCAAAAGTAACAATGAAATTGAGGCTATATCAGAGAAATAAATCATTAATAACTATATCAAGGCAAGTAGGCTGAGATAGGCAGGAGATGTGATCAGAATGGAGAATTAACAGGTACAGAGGAAAATATTGGAAGCGCGTTTCAGTGGGAAGAGGAAAAGAGGAAGACTGAGAAGCAGATGAAAGGATAAAGTGGAGAGAGACGCGAGGAATTGGCATTGAAAGAGGAATTAGGAATTCGCAATTGGAAGAGAGTAGCACAGGACAGAGAGAAGTGGAGAAAAATAACTAAGGAGGCCAAGGGTCATAGTAATATCTACTTTTCCAAATACGTAAAATTCCTTTAAGTTGTGAAAATGTCTCTATTGGGAGAAATACAATAAAAAAAAGTTACATTGAGCATTTCATCTTTGCCTTAGGCCTGTAAAAAAAATGTAACAGAAAATATAATGTTCATAGAACAATCACAGTTTTTTTTGGCTCCTGAAAATTTTTAGTTTTTATTCTTACAGGCTTTTGCAGTGTGGCTGTCAATATATTAATTGAAAAAACTTGTTTTTAATAACAATTAGAACTAATAGCGCATTATAAACATAACTCTAATTCAATATCATTAGTATAACATTGATTTAATTACATAAACAACGAATGACCTTGCAATAAATGTTCGTTTGATGTTAAGATGATTCTAAATTAAAAAGTATTATCAAATTATAAAAATAAAAGGATTTATAATGAATAATTAATGATTTTCACAAGTTAAAAAAAAAATAGCTTCCATAATGAGGATGCAAAACACTGTAGTTAAATTAAAAATTTAATTCAGAACTATTTCATACATTATTTTTTATTAAAAACCTGATAAGAAATTAAATCTCATGTAAGATATTGTAAAAGAATATCATGAAATACATTAAATTAAAATGGGCAAGTTCTTAAACTCAGCATTGAACTCTTGATTAAGTAGAGCAGTAAGGTATTGTTGTGCACCTATTGGACTCAAATTACTCCTGTAGTACGCCTATTCTCTACATTTCCCGCCCAATAGTTCTTACTAACTGTAAGGGGAGGGGTGGCCGAGCGGGCTGTTGCGTTACCTGGCAACATGATAAGCAAAGATACTATGACAAAATAATTACGACTTCGTGTACCGGTGCCAGGGAAGCTTTTAACTCTGGCATTAACTAATTAATTAATGGCCCTCATCCCTGATGCGGGAAAAAAACCCATATAGTCTAAAACACAAGGAAGGGGTATGAAAAGAAAAAAAAGGACCCTTAACCCATAATGAAAAGTATATTTCGACAACCACATCAATAGGATCGTTGATAAATCCAAAATAAGAAAATATCCAACTAACAAAGGGAGAGTTACACATAAATTCATCAAAGTGATAATGCATTAATGAATTATTCATTTATGACCTTAAGGCATGGATCAACTCATTGTGTGAACATTAAATGTAGGTCGGTATACAATTAATATGTGGACTCATTTATCACCTCACTCCATTCATTTTGTTTATAAACAAGACAAATAAATAAATTTCACAATATTCTTTTCGGCAGTGCTTAAAATAACTCCTTAACAGATAAAATATATAATATACCTCAACTAATTTATAAAATAGATCTTGAACAAATCTGTAGATGAACTACTAAAAAATGGATTAAATCATCATTTTGACAACAGGATAATTTATCTTTATAAATAGACAATACGAATATTTATCTAGAAATCAAAACTTTTCCCAAGCTACGTAGGAGTACTACTTGAGATAAGGGCACTCCAGTCTTGAATAACTTTAGTAATTAATGAAACTTTCTTACTTGAGTCCAAGTTTTTCTTGAATGAGATTGGCATGTTTGAATGCACCTCCACCAGTTGCTTTTATAATTTTTCCAGCCATCGATTCTCTAGAACCAACTAGATTGGATTTAATAAAGTCTAAACATTGTTCTATATATTTGGTCTCAAATTTCACAAAATGGAGCCTGGCTGTTTCTGACACTTCATAAACATGATCCTGAAATTTTTTTAAACAGTTAAATGAACGTTTAATGCCAAAATAAAACTTGTCACTAAAAGTTAATATAAAATATTACGTCAGAAGAAGAGGAAACTTCCTTGTCCAAGTAATAATTCGCTCGCCTGTAAGAAAGTGTTGAATAGTAAGCAATTTTGGTAAGAGAACCACCTAAAGAATTCAAAATAAAGCAAGCAATGAATCTCATGATATTTTTAATAGAAGTAATTAACCATTAAACTAGTCATTAGATTAAATCAAATGACATTTAAATGTAAATAAACAAAGAGAATTGATGGAAACTACATATAAGTACATACCAATATCAATAGCAAAACGCTTGGCATTGGTTAAATTTCGAAACACTTTGATGGCTTCTGGTAGCTTAATGCTCTTAGGTGCACCTTTCTTATCCATTCTGTGTTCATTCAAATAACATGACAACCAAACACAAACTACAACGGACCAACACTGAGAACAAGCTGATAACGTACAACAGCTGAACTCGACTATCACTAAAGACCCCCACCCTGAGCAAATACTCCAATTAAAGAGTCGATTGTATAATCGTTATTGGTCAAGTTCCTAAACTCAGCATTGAGATTATTATTAAACAGCATCGGAAATATATCCAGTCATTTCTTTACTGAAGGCTGAGATCATTGATAAGCAACGGAAATCCATCAATCGATTATCGCTGATTTTAGGAACTTGCCCATTGTAAATTGAATTTTTTAGTAAAAGATTAAATAGATTTTTTAACAAATAGTATTATTTAAATAAACTGCTTTCCTGAGAATCATTTAAGAATTAGCAAACAATCCTCTTTAAAAAAAATAGAGGTCTCATTATTGGATCCATTCAATCATTTTTATATTATTTTATATTCAGCTGTCCTCGAGAGTACTTTCCATTTTCACATTTACTCATTATTATTTTACTTTGAACACTTTTCAAAGTAATCCAGTACTTCATTCTATAAATTACTGGAGTAGAATATTTAACATTTCTTCAATATTTATGTCCATAGTTATTTTTTAAAATAGTGTCAATATTAATGTAAATCAATAAAATATCGACTAATTGCATTAATAATGTCGTAATGTGAGATAATAAGAGAAGAAATGAAAATCATCTCTTTTTGTAAATAGAGCTGATTTGCCGGTAATTTTTGTTCAAACCTAACGGTATGTGATGAGAAGAATTAGGTACTTCTAGTGAATCCTAAGACAGCTGAAACATTGGTCCTTAGATATACGCATAGTTGTTACGACGTTTCAAGCAATTGCTAGCAATTTAGGTCCATTTCGCAAATCGCCCGAAATCATTCTAAAAAACAGATATAGCCTATTGTTAACAAAGGTTTGATCTTCTAAAAACAGTTTTCAGACCTTGCTCCAACCTATCAGCTCGGAAGTTATTGAGGATTTAACACAAGGGAACGTTGAATTTAGAATGACTATCACTACTTTTTATTTATTTAATTTTTTTTTATTAGTATGTTCGAGTATTATCAACTCAGGTTTTGACTAAATAATATCTAACTGTCTATACTGACCAAATTGCAAATATACGACGAGTTTAATTTAAAGAAAAATTAAATATTTTTCGTTATTACATACCTGTAACATTATATATTTTTATTTTATTATAATAGAGCGTTATGAAATAGGTAATACATTATATAATATTTGAACAATGTAATGTGTACAATACAAACCAAAAGACGTGGAATTTAAAGATTATATTGGTATCCACCAATAGAATATTTATACAATATGTATTTTAGGTGAAATATTTATACTTACATTGAAATAATTATTTTGCACGAAACACTTACTAGTTAACATAAAATACTTTATATAAATAGCAAATGATGAGTTAAAACAGCAATATTAAAAAAAAAATTTTTTAAAAAAGTCTATAGTAGTCTATATTTAAAAAAATAGACCAAACGTCGTAACAACTATGCATATATATATATATATATATATATATATATATATATATATATATATATATATATATAAGAATCGATATTTCAGCTGGCTTAAGATTCACTAGAAGTACCTAATTCTGCCCAGCACATACCATTAGGTTTAAACAAAAAATACCGGCAAAACAACTCTAAATATACATAAGGTGGTTTTCATTTCTTCTCCTATTATCTCATATCAGGGCATTATTAATGCTATTAAGTTAGAAATCTGGTGCGCGCAACACACAACTTTCACTTATTGCTCAACTTTGAATATAAATTGTTTTCTGGCCATGTTGGGCTATTATAAAATTTTTGAATTGCATTCTTAATCAAGCTAAAGCTAAAAGCTTACAGCTAACAAATCATAAATACCATTAAAATAACAAAAGTCCTATTCATTATATCACCGGTTGATTATGGATTGTACGATCCGTTGATTATAGATTGTATGATCCGTTGGTTATGGATTGTACGAACCGTTGATTATGGATTGTACGATCCGGTGATTATGGATTACATGAACCGTTGATTATGGATTGTACAACTATTAGTTATTGAACTGTTATTTTCCATTGCAAATTCCATTCCATTACTAATATGGAATTAAGAGATTTGCATGATCTGTCACAGACAGGTCAAAAGTTGTCACACTAATTGTAAGTGGATACTATTAGAATATCACAGAGCGAAAATTCATCAAATTATTCACTAATTTAATTTTCTAAAATGTTACATGATGATTTTTCGGAATAAACGGATTATTGATACCTAATTATTTAAATATAATATCAGATCTATAGTTATTAAACTACAATAAATATATTTACAGTTATCAACATATCTATGAAATGTTTTTATATTTCACATCTTCTTTCACACAAGTTAAATAATATTGCTTTTAAAAATTCTTGTTTATAATTTTTTCGCCGCTCTCCGTTAACTTCTACAAATTTCTATATTAGATATTGTTTTTTCTAAAATCCTCCGCTCTCCAATGATATATATTTAGATATTTCCATAGAAATAGATAGATATTTCCAACGTCTACATTTATATCCAACCTTCTGAATATTTAAAATCCGTCTAGCTTAAAATCCATCTCCCTCCAACCCCCTACAGGGGTGCCCAGAAGGGGGTTTCATCGCGCAAATCACGCCATTAAAATTTATGAGGGGGCCATATTTCGACGGGAATGTGTATTTTTGGAATGAAAAGTTTCTAATCCGAAGGCTCGACAACCTGATATATGACTCAAAAGATATAAAAATTAGCCACGATGTCACGGCCCAGTGCCGAGGGAATCTCAGCCAACACCCCCTGACCCGGGAAAACCCCTTATAGCCTTAACGGCAAGAGTAAAGTGTAATTGTATATGATCTAAGATTTTTTATATTCTACTGTCGCTTGCATTGTTTTTAAGAAGAAGAAGGCAACAAAAAATCTTGGATGGAGAGGAGAGAGGGGAGGAGAGGCTCATGCGCCATTGATTTTGGGTGGGGGATAGATATCGCTGTCTCCCTCAATCGTTGTACCTTATCATTCGATCCTTCCTCTCTAACCGCTCCTTTCGAGTACCCTGCTGGAACAGCATTTTCCGATATCTATTTACTTGAAGTCGGTGTTCTCCAAGGAAGCGTCTTGGTACCTTACTTTACATCCTCTTTACCGCAGTCATCCCTGTGTTTATTCCGATACATTCCTTGCAACATTTTCTAATGACACTGCATTCCTATCATCAAACTGAGATCTCGAAATAGCATCCTTAAATCTACAAAGGCACCTCTTCCAGATTGAATATTGGTGTAATAAATGGAGCATTAAAGTCCAAATGCAAACATATTACCTTTACGCTTCGACGCAATTCCTGTCCAGCAGTACACTTTAATTTCCATCTAGCTTCCTTTCTCAGATACAGTTCGGTATCTTGGTTTTGTCTTAGATCGAAGACTAACACGAAACCCACATACTAGACTTAAAAGTCAAGAACTCAACCGACGATATGGCCAGCAGGGGTGACCATCTTTCCCAAGGTCGATGGCGCAAGAACCTACTCCTGATCCTCTCAAAATATTTTATTAATCATATTTTTTTTAAAACAAATCAAGCTGAGGTAGAATAATAAAAATCTTAGATCATATGCAATTACACTTGCTGCGGCCTGTTCTTTGTTTTACCCTTGCCCCTTAGTCCGAAAATTCACAACCCCGTCGGAATTTACCCCTCTTAAAAATTCGAAAACCCGTCAAAATATGACCCCCTCGAAAATTTTGATGGCGCAACTTGCGCCATGAAACCCCCTTCTAGGCACTCCTGATGGCCAGCTAGACCTTTTAGCAATAATTTCAAGAAGAGCATATTACAAAACTATTTCTATTTTATAATCTAATTGACTAATCAAAGCGAATTTTTTATAAAACGTTCTTTAAGTGGTTAGAAAGAGATTAAAATGTGTTACGGAAAAAGTTTGATACTATGAATCCTTATTACAGTTACTCATATTTTCAACATCAATATATATATATATATATATATATATATATATATTTTTTTTTTTTTTTTTTTTTTTTATTTTTTTTTTTTTTTTTTTTTTTTTACGATATTATTTAATAGTATTGTAATTTAATGATAAAATGAAGTCTTGTTCACTAGACATTATTTATATTAGATTTTTTAAATAAGGATATAGTATTAAATCACTTATAAAAATCCTTTCATATTCGATATCTTATTAGAAAGAGATTTACAAATAGTACATATGAAAAGTATATTTTGGTGCTTGTGTGTTGAGGTATTGAAAAAGCTCAACATGGAGTATGGGAAGGGTTCTACATAGCGCTCAGAAATCTAGGCAATCGTCCATGTAGTCGATAGCGTCCAAGTCGCATTCATCCATATCGATATCGACGAGCATGTCGCAGGGCCCCCTATCCAAACAACTTGTATCTGCAAAATAATTCAATAGAGATTAAGCTGAAATATGAAAAGCATTTTCATTAAATCTAATTTACATACATTCAATGTTCACTCTTAGGCCTCATACTTTCGGAAATTATATCAAAACTTTTCCTAACTTCCTATTTCCTGACTCAATCACAACCATGCTCCCGGGGATAGGTTTTTTTTTTTTTTTTTTTTTTTTTTTTCTGTCCTCCCCTTCCTCGCCTTTAAGGCTATACGGAGGTTTTCTCGGGCCAGGGTGTGTGGGCGTGGATTTAAAAACTCCTCCGGCACCGGGACGCGAACTCGTGACTATTTTTTTAATAAATCTCATGTATCAGGTTGCCGAGCAACGACGGTGCAGTGCACACGCGTTAGCCCATTCGGCCACCCCGCCCACTTATCTCCCGGGGATAGCTATGAGATTTGATAATCTTCGTTGAAAATTAAAATGACTTCTTTTCATACATTTTCTAAATATAGATGAATTATGCCTCCTTCTCCCTTTTTGAACAACTACGGCAATCGCGCCTAAGACCTAGCTTTTTCCTCATTTCGGCTTAATTTGGAAGACAGGTATCTTTTGTGTGAATATCCTAAGTGGAAATATTTTAAATGTATAATCCAGTCAATGAATGCTCTAAAGGCGAAGGGTGTAGAGAGAAGTGATGGGACGGGCAGAATTTTAATCAGAACTTTGTTTGGGCACGTTAAGAGTAGTTAAAATTCCTACGGGAATGTTGTTATAACTTTCACCGACTTGTTCAAGCAATTACATTCAAGTTTATTCAAGTAACAAGTCGAAAAACGAATTTTTTTTCCCTTTCTTTTTACATTTCTTTTTCTCGTCTTTGGGCCGTTGCCTTTATGGCGAAAAGTTTCGAATAGAAAGTTGTAGATCATCATGTTTACTTTAAAATAAAATAGGGTAATCTTATTTTTCCCAAAAGTAGAAGTGGTTTACATCAAATCGATGCGAAAGCGCGGATTTTTTGCTCATACAAACTATTAACTTTTGTTTAGAATTGTTTTACGACCTAGAACAACCTGATACGGTTAATTATTTGAGCCGTTTATTTTGAAAGTGGCCTAACTCCGCTTTTCAATTTTTTGTCGGTTACTATAGTTACATGTACAACTTCATACTATATATCAGTAAAACATTTCAGATTGCTTATATTCCTAGCAAATACGATAAATTTTTGACACACAAGTTTTCAGAATTAGTTCAATAACTGAATCGTCATACACTGAAACTGACCTAACTCCATTTATTTTATACTTACATCAAGATATTAACTATTGATAATGTTCGTTCTCCAAGATTATTAAAAAGTGTCGGAAAGATAATAATTTTATTGTAAATGAAATGAGACAAAATGATTTTGTATCAACAAAATTATTAGAAGACGCAATTTTTAAAAGGGGAAAAAAATTCTGATGGAGGATCAATAAACTGGTTACAATTAATTTGGATGCGTTTTATCAGAAATGAACCGTATAAAATTTTCTATAAGACAACAATGAATGAGAATGAAAATTTTTAAGTCCTGAATTTATTACCACGTCGGGGTAGACCAAGAAAATATTGTATTGACACTACTCTATAAAAATATCAGACAAATTACAACAAAATTTAAGGACATGAGTGATTTATTGCGATGTATACCACCGGAATATCATGACTACTTCAAATCTCTTTCACACGCACAAAATATAGATGAATAGTAAATTGTTTGTTAATAAAATGTTTGTAATTTTGTATGATCTGTAATTAGAAAATATTTTGAATCGCATAAATTGTGTTTCCGAAGTGTTTTAAAGTTATGTAAAATAAATTTAGTATTGTGTTATTCAATTGGAAGCATCTTAAATTATATTGAATGGGCTTGGGTACCTTCAAATTTTATAATGAATCTGGTAGTTAATTTTGAAAATGGCCTAACTCCATTCTTGATAAGAAAACGCACATTATTCACTTAATAATTGTTACTATTTTAATAGAAACCATAAATTTAACACCATATATTCACTTAAGCAGTATGACTCATTAGTATCCTATACGTATATTTTTAAATTCATTGAAACGCAAACTCTTAAATATCTCCATTCGAAGATAAATGGAGGTATGCCACTTTAAAAATAAACGGCTCATTTAAAGCATCAATTAGGTAACAACTAGCTAGTTTTATTTTTAATTTGAAAAGTAGAAAAATCATACACCCAGGACATAAATCCAAAAAAGCTCTTCCTGAAGATTCATTAGAAAATCACCAAAATATTTTTTTCCTAATGATAATACTTAAATTTTTTATGTATATATCGGTATCTGATACAATGAGTAAATAAAATTTAACATTTTTTCTTTATCTTATTAACAAATGAAATATACTAAAAGGGAATGTATTGCGATAGTGACTAATTTCTAATTTAAATTTTTAACAGAAATAGAGGTTTTAAGATCTGAGTCTAAATAACCTATTCTTGCAAAATAATATGCCTGTTTCTGTGGCTGTACATGTACATTATATATACTTTTTATACCTGATGGTTGTTCTTGTTGTACTTCAGTACCGGCGTGCCGCGCCATTACTCGATCGTGGATTTCCCTCATTTGCTCTTGCGTCAAGAAAGCTGGTTGAGTATTAATCATAACATTTCTTGCCATCTCTGTTCTCCTCGCGTTTTCTGCTGCCCTTATCCTATTTATGATATACAGAATGAGATGCTACTTATTTTAAGCAAATATTTTCAAATCATTTCAAACCCAGATATTATAAAGTAATTTTAACAAGTAAACATCAAGTTACCTTTCCAGTAACTCCGTGGTCTCGGCAAGACTGGGGCCTTTCGCCTGGCGCTCCCTCTCCAGTCGCCTAGCCTCACTCTCCTGCCTCAATATCTCCTCTTGCCTTCGGATACCGGCGTAGTCCAGTGGACAATCGAAAATAGTATCATCCAAGTCTGGCATGTGGTGAAGGATGCCCAGGTCTTCATCGTCGTAGTCGTCATCGTCTTTGCAAATTGCAGACACGTTCTTGTTGAACGGTACGCTTCGTGCAACCAGCTCCCTGTCAACGTATTTCACCTGCCTAGATTATTTAAGAAAATCAGATATTCATTTAATAATTGCTTTCTAAAATATTATTTAAAAGGTCGATGATTACTATCAATCTTCAATCTGTCTAAACGTATGTATTTAGTCTTATAAAGATCTCGAAACATTCTGTATTTAGGCATTGCAATAGTTTAAGGAAATATCTCTTATATGTACATTATAGATCATATTTATTCCCTGGAATCAGTTACCGAAATTTTGTAAACTATTCCTTTTTTTGTAGTAGCTGTCGTAGTCACAATCTCTTTCAAATGGAATTTTATTTCTGAAAATACCTAACTATAACAACATAGTTAAAATTGAAGTAACTTTAAATTGTTGGACAATTTTCACCTAGTGTGTTTTTGGACTAAATAAAAAATATCGAATCAACACATCAAGTGAAAATGTTGCAAAATGCAAGTGTTGCAATACGAATTTGTTTACAAAAGAAAAGTAAATAAATTTTAAATAATGTATATAGTTACGTCTGTATTTTTTATTTATAATTTACCTATCCTTAAGTTATTTTATTTTTATTTAGTGTCTCTATACTTTTTGATTAATATTTAGTCGTTATTTTGCTTCTGTGTATTTTATATTTTTATTCATTCTGGTTCCGTTTAAGACTCTCGGCTAGAGTCTAATGTGGGGACAATCATATATATATATATATATATATATATATATATATATATATATATATATATATATATATATATATTAACTTGGTCTTCAGGGGTTTAAATGTACTCACACATTTGCGGAAATAAATGTATAATTACAAAATAATGATATTTTGGAACTTAAGCGGAGACCTTCCAATCATTTCACGGTGATAAAAATGTAAAACATATATATACTTGCGGTCCCACGTAGGAGCCATAAAGCATTTCAGTTAGAAACGAACACAAAACAATTATTTTTTTGGACAAACATACCACGGCACTAGAAAAATACAAAATAATGATATTCGGAAAAAAATATAAAATAATACCTCGAAAAAGGCCCTTAATCATTCTTTTGTGATAGAAAAGTACAAACATATATGTTGGGGTCTCATCGGAGAGATCCCAAAAATATGCAGAAATAAGCGAATACAAAACAATTATTTCTGTGGCCAAACATACAACGGTAGTAAATAAATACTAAGGAATGGTCTTCGGGTCTTCCCCCAATCATTCTGAGGACATAAAAAAGTAAAAAAACAGTTATGTTATTTACCTGTCGAAGGAGGCTCAAAAATTTGCCGATATAAACGAATACAAAACAATTGTTTTTGTGGCACTGGAAAAGTACAAAACAATTATATTTGCGCCAAAAATACAAAAGTACTCGTTAAGTACAAAAAAAGTATATTCAGACCTTCAGAAGGGTTCCCTCAATCATTCCGAAGTCATACAAAAGTACAAAACTTTTATCTTGGGACCCATCGAAGAGACCCCAAAAATTTGAGGAAACAAACGAATACAAAACAATTATTTTTGGGCTACTAGAAAAATATAAAACAATGATTTTGAGACCCTTGATCGAGAGCCGTCTAGCCGAACTGATATGACCGTTCATGTTTTTATGTATACATTGTGTGAACGTGATCTTACCTCACTACAACTATTGTCCAATTGATAGAATGTTATTTTACTCAATAAATAAAATAAAAATATATTTGATTACCTACAACTATTGATTGGTTAGATTGAAAACTATTATTCAATAACGTTAACATGAAATTCCAGACCAGCTTATACAACTGATTAAGCTCACCACGAGAGGGAAGGATGGAGGGGGAGAAGCAGGTTTTCTACTGTTACCTAACGTGCTCAAGCCAAAATGGAAGGATTGAGATTCACTCTATGGGTCAGCCACGAAATAAATTATAACTCGCACAGACCAAACTAGATGAGTCTAGAGGTTGCTAAGGTGACACAATGGTCCTTGAATCTTTAGTTTCTGGACAATACTTTGGGCTTGTAGGCAAGTCAACTAACTGAGCTACCACAGTAGATACATCAAGGAAGGCCAAACAGCGGCTGTGAAGTACGAGAACAAAGTGAACAGGTTATTGGTTATTGGAAGGGAAAGATTCTCAATCAAATGTTTGTAAAAGTAGCGTGAACGAGAGTTGTACAATATATGTTAAATCCATATTTAAAATAAGCTGTATATTTTATACATTGCATATCATCTATCTAGCCTAGGATGGACAATAAGCAGGTACCAATGCGACCGTACAAGGAGTCATTATTAATAAAGCAGCAAGGTGGGCTGATGCCATTATTAATAATGTTCTTAATATCCTCTAGAAAACTGAATGGCGGATCGATACAATTGGTTGATGCTTGAATTGTTGAACTGTAGAACTAACGGTCAATCATCTAATTATTTACTATACAGCGATTAATTTAAACAAAAATATCTTCAGTTAAAATTGTTAGAGTTTTTGTCTAAAAAATCTCGAGGGATAAAATATATCTGATTTCAACTCAAGATCTATCAACCAGTTGAACTTTGACTGATAATTGTCATGAGTATTTTTTTCAGTAGTAAAATATTAAATTTGTGGTCTACCTTTCCTGATCTTCACTTTTCTGTTGATATTTAAGCTTGGCCCATTCTGACACAGGATGAAAACTACTAGTATAAGCCTCCGGGTAACGAGGGTACTGAGCGGCCCACTTATCCAGTTCAGAAGGTTCCGGTATTGGGTCTTTGGGAGGTGTAAATGGATTAGGAGGCGGTGTGACCGAAGGTGACTGTGGACGACAAATTCTTGGAGGACTGAAAGGATCAGGAGCAGGAAAAGTGATGAGATCCACAGGCTCGATTAGTACTCTAGGTTCCACACTGCAGGGATCTAATGGCTCTATGTCAACTAGGAGTGCGGAACTAGTTTCGAATTGCGGCATTTCCGAGTCTGAGGGAGATTCAGGACAGGTTTGTGCTTCCTCCGCCATGGCTAAAATTTCGGGAGGGATATAGGGCAATGGAGGTACACCATGTCCCGAATCTCTTCTAAACGCATCCATCGAGGGCGGTGAGAAGTCAAAGGGTACGGATGTCACCATATTCTGCCAGGGCATACAAGCTTCTGGGGAGCGAGGTCTGCATGGCTCAGGCTGAGGTGGAGGTTCTACGGTTATGACGGTCGTCTCGTGAGGATTTATGTCACCAGGCAGTAGTACGATCTTTTGAGGCTTAGGCTGAGGTCGTGAGAATGAACCTGGGCCTGAAATTTAATTAAATGATTAATTAGATTTACCTCTAGCTCAAAAGTAACAAACAAAAGAAGAAGAAGAAAAGTAAGTTTTAATCTAGGACTAAGTCCCCTTAGGATAACTACATTAAATAAAATCAGGAATAAATTAAATTACAATGTTATCTAGATCTAAAATTAAAATAAAGAAAAGGCCATGGTAGACATATAAAATTATACATGTGCGAGTACACACAAAAAATATGGATGATATATAATTACCTGTAGGATAAAATTAAATGGGACTGACAGTTCTGAAAAACGTGAAAATTATTTTTGCACATATTCGGATGATTGATTGCTGAGAAGATGGATAGACAAATTACGTTTAAATGAGGATTTGCGAATGGAGATTGATAGGTAGCACGTATGACAAAGGATTTTTTTTAAAGAAAACAGTTCTATGAGAAGGAATAAACAGGTTTGAGGGCTGGGATGTCGTGTTGAACGATTGGGGAAAAGAACAAGGAGTAAACAAATCGAGAAGATAAGAGGGTTTTTTGGTTAAAGTGGTCCGAAAAAGGAATACACCTAGAAAGTATTGCAGTCGGAAGACTGGACTAAAAATCTAATGGAACAATTCATTAGTCTCTTTAATCAGATCACAAGCCCACCAGACAGTCCACCGTATACAAGGCAGCCATAATCGAAATGAGGGAGAAAACTAGGAGCTGATGTATTTTAGGGGGCATGGAATCACGGAATCTTAGGAACTGTTCGAAGATAGCAATGGATTTTCGGTTTATTTGGGAAATCTGATTATTTCAGGACAGATATTAATCAAACATTATCCCAAGGTTTTTAACGGAAGTGTGGAAAAGGATAGGTAGGCCATTGAGGTAGAGCAGAGGATAATAAGGAATGGAATCAATCAGATGCTTGAAACGAATGAGAATGGCATTGGTCTTCTCACCAATTAACTTTAAATTGTTGCTCACTGCCCAATGTCTTCTTGTTAACGACCGAGTGAATGCCTCAAATATATTTTGGGTGCTTTCACAGAAGTTTAAAATTTTAAATTGTAATTCTTTTATTTTGTGGTTACAAAAGATAAATATTTATATCATACACTTCTTCTGACCATCTAACAGTTTTGCTTGCAGAGTATTAACATTCTCCAACACTAACAAGGAAATATTTTAATGAACCTTAGTTTGAAAAATTAAAGTAATAAAAATAGGTAGGGGTAAAATATGTAATATGCACGTGACCAGAATCATTTACATCCAGATTGAAAAATGCATATTTTTTTTTGGAGAATGATCCATTCATTTACGTTTTATTGGTTGGTTAACATGTTATTAAAAAGTTTTCTAAACTATGAAACGTTATCATTTATTAAGGTTAGTTAAACGAACTACAATGATGATTGTTGCTGCAATCATATTTATAATAAGGATCATACATATTTAAACAAGTTATAACTGGTATTTTTCTATAGGAGGTAAACGATTTACCCATTAACCTTGAGGGGGGCCTGAGTCCTCCCTGGAACGCACTGGGCCGCCGAGGCAGAGGCGTCGAGACCTGCGGCGGGCAGGGTGCCATACTTGTATTTGGACACGGTTCTGGAGGGCAAGGTTCCGGAGGGCAAGGTTCCGGAGGGCAAGGTTCCGGTAGGCAAGGTTCCGGAGGGCAAGGTACCGGACTCGCTCTCCTGGCTACGACTGGGGTTGCGTAGGTAGCTGTCGGCGGTCTCAGTCCACTCCGTCCAGCCATTGGTGGGCGTAGTCCACCTCGACGTGGCAGTCCTGAGAACCTACGATCACATCATTATCGGTTCTAATGTAAAGAATTCTTTAAAAATGACATTTGTTATTGATTTACATATAAAGCTATCATAACTGTTTTTACAATTATAAAATCATTGGTATATTCTACATGTGAAACCATAAAATCAACTTGTTTCAGCCTGTCCTAAAAATGAATTTCAGTGTCAAGATATAGGCATATGTATAGATGTTTTCTATTTGCTGACTATATTTAAACAATTCATTATATAAAATTAATAGGTGACCGTTGTATTATAGAGGAAGGAGATGGTCCGGGGTGGCGCTCATAAATAGACTAAAATTGTGGCAAAACTATTTTATTAAAAGCCAACGTTTCGACTCGACTATACCGGTCTTCTTCAGGGAGGTGTGTTCAGCAAGGTGTTCCACTTAAAACTGGAGTTTTAAAACTTGAGTTTTAAATGAATCTCCTAGTTGAACACACCTCCCTGAAGAAGACCTGTATAGTCGAGTCGAAACGTTGGTTTTTAATAAAATAGTTTTGCCACTATTTTAGTCTATTTATGACCGCCACCCCGGACCAAATACTTCCTCTGACACAATTTATAAATCAATTGGTGGCTTTTGTCCCGTTTCAAAGATTTCCTACACAACCTTAACGTTTTTCTGTATTTTTTAAATCAAAACTTGAGTAATATATTTACCAAAATAGTGTTCGAAAAATTAAAAAATTACCTAGTTTTCGAGAAATGATATGATATGATAATAATAAACTAACCTGACCATATTTAAAAAACAATATTAAATAAAATAACTAACTATGACAAAAACATACCTTGTCTGTCGTGGACAGGGAGGACTTGGCTGTCTCTGCGGGGGCGAGGCTGGACACGGAGCTGCGCAAGGCGTAGGTGGGCATGGCGCTGGACATGGCGAAGGTGGGCATGGCGTTGGACATGGCGAAGTTCGGCGTGGCGTAGGACATGGCGAAGGTGGGCGTGGCGTTGGACATGGCGAAGGTGGGCATGGCGATGGACGAGAATACATTGGAGTTCGTGGTGGACATGGCGAAGCAGAAGGTGGAACACGTGCTGTCATTGGACGCTGCGGAACAGCGGTACCAGGCCTGTACATCATCTGCTTTGGTCGGGCTCCACCATGAGGTGCCAGTGGTGGCGCTGCAACAACCATTTTTATGCTCTACTATTTAGTTATGTAATGTTTATGAAGATTAATTAATCACTTAATAGAAATATACAATAATTAATCACTTAATAGAAGACAGTACTAATGCATTAATGTAAACAAAAATTAATGATAGGTGAATAACAGAGAGCGATATCACAGGAAGCGATATTACAAGTAGATTTGTAGGTTGGAACGCATACAAAAATATATACAATATTAACAATGAGGCGAGGGAACTCCGAGCCAGACTTGTCCCTCTAACTGTGGAGGGAAAAGCATGGCTCCAGGAGATCTCTGCATTACCCTCTCAACCGAGTCACGGGGGATAAACCCAGTGGAGATTGGGCGGGAGCGCTTTAGCCACATACACTCATGTGAGTGGAGAATCTGATCATTGCCAGAACTCCAATATTCTTTTATTTTGTGGTTACAAATTTAATAAAATATAAAAAGCCACGGGGCCACTGTCCTTTTAACCTTCTTGGAGGATTATAGGGATAGGTGGTGCTGGATAAGAATTGTGCAAGAGGGTTCAGATGATAGGTAAGGTTCAGAAGAAATTTGGACAATTTTTCTGGGATAAGGTCTAGGAAAATGGGATATTAAGCTCATGGTGTAGGTTTTTGTTGGTTACATAGAAAGGAGCATCGACTATTGTTCGAAGGACTTTGAACTGAAAGATTGATTGCGTTTGAATCAATATTTTTAAATTAATTTATGCTGCATATTTTGTTTATTTTCGGTTAGTTAATATTGACCATATTAATGTTTGACAACGCGATATGATCTATGAGCAGACATGATCTTACAGTTACAGCTTGATAGCTGGATAATAGTCTCATAGCCTAGAGGGGTTAACCAATCTAACGAAGGTGTCCGGCGAGCAGCGGCAGCCAACCCATAGCATGTCCCTTTGGGAACAATTGACAGTTCTTCTCATAGATTCACACAGATTTAACCAGAGTGATAAATTGGTCAAGATCTATTGATTATGGCTCCTCAGAGTCAATATATCACAACCTATACTTCTTTTTTTGAAACATACCATTCGTGGACCTCTGAGGGACTATTAATATTGTTAAACCATATCGGGGTACTGAATAGTGTCTGTCACAATCACTTCTATTTGCCTTGGTATGAATTGCCTCCACTATATTGACTGTGTAGTTACTATCACAACCACCTCAACCCGCTCGCCCATCCTGTTTGTATGAGTATCTAGCACGGGCGGATCTACGGGGGAGGGAGCTTTGGGGTTGAAGCCCCCCCCCCTCCCTCAAAATGGTAAAAAATAACCATTTTTTATGGAAAAAATATTAAAAAATTACCTCTTAAAATATTATTGTTCGTGTAATTACATTTAAAAGGACATTAGAAATCACTTAAACACCATTTCATATAGGTAGTTAGTTTCTTTCTTTTTTTCGAAAGTAATTATCGTTATTTTTATGAAAAAAAAGCTTTCGGGCTGAAGCTTCCCCCACCCCCAAATCCTGGATCTGCTAGTGGTACCTAGTAATTTTTAGACTACGTTAAAATCTAAAACGCTGATCGAAACATAGGAAACCAATAAATATAATTTTTACATGTTTGTGACTCTAGAAAAAAAAATAATTATTCATTTTTTTATGGAGTTTATAGAGCATTAAAACAATCTGCCACATTGAACTGCAGTAAATATGATGGCTAGATGTATTCATTCATACAATATATACATTTATTAATTTATTTTTGGCGTTACACTAATACAAGAATATGGACCTCTCTTGTTATTCTTCTCCACTCTCCTCTATCTCGGGCGAACTATCTCCATCTCCGGATTCTCATCCTTTTCAGGTTGCCTCCAACTCAACCAGCCATCTCATTCGTGGTCTTCCTCTGCCACGTCTTCCACCAGATCGATCTTCCAACAGGCGTTCGGGAATTGAATCCCTGGGTATATGCGCCATAAGCACAACCATCTGTTAGTCCTTACAATTGAGACCAACTCCGGCGTTGCATTGATCTTGTGCAGTTCTTTATTGGTGTTATTTTAACACTGCCCCACGGGAACGCTCCTCTTCCATGCGAGTAGCTTCCTTTCTGGGGTCTTAGAACTTACCCAAGTCTGAGAACAATAGGTGGCGACAAGTCTTTTGACTTTCTCGTACACTGAGATTTTTTTCTATGAGAGAGCAAGTTATAATTTATGAATTTCCTAATGCGAAACAGCATCTGTTCCCAGCAGCCAGTCTTGTTTTCAGTTCTTCCCTCATTTCACTAGTTTCTGTAATTTTTTTTTTTTTTTTATATCTGTTTATTGAGAAATAATACATTTTGCCACACTTAAGGGCACTGAGTACTAAGGCTGAGTGAGGCACATTCATACCATATGTACAATACCAAAAAAAAAAATAATAATAAAAAAATAAATAAAAAAATATAAAAATCTATATAACAAAGGCAAAAACTATAATAAACCAAGGAAATGTAACTTAGAGTTAAAATTAAATGAAATACAGAAATTCGAAGCAAAATTAAATAAATTATAAGTAATAGAAATAAATAAATAAATTAGAAAAACATTCATACTTAAATACAATATTTACAATTAGGCAAGAGATCTCCGAGTCCAGCCCTTTCCCCCACGTGTGAAGGACAAAGCGAGACTCTAAGAGATGCCAGCGCTTCTTTCTCAACCGCGTCGCCGGCATTACCAGTCCGGTGGAAACTGAGAGAGGGCATTAAAACCACAAACACTCATGACTTGAGTGGAGAAGCTGGCCATTGCCAGAACTCTGATAGTTGCTGAAGGTTGCAATGCGTCCAGATCTATTGAAACTGAGTAAAAATTGGGTCCGGAAGAAAACATGTATTTCCTTGTGCTCAAATATAAGGTGGTTCGAAAGAATAAATGAAGTTCTTTTTTTTTAAATAAATTTTCCTCCATCATCTATTTCATCTGCGAGACTCAGTTCGGAGTCAACAGGAAAAAAACTGAGAATGGAACACAAGCCTTCCCATCTCACGGCGGTCCAAAAACTACATCCCTCTTTTCTTTAAATGATGTTTTTCTGGATCTTTTTTTTTTTTTTAATTATTTTTCTAACATCCAATGGGGGACGCGCTCCCTATCAGAAATCACTAGTGCTGGTCACGATTATAACTTTTTTTTATATTACATTCGAAAATTCGTCAGCATTTTTCCTATATTTTTCTTTTCTTTAAATAGGTATTTTTTGGAATCTTTTTTTCACCGTACATGGGAGGGCGCATCCCCTAGCAGAATTCGCTAGTATTGGTCACGGATAGCAATTTTTCTTATATATACATTACATTAGGAAATTCATGTATGAGGATGAATGTTTCCTATATTTCACTTTTTTTTAAATAGGTGTTTTTGTCACTTTTTTCGATATTTAAAGAGAGGGCGCGCCCTCTGGCAGAATTCGCTAGTATTAGTCACAGATAGGTGAAGTGTATTTAGGAATTCTGGAGGAATCTTTTGGGAAGGAGGCAGCTTGGTAGATTGTGGTAGTAAAGGAATTTACGGCACTATCTAGGTCATCGGAAGTTTTTAAGGATATGTTGAGATCAATTTTATCGGGGAGGATTTGGCGGAAAAGGTCCCAGTTAACGGGGCCCCTAATAAATGACGGTGGACAAGGTTTGTGAACGGGTTAAAGTGTAACATTAAGAATTAAAGGACTATGGTCAGAGGAAAATTCAGTTATATGTATAATCGAAAAATGGAGGGGACTTAAGGCCGCTGTGGATAAAGAAATCAAGAAATCAGAATTACGGTTAGGATCTGTAGGCCAATAGGTAGGAGAGTTGCGGGAAAGAAGATGAAAACAAAACGTTGGGAATTGAGTGCAGACAGCAGGGTTCGGCCACGAGAATTCGTGGTTCTGGATCCCCATTGTTGGTGCTTGGCATTTAAGTCTGCACCCAAGATGAAGTGATGTCCTAAGGAATGGAGGATAGAACTGAATTGGGCATTGGATATGGATCGGTTAGGAGGACAATACGCTGACGCGAGGGTAACCGAAAAGAAGAAGGTTTTTATTACGATAGCGGTGGACTGTAGGAAATCGTGTGTAGGTAATTGGAGTAGGTGATGGGAGAGGGATTGGTGTACAACGACAGCAGTACCGGCATGTGCTCTTCCGTCAGGGTGGTGGGTACGATATATCATCTATTGTGGTAATTTGAAGTGCTGTTTAGTGGTTAGTCGAGTTTCAGTAATTAGTGCCACGTCAATGTTCTTATCAAGTAATAATGCAGATAGTTCGTCTGTATGATTTTGAACATCATTCACATTCCAAAGGAGAATGAATATGGGTTTAGGAGGGATGTGAGCCATTTAAGGATTTTTTAAAGGAGGGATGAGGTAAGATATGAGATTTGTGAGGCGTGATACGAATGGAGTAACAAGGGATTTGAAATCGGTTAGGAAAGCTGCTAACAAATTGGTGAGATCTGTTGCATTTGAAGGAGGAGGAATATGATGAATTTGTTGTTGGTTTTTTAGGTGGTTGTTATATAATGATGAAGAGGATTTTGAGGATCGGGTTGAGGTTGTTTTTGCTGCAAACGAGAAATATAAAACTGTGAAAGGGACCACAAACTATTATCAAAATATGTAATAAGAAAAATGCATTTAAATGTAATAAAGTGGCATTTATAGACCCTGTGATTGGCGTCTATCTAGTTCCATCTGGAACACTCAGAAAGAGCCCAGTTGCGGTACTTGCTGCACTGGTATGTGGTTGCTGCACAGCTCACATTTGCCTTCCTCCGAGTAAACGATGCAGAATTTGTACATCATCTTTCTCCCTCGCGCCATTTTGACTAAATTAAAATTAATCTGTAACCACAACGGTTGTAAAAGAAATGGGTCTTCTATGAGTTTTTTCTTATGGAGTTGTAAGAAAGTTGAAAAATTACACTTTTTTTTTTTTTTTGTCTTTCCGTTCCTCATCTTTCGGCTTAACGGGTTTTTTATCGGGCCATGGGTAAGGGCAGGATGCGGACTATTAAGTAATTATTTTATTATGTACTTTTGTTTATCTGGTTGCTGGACAACGCGTTTTGCAAACGCTTTAGCCCGGTCGGCCATCCCACCCCTAAAACCTATTTTGGACTATTGGTTATTTGCGTTTCAAGATTCGAAAATGACATCAGTGTTCTGTGTGTGAACGTATGTTTCACTTAACTCAAGATGGATACAAACTTATTTATACTAGTGAGTTACATAGTCCACCACTATACAAATGTTATGCTGGCTACATTGGCTTAATAATATTATATATTATACCCCGCCTTCTCCTTTATAGTGTTTGAGTAGAGCAGCTTTAATCAGTTTTGTTTTATTAACGATGATGCTTTGTTGGCACTGGTCATCATAGAGAAATTCCTTAATGACCACTGTAAATATTTCTTCATGTATCAATGTTCTATTAATATTATTTGCTGTTACTTATTTATTTATTACTTTAATGTGTTGTGCGTGTGTGGTGTATAGTATTAGTAAAGTGTATAGTAATATTAAGAACGTCAAACGGGTAAATTAACCAGTCAGACCTCTGTAATTGTCATATCTAAAACAAAGATTTTTTCTATTTATCTACAATATATGTGTGTGACTTTTGAACATACTCTCTCCTCTGACTAACTATGCCTTAAAAGATGGAATTTATCGTTAAATTTAATATATCTCATCTAAACTTAGAAACTTTTCCAAAATCGATGTTGAATTTCAGAATATATTAATCATGTTAGCTAGGATTATCTCCCTTCTCATCTGAACCGAATCGGAGCTCTTCAATCATCGAAAAGCTATCTTGGTGATCACAAGTTGATGGATACGTCCCAGCAAGACCAATACAAATTTAGACCATTCATAGCAAAACGAGAACTCCATAGAAACGCCCTCCAAATCAGTGCATAACCAAATGATTCAGATGCATAAGGATTCGCTAATAAATATTCAATATTTAATACCTTACCTTACGAAGATGAATGGTTACAGAATTACAATTGTTATAGTTTACATAGAATGGCAATATGAAAACAATCCTAAATTACCAACGGTTTAAAGATTGTATTCGTTTTTTTACTTGGTAAATAGTTTGGCATCATAAGCTGAAAAATAAGACTACCATCAGAACTATGATGCTTAACTTCTTGAAGTAAGTGCTTTATAATGAAGTTGGTTATTTTAGTGTAATTATAATATATATATGTAGGCTATTCTCCAAAAATAAAAATATTCCTGATCATAAATTCTACATATCTAAAGTGCTCGTGAGTATCTGTGCCAGAGATAAACCACCTTAATTTGTACCTCTTAAGAACATGAAAACATGAGTATTCACCAATACCCACAAGTAATATAGTGCGATCTGTATTACTTTTTTACCATTCGAGCAAAACTTGTACTTAAAGTGAAAATGTTACTTACCTAAAATCATCTCTGACATATACGTTGGCTGAATATGTCACATTTGCAGCTGTGTATTCCATCATCGGTCACGGAATTTATTTACTCTTAGTTCTTACTATTGTCATTATTCTAACAACTTCATTTTACTTTAATTTTTTTTTACCTACACTACTTATGTTTCCCATACCTTGTTATCTGGTTCTTTTCTTAGCCATGATGAAGACCTGAACTTCAACCTGGCAAATGTCAAAATAAATACTACCATTTATTTTTGCCTTCTTATTTGACTGATCACCCCAACTATTCTTCTCTTCATTTGCTGTATTGAAGTGACATCAGATGTAAAAAAAGATCAAGTTTTGCAATGCTTTATCAACAAGAAGGATATTGACGGAATGACATTGAAAAGTATACGGTAAAATTCACTTGCAAGAAACCATGAGTACTTACCCCTTGTGGCGACCACGACCGGTGGATTGACCGCAGAAGGTCTTGGAGGTGCGACCGTTGGAGCCCTCGGCTTGTAGCCTCTTGGCGGAGGAGCTTTTGACATCTCTGGAGGGGGTCGCCTGCAGACGGCGGCCCGCCCAGGTCCTCCTCCTCTCCCCGCTGGAGCTGCGGCTGCGGCTGGTCTGGGACATGGTGGTGCTGTCAGACCCGAGGGTATTGAAGCTGTTGCATACGCAGGCACGTGGGCCGGTGGAAGTTCACATGGTGCCTCACCATATTTGTTAATTTTCAGAGCCTTCGGTTGATCCTTTTTTTTCCTGAACCTGGGGTCTTGCCAGACCACTTCTCTCTTCCTCATATTGCTTTATTAGTTTAGGGTCTGCTATGATTTTAGGTACCCCCTCATTTCCATGTTAGCCGATTTGTTGTAATTTACATTATTTATAAATATATGGTATATTATTTATTAACCATGTGGATTTTCGCTAACCATAACAGTTTCCCCAAATTATCAGGTGTTTTTTTATTATAAATTTTGATAGATTAGAAAAATTTAAGTCTCCTAATTCATACATAACATAAACATAGTATTATTCGACGAATCTTCCGAGGAATTGGAAAATTCGTCTTTAAAATTGGAAACAGCTTTTTAATCATTTCGTTATTCATAATTATTCTGAAGAAATATATGATGAATAATGAATGTAATGTAACTGAACTAGAGGACGGTGGTCTTCAAGTTTTCTTGAACGGTTAGCCTATTTACCAATGTTATTATTAATTAAAACAATTTGCCGGGTTTTACATATTAAAAATGTTATGACAGGTGTTTAAAATATTGGCTCAAAATATCAAAAACATTAACATCATGATTTCAATAAACCATACAATTTACGAAAGGACAGTAGTGAACGTGGATATTTAATGTTAGCGCATGTATCAATGTTAAACATTAAAACATATAGATTAATAAAAATCATATTGTTTTGTGAAGTTAATTATTTAAGCTCTTGTAAGTCGTAGTATTATGACGCTTATAACGATAAATAGTAAATGAAAAGTTTTACAATAATACGTTGTATTTTTTAAAGTAGTAAACAACCTCAATTATAAGAAAATGATAATGGTTTCAACATAAGTTACCCATACACAAGTAAAACCAATATCACTAAATAGTATTAATAGTCCAAATATCCGAAAGCTAGTGCTAAAATACTAAAGATGAGGTTTAAAGAAATATTGTCCCTATATCAGAGGTAAACTACCGGAATATTTTCATTATTTTTCAGAATAACTAAAAGTATCTTGAGGATCGCAAAGAACTATTTGTTGTGAACAGTGGTAAATCTTTACAATCGAAGTGCTGCATATTTTGTTATCCTTAATAAAATATAAACGATACTTCAACTTGAACAATAAAACCACTACAAAAAAAATACGAACATGACGTCAAAATCAGCAAAATTGGACTGGAATAGTTTACCTCTGACATACAGACATAAGATAAACACAAGGAGTTTTGAACGTTTTAGGATAAGAGTCACTTCGCAGAGTCCGTCCCAATAGCCACACTGACACATCAATTTTTGAAACGTCCATTATTTCATTATTCATATCAGATCTTATGTTTATTAATTGGCCATGAAACAAAAACATCTGATCATTTCCTATTTTGTATGATTTATTTGTTATGTAAATTTAAGTATAATAAAAATTAAAATGGCCGCCTATGTTAGTAACAGTCCTTGGTGGCTGGATTATATAGATAAAATTTAATATCTCTTCATAAAAAATATACAACACACATGTTACCTGGGTGTCATTGAGCTAAAGCAGGGGTCTCTGAACTACGGCCCGCGAGCACCTTCAATCCGGCCCGCGAAAGTTTCTTTAATTACATAGTGAAATTTCAAAAACCATTTTAAAAAACGCTGCAAATTATTTCACAATGGTTTATTGTTTCCTAACAATTATACATCTAAAGTAACATTACCTTCCTAGTTACAAATAAAAATAAATTAAAGGGGATTCCAATTATTGGAGTAAACTTTTTTATTTAATCATTAATAATATGCTTAAAAAACTAGCATTACTTCAGAAACACATTAAAAAAAAAAATAATTTTTTTATATTTTTGTATTGAAAAAAAAAACCCACTTTTAAGGGCACTGAGTACTAAGGCTGAGTGAGGCACACTCTTCATATATACAGTACAATAAAAAAAAAAAACATAAAAAAAAGAATATGCATCTGTATAACAAAGGCAAAAACCATAATAAACCAAGGAAATGTAACTTACAGTTAAAATAAAATAAAATAAAGAAATTGGTAGCAAAATTAAATAAATTATAAGTAAAAGAAATGAATATAAAAACATTCATACTTAATTACAATATTTACAATTAGGCAAGAGATCTCCGAGTTCAGCCCTTTCCTCCACGTGTGAAGGACAAACCGAGACTCTAAGAGATCCCAGCGCTTCTCTCTCAACCGCGTCGCCGGCATTACCAGTCCGGTGGAGACTGAGAGAGGGCACTAAAACCACAAACACTCATGACTTGAATGGAGAAGCTGGCCATTGCCAGAATTCCAGTGACGTCTTTACAAGAGATCTCGAGACCACTGCCGTTTCAACCTTCGAGGAGGATTGTGGGGATGACTGGAGCTAGATAAGGAATGTACTAAAGTATTGGAATGGTGGATTAGGTTCATGTGAAAATTTGGGAATCGGGATGGAATAACGTCTAGGACATAAGGGATGTAAAGGTCATGATGAAGGTTTTTGTTTGTAACATAGTAAGGAGCATTGACTATCATACGCAGGGCCTTAGACTTAAAGGATTGGATGCGCTTGATTTTCGCAAATTTAGTAGTCCCCCACAGTTCAAGTCCGTAGGTCCAGATGGGTTTGAGGATGGTCTTGTTTATTAATAGTTTGTTTTCTATTGAGAGATTGGATTTTCTGTTGAGTAGTCTGTATAGCTGTTTCAGAATCTGAGTGGGATGACAGGATGGCGATATCGTCAGCGAAAGTTGCTAGAAGGGTATCGGGATTGGTTGGAATGTCAGCGGTGAAGAGAATGAAGATAACTGGGCCCAAGACACAGCCTTGTGGAACACCAGCCTCAACTGGGTAAAAGTTGGAAAATTCAGTGCCGCAGCGGACTTGAAAGGAACGATTTGAGAGGTAGGATTTGAGGACTAGGTACAAGGATTGGGGTGAGTGTTAGGCTTGAAAAGCGAAGGCCTTGTTGAACAGTGAAATGTCTAGAGCGGAACCCAAACTGATGGGATGGGATATTGTGGGTTTCGAGTATGGGTAGGATGCGTTTGAGAAGGATTTTTTCAAAATTTTTGGAGAGGATTGGGAGCAAGGAGCATTCCAGAGGAGAATGGAAAGGGGTTTTATTGAGGGTATTTAAGGAATTCTTGGCGGTGAAATAAGGTTAGATATGACATTTATAAGTAAGGAGATAAGTGGAGTGATAAGAGATTTGAATTCGGAGAGGAATGATGAAGGAGGGGCCTAAGATCATTGGAGTTTAGGGAAAGTTAGGAGGAGGGATGTACATTTAAGGAATTCTTGGCGGCGGAATAAGGTTAGATATGACTGGTGGTGACTGGACTTTTGGGTGTTATTAAGTTGGGGTGGCGGACCATGAGGTTGTTGTTGAGTTTGTGTTAGGGCCTGAGGTTGAGTAGGCTGTTTTATTTCTCGCAGTATTTGAGCATAGGAGACTTGATTGTTCGTAAATCTTGTCTGTTGCACTTGGTGGTCTGAAAGTCCTGGATGTCTCTTCCTGTCTAAGAGCTGTTTGAAGTCTTGATTTTAATATTTTGTAGGTCTGGCATCGTTTGTAGTTTACTGGGTGGTCTTTATGGCATAATGCGCATAATTCACCGCGTGTTTGCCTAGACTTACTGCATTCCTCCGACTTGTGTTGTTGCCTGCACTTCACGCAGCGCGGTAAGCGGTGGCAATAACTTTTAGTGTGGCCATAAGATTGGCAATTATGGCATTGGACTATTTCCCTCTTGCTATATGGTTTTTCAACAACTATACTAGTATAATACAGGCGTCTTAATTTGTAAATATTTTCAAACCCAGTGGTGCGCTCTAGATCTACAAAAAATAATAGTAATGCTATTTTATAATTGTGCCCGGCTGCTCTTTATTTTCTTTAAATACATTAACAATTTGGCGGACACTGAATCCTAGATCCGTTAATTCTTCTTTGATTGCATCAGCTGGAGTTGAAGAGTGTAGGCCTCTTATAACTACTCTTAGTGCTCTCTCTTGGAATAACTGGTAAGTGTGAAATCCCGCCTTTGTATCAGTTAAATATTTGACTATATTTAAAAATAATTTTTAGGGCAATCTGGTATCAACTTGGTGTCATTGATTCGACTTTGACATATTTATTTGCCGTTGTCCAGTAGTTTATTCAGATGCTGGCAAAATAGCGGGAATTTTTTTATATTTCTAATGAATATTGGAGGTGGTTTTGGCTCTCTGGGGGTTGGTGGTATTTCCATTGTTTCTTCTAATGACAGTAATTGATATGAGTTTGGAGTAAAAATGGAGATTCATCTGTTTCTCTGTGTTTATATTTTGTGTATTCATAGTTTTCGTTGAAGAAGTACCGGGTTGAGGGTCATTCATGTTATCACTTGGATTGTCAGGTGTTGAACGTGAAGTTTTTCTATTAGAATTCCTAGATCTTTTATTTTTGCTAAACATTATCATGTGATAACATCGCATATCATGAGGGTAAGGTGATAAATGAAAGAGAGAAGTAAGAAGAAAAACAAAAAAAAGTTTTTAGTACGTAAGTAATTACGTAGACTTGTAGAGGCCTCCTAAGTACACGTGTTCCCCCTTTACATTATTTACATTGCATGCATAGTTCCGACATTTGTTACAACCATTCCTCGTGCAAAGTTTGTTGCCCGTTTTCCGCGCGCGCTAAAACATAATATTTGAGACTGAGTATATACTGAATGCATAGAGCGGCTTTATAGTTTGATCAGTATGATGTTTGGAACAAATCTATCTAATCTATTTGGAGAATAACTTAATTTTTTTTAAATTTATTTATTTAGAAATATAACAATTTGTCACGTGGACAATAATTATAGTGATATATGATATAACACATTCATACCATATATACAGAAAATAAAAAATTAACAAAAGCAAAATAATAATAAAAATCTATGCACAATAAAAAATAAAACAACCTTAAGATAAATTAATTAAAAACATAAAAACACAATCATACCTATACAAAATATATACAATCAGGCAGGGAACCCCAAGCCAGGCTTCTCCCTCCAACTATAAAAGGAAAAACGGGACTTCAAGAGACCCCTGCGCTACTCTCTCAACCGCGTCACTGCTGCTAAAGCCAGTGGAGTTTGAGCGAGAGCGCTTTAGCCACATACACTCATGTCTTGAGTGGAGAATCTGGCCATTGCGAGAATTCCAACATATATACTAAAATAGATCTCTGGGCCACTGCCGCTTCAACCTTCGAGGAGGATTGTAGGGATGAGTGGAACTAGATAGGGATTATGTTAGGGGATTCGGATGATTTATAAGGTTCTGATGGAATTTGGAAAACATTTCAGGGATAAGGTCGAGGACAAATGGAATATTAAGGTCATGGTGTAGGGTTTTGTTTGTTACATAGAACGGAGGATCGACTATTGTCCGGAGGATTTTGGACTGAAAGGATTGAATGCGTTTGATGTTAGAAAATTTAGCTGTCCCCCAAAGTTCAAGTCCGTAGGTCCAAATAGGTTTCAAGATTGTCTTGTATATCAGTAATTTGTTGTCAATTGAAAACTTAAATTAAAAACAACAATTTTGAACAAATTTATGATTATATATTTATGTACATTTCTATCAAGGCTGTCCTAATCTGCATCTGTGGAAGGAGTCCGACAATGAACGCTAGACAATCTACGTAGTGATCTTCCGTAATCGAGAAGTATCTTCGACGTTAAATACAGTGGCGTAGCTCGTAGGTAGCAATGAAAAAAAAAACAATATTTTTTAAAGAGAATTATTAATGTATATATTATGAGCTCTAATAGGTTCTGTTTAGGTGGGAGTTAGGGAAAAATGTTACTAGAGAAAGTAGCGCCTCAGGGATAAAGATAAAATTCGTTTTTTTTTCTGAAAAGGATTAGGTAAATTAGGGACAAAATCCTTATGAAGTAAATTCATGCATTATCAATAGCCTAAGAGCTAATCTAATAATAGACCAAAACTTATACAGAAGACATGTTTATTCGATCTTGTTACGACATTGATTTCCTATGTATTAGTCGGCGGTGTTCCTGCGGACTAATTATATGCGGTGATGATTGAAGACGCTCGTGGAATTTGGGAACCACTGACTTAGGTTCAGTTTCATTGGGGCAGGTACTTAACTTCTGGCGGACGTATACAGGTTCTTCACCATCTCCTGAGATCAAGTAGCGGGCCACTTCTGCTCTCCTAGCGGTTACCTTTAGCAGTAATAGCTTAGTGAGATTTATTGTAAAATGTTAGGTAAAATTAGGTAAAATGTTGATCATCCTTATATAATATTAAGTATTACAACCTTTGAGGCCTAAGAAATAAAATAAATATATTTTATAGGCTGAATTAAATACGACACATGATCGAGTTATTCTTTTAGTTTGTCATTATCGACTCGAAAGCAGAATGAACTCTATTTACTTCCAACATAACAAACAAAACAAGATGAGTTCCTGACAATGTGCTTACAAAAATCTGATCTGACATCCGTAGGTACTTTTCTTTTTTACAATAGTAATAAATATTTATATAAATCTGGGTCTACAAATACTTTTCATATTTAAAATAGTTGGTTTAAATTTACTGTCACAAATGTTATAGTAAAAAATATGAAATCCAGTAAATACTATTTCAGAAGAAAAATTGTGTTGTTCGTTCAGAATAGCCATTACGAGACATTTTTGGTGTAATGAATTTGATGTTATTGAATTCGTAATATTCTTTTAAAAAACATTTACGAGCAAAATCAGTACCATCCCGTACCAAATGTTATGCAAACTTCGTTCCTGTAACTAAGTGAAGTAATCGGTGAGGTACTGCTGAAATTATCATCAACCTTGGCTTTTGCAATTTATTGATTATGATATCAAACAGAATAAGAAAAAAAATCTGGTGAGCGCATCACACTACTTTCTCTTACCATCCTGTTAGCAGAAATAAGTATTTTCAAATAACGGGAAAGTGAAAGCTATAGACGCTATATTTATTTACATTTCATTGTAGGAATCTTTATTTCTTTAATTACCGTTATAGATACAAATTTTAATTTTTATATCGTTGTAATCTACACAATTAAATATTAAATAATAACGATATGTTATTAAATAATAATAACAACGAGAGAATTTATGAAAACAGCATAAGTATATGTACATAATATTGTCGAAGTGTGTATTATATTAAGCTCATATTAGGTATGGAAGCCAGTTCTAATTTTTCGGGTGAGCTCGGACATTTCATTCTTTAAGGCTCGAAAGTATTCGAGATTGTCTCAGCTTGGATTAATTAGAGCTTTTAATTTAGCAGCTACTATTTTATCACACATGTTTTTTAAACAATCTTCATGGAACCACGATTTATCCTTAATATTTTTTTTTCCAAGACATGAGTAACCGACTGCTTTAATATTATCTCTTATCTCTACCCTATAACTTGTATCATTGCGGTCCTCGCCAGAAGGATCTATAGCCTCAAACCTATTCTTAACATCTTGTTCGAATTGGGGTCTAATTGGTGTTTTTTTTTTTATTTTTCCAAATTAAAATTCTTGACATCGAAACGGTTTTTTTCTCTTTTGTCTATTAGCTTTTGTGGAAGTTTCACGATTACTAATTCATGACCCGACCCACATTCTGCTCCGCGATAAAATCGTACACTAATTATACTCAGGGGTGCCTATCCCCCATGGTCGAATGGCACAAGAACCTACTCCCCCTCCTCATCCTAAGATATTTTATTGCCCACCTTTTCATACAAACAGAGCAAAGTAAAGTATAACTAGAAAAACTGTAGATCATTTACAATTACACTTGCTGTGATCTGTTCCATATTTTCTCATTGCCCCCAACTTTTTTTATTTTTGTCCAACCCTTCTTTGTCTTTTAGGCTATATGGGGGTTTTCCCGGGCAAGGGATTAATGCCAGAGTTAAAAGAACCCCTCGGCACCGGGACGACTCTTATTCTGAAACTTTTCATTCTGAAAATTCACAACCCCATTGAAATATGCCGTTTCTCCTCAAAAATTACAAAATCCATCAAGAGATGCCCCCTTAAAAATTAACCATAAAACCCCCTTCTAGGCTCTCCTGATTATACTGCTTTTGCAGCTGTGATCGATTGATGAAGTCAAGATCGATTTGATTTAATGTTTGAGAATCGGGCGATGTTCAAGTATATTTATGAATATCCTTATGTTTAAGCATAGTACTTTCAATTATCAGGTTTTTCTAGATGACAAATTTTATCAGAGGGATATCATTATTATTACTATATTCGTACAAACGTTCTTTACCAATCGTCGGTAAATAAACTTCTTCCCACCTCATCTTTACGTTAATTTTTCAGTAGTTCACCAAAAACCGATTCGAGCTTATCATAAAATTCGCATCACTGTCTTCGGTCGGAAAACGTATGTTTATTAACACGATTTTAAACTGACGTCCTTGAAATATGGCTAGCGAAATTCTATCAGTAAAGAATTGTATGTTCCTCAAAGCGGATAGCAAACTATTCCTAATTAGAAATTCGGAACCTAAACAATGATTTCCGCTTCCTCCTTACCAAATAGTGTACTTTCCTTCCCTTCCATGATTATTTGTGGTGTATGATGAACTAAAGATATATGAGTAGGGCGTTTAGTCACACCCCTCACATTTTTGGTCAGCGAGTCCATCAGACTTAGCCGGGAGGAACTTCCATCGACCATTCCCACATCCACCAACCGGTCGCTCTCCTACGCGAGGAATCAAAGTTTACATGATTGAAATAATTACGGATTTGCGTCCTGATAGCGGGGAGCTTTTAACTCTGGCATAAATCACCCACTTTCTACCCTTACCTCAGAAAAACCTCGTGTAGCCTAAAAGAAGAGGGGCCAAAGGAGACAAAAAAGAAGTACACTTGATGTTCTAATTCATGGCTAACTTCCTCTGTTTCTACTGCCGTACACGAACTCTTCGATGTATAAATATAACTTGGAACATAAATTATAACTAAATAGGCTACGCTGACTAGCTCGTCTTAAGCCTGCCTTCCTATGCCTCTATGAGTGTATTTAAACAACTGTTGCAGTGAAAATTAAATCCTATCCTGTTATAACTTGAAGCGCAAGCCATGACCGCAATTAACATTCTTTCCGTATTAACCGCAAGAACTAAAATCTACACCCTGGAAAATGTAAATTATAACGAAAATTAAACCGGAGAGTGTTTAATAAGATTTTAAGAAAATAGATAAATTTACTACATGTTTGTAGACTTTTAAAATACTAATTAAAAATATTCATACCGCAGGTTCTCTTTCATATAAAACAGGAGGAGGTCTAGAGAAAAGCCAGCATCCTTCAACCAAATCTTCGAACTTTTTAGATGCCAACCTATAATTGTTCATGATTAGAGAATCGAAAAGAAAACTTGACACTTGGTACTAGATCTATCAATCTAGAAATAAACTGGACTCGGATATTATGAAATTATAAATTGAACCAAAAATTAGTGAACTCCGAGATAACCGTAAACCAACACTACCATTTCCTTTTTGGATTTAGCAGACGTCAAAACACAGGCGGATCTACCGGGGGGGGGGACTTTCGGGCTGAAGACCCCCTCCCAAAATGATAAAATATAACCATATTTTACATAAAAAAATATTAAAAACTATCTCTTAAAGTATTCTTGTTCGTTTAATTACATTTAATAGGACTTCAGGAACCACTTAAACACCATTTCATATAGGTAGTTAATTTATTTCTTTTTTTTTTTCAAATTATTTTTATGAAGATTTATGAAAAAAAATCTTCTGGGCTGAAGCGCCCCAAATTAAGTCCTGGATTCGCTAGAGCTTCAAAATAATTGAGTTAAATTAAATCCAAACCTATAATGGGAATTGCTTCAAAAACCTAACTTATTTCAGTGTTTTATATTATGATCTAGTTATATAAAATATATCTATCTAAATTAAATGGATGATCCTGTTGTCTCAATAAAAAAGGGTTCAAAGAAGATTAAATGGTCCAAGAAAATAGGTTGTTTATTGTTGGTAATACAGACATTCCTTTTCCTTGGACCAACCTGAACCTGCAATAAGAACTCATATTCATAATCAGGTCTTGTAAGCTATAGATAAAAATAACACACTACCTGAAATCCTTAGATCCCTAGTTTTAGAAAATATTTCAAAGAGGCACCCAGAAAAGTCATTCCATGTTTTTACTAAAGGTTGAGTGCTAATATTTTATAATTTGCATTTACTTTAAGTTAATTTTAATATAAAGTTGGTAATATTTTTGTCTTATTTTACATAAATACACACACACAAAACGAATCAAATGGTGTATTGTAACCTAAAAATATTCTTATATTGTTTTCAATTTAATATAGATGAGATTAATATTTTTAAGAGACAACTCATGCAGTAGACATTATTTGCATATAAGTTATATGCCATCCACTTATTCCAGACTCGGTTTTTTATTATATGAAAATACTTGGGCTGGGTCACTAATTTTGGGGTGTGATGGGGATTTTATCCTCTTTCTTGTTGAAATTCTTTGTTACCAACCCTTACTAATCAGAAAGAAGATACAAGAATTGCTGGTAAATATCTCCATGCCTTTTGCAGTTGTTCTGTTCAAGATCTAATTATCCCTACTAGAAGAGAAGAGAACACAGTTTAAGTTTTATATAGTTCCTTGTCCAATACCGGATCTATTTTCTAAAATATTTATGGTAAATCCAGATCACTCATGATGTTACACTTTCAAAGATAAATGCTTGTCAAAACTGGATTTTGAGAGCAGTTTATCATTATCCACTGATAATTTGTCATTATGATTTAAACAATATGCCATAAAAGAATTTCTAAAATCTATGTCTACAGGTATTGAGAGATTCAATAAATAATTGAATGTACCTCTTGACCTACCTCCATACAATCCTTGAAATAATTCTTGTTCCACCACCTATGCCACATTCAAACTTCCGCAAAACATGTAAAATTAACTTGTGTCTGTACAATATATAATTCAATCAATTGCACAATTGCAATTGTAATTAACAAATAATTAGGCATCATTCTGTATTCTTCTAAGCCAGAATAAGGCTCATCTTTAGATAAATCTGTTATTATTCTTAGGGGACTGTAGTTCCAGAATAAAATAATGTTTTCATTCAATGTAATTAAATATACAACTAGCCCTGTCATAAATATTGTTACAAGGAAATCTATTAATTTTTATTATAAAATCTTAAATATATTAAGATTTCAACAGAAAAACGAATTTTTTCAAAAACTTTATTAGAAAATAAAATTTATATCTATAGAGAGTAAAACAAAAACTAAATTGCTCAAAATGTCTCCCTTTTGCTTTGACAGGCCTTTTGACCGTGGCCAGTCATCAATAGCAGCACACAGCATTTCTTGAGGAAAGCGCCCAACTGCTCGGACCAGAGATTGTTTGAGGCTTTCTAAGTTAGGGTGTGCTCTGTGGCATGCCATCCTCTCCAGTTCGGACCAAAGCCGATAATCTAGTGGGATGAGATCAGAGCTTCCTGAGGGCCAATCTGAGGCAGAGATGAACTCTGAAATGTTCTTTTACAGCCACTGCTGAGTTGACCTGGCATTGTGAGCTGGAGCGGAATCCTGCTGGAAAACCCAATGACTTCCAGCAAACAAAGTATCACTTAGAGTCTTGACAAGTTCAAAAATATCGTCCTGATTGTTTTTAGCGGCTGTTTCAACTCCTTTTTCACAAAAATGGAGCTTTGTGGTGCCATCAAAGCAAACTTTCCACCAAACCATCACTGAAGAAGGGTGATGACCTCTTTGTACTCTTCTCATGACTTCCTGGGCTTCTTTATAGCTTTGTGTGTACACACGATCATTTTGGCGATTAAATTTTTCTTCAATTTTAAACATTTTCTCATTGCTAAACAAAATATTTCGATGAAGACCATTGGTATAACGGCCAAGGAGCACTTTGCATCTATCCACTCTAATTTTTTTTTAGGAAAGTGGTTAGCCTTTGTCATGCCATTCTTCGAAATGCACCCATCTTAAGGTCACTTTTTACTATGCGAGACATTGATCTGACAGAGATTTCCATTTCCCGAGATATGATTTGTTGTTTTCGAATGAGATTTCTTGTGATTCCACTGCTCTCATTGCATTTGCCGTTCTCATAGAGCGAGGACGGCCCCGTCGAGATCTGTCTCATACAGATAGAGTCTTATTATATCTATTTATAGTGCGATACACGAACATACGACTGATACCCACTTGTCTCAAAGTATTGAAAATCTCTGACCTACATTTTCCAACTTTGTGTAAGCTATTCGGTTTTCTTTATCACCCCACTCCATGTTAACTGAGCGAAAGAAAAACAGAAACTAATTGGAATTATTATCCTGACATGTAAAGAAAATAATCTGATAGAGGTAAGGATTATCTAAATAATACCCAAGGATATAAACAAAGTTCAACTTTTGTAACAGTATTTATGGTAAATACCTAACTAGGTACTACTAGGTAAATACCAAATATCCAGGAATATTAAAATAATTCCTTTTACTTGGGTATTATCATCCTGATAGTTTGTTTGTTTCTTTGGGCTTTAAGGCGTAAAATTCTAGGATCAACACCTGTTTGTTCGTTATTTTTGTTCTCTGGAGCTCAGAAGCTCCTTACAAAAAAAACAAGAAATTATATATCTCATCCTGATTGTTTCTGATGTTCGTCCGATGACATTCACACAACTTAAAGAATCTGACACAATGATAATAAAGAAAAGATAAAAAATAATGGAATTGAACGTAGAAATGTCTGTTGGTTGCTGAATGGCTAGTTTCAAAATCATGTGTTTAGTTTAAGAAGGAAAGTCAAAAGTGCTGGTGCTTTATTTGTAACTAGCTTTACCTGGTCAAGTGCTGCTGTGGCTCGTCTGGCAAAATGGAAATGTAAGAAAATAGAAAGCACATATGAGTGGATTAATACCAAAGGGCATCTGTAATTTTTAAAAAGTTGAGAAAATTTTTTTTCTGTAACATAGCTTCCATTTAAACTAATTCTAATGATTTTTTTCATGATACAACTTGAACATTCTTAATCATGAGAGTGAATAAGCCGTCATTATTAATCATCAGAAACAGCCATAGTTAAACTTATAAAAATAAAATTGGCTCTATCTTCGCTTTAAAAATGACAGAGTTCCGTTTTTGATATGAAGCCACTCATAATTTTCATGTTTAACCTTATTTTGAATTTTTTTTTATATTTACTGTATTTTTTAAGGTTGAACTTTGTGTTAATTATTTTATGGCAAATAAAAATGTAAATATTCGTTTGTTCAAACTCTTAAATCCCAGAAAATTCTTCACCCCTTGCCATAACGTTGCATTTCAATACGCGCATGGTTTAATATACCTATTATTATAAAATATAAGGTGAAACTATTAAATTTTAAACTTATTCAATTTTTGAAACTGGTAAATATTTATTAAAAACGCACCATCAGTTGGATGTAAAAGCAACACATGAGGTTAAAAATATTTTACGATACTGTTTAAATTAAAGATTTTCAAACATCAAACGTGACAATGCATTGAAATTGCGTTATACCATTTAATATAATGTTAATTTCGAGTGCATTAGAACGGCCATCCACCTCCCTCAAAAGTTTTCGTCTACCCCTCTTAATATATTAGATTGCTTGTATCTTCTTAATAAAAACTTGATTAAAATAGAGTTATAAAAATTGTAATGGAAAAATAAACCTTAATCATGAAAGAAACTCTACAGTAAATGGCACAACCTTGTTTCAATTTAATGTTAAAGAAAAAATTTATCAAAAAATAAAATTTGAGAAGGAGTTAATTGGGGGGTTCGGTCAAATAAACACTAAATTAAAATATAGTATTTATTTAATTTTTGCCGAAATTTCGATCCACTTTGCCGGTCATCTTCAGGGCATAGGATGTAGCACTGCGGGAGGCAGTTGAAACACTGCTCCAGTGTTTCCAGTCCACACCCAGTGTTTCAACTGCCTCCCGCAGTGCTACATCCTACGCCCTGAAGACGACCTGCAAAGTGGCTCGAAACGTCGGCAAAAATTAAATAAATACTATATTTTAATTTAGTATTTATTTGACCGCACCCTCCAATTAACTCCTTCTCATATTATATCAACGGTCAACCATCTCTACATCATTAAAAAATAAACTAAAATCATATAACTGATTTCTAAAAGGAACATAAATAGTGATAATTATTACTCAAGAGTTAAATATTTTTAAATAATAACAAATCCTGCTAGAGATGTATCCTACTACTTCCAGAATATATTGAGGAAAAATAAAAAATGAATATAAAGAGTGTATAATAGTATTGACCCACATAAGGAGAAACATATCACTTCTTCAAATGATAATTTCAATTACTGCAGTAATTATAAAATTTCGATCAATCAATAACAAAAAAAAAAAAAGGTAAATGTCCTTTGGTGAAGAGAAAGTTGTAAATGTTTCAAACTCTATAACTCTGCAACGAATTGTCCGATTTCGATGATTTTTTTTTTTTTTTTTTTTGTAGGGAATTCAAGAAGCTTTCAAATAAATGTGGGTATTATCAATAAAAAATTATGTACTTTTTTAGTTGTTCATGGGGGAGAGGCATGCGTGTGTTACAGCATTTTTATATTATTATTTATTGAACACGTCCACTGCACTTTATGTATTTTTTATGTATTAGGTTTAAAAGAGAGAGGAGAGAATATGTATAATGGGAGAGAAGGAAGAAAAAGGGTGCAGAATGATAATAAATGAATGAAAGAAATAGTAAAAATAAGAAATAAAAAGGAAAAAAATAATAATAATATATATATGTATAAAATATTGTATACTATGCTCATACATATTGTTAATCCTATATAATTGTATAATAATTTTAAATATTGTCTGTAGTGATTAATAAGTATGCTGTGTTGTTAGCAACCCAATGTAATTGGGCTGCACCATTTTATTTTATGATAATAAAGTGATTCTCTCTCTCTCTAGCAAATAAAATTTTGAATTCATCGTAACATTTTTTGCAGCTTGTTTTCGGGAAAGTATGTTATACTTAAAAAATTGAAAGGATTTCAAGAGGAAGACTTTAGCCAAGTTTCGTTAAAATCGTTCCAGCTGTTTTGGAGCTACAGTGTATAGCGGTATTTTTTTTTACACATATATAATTATCGTAGGACGGATGTATTATGCCAGAAACCTTCGCGAGTGTGTACGCAACAACTTTCTATAGTTTCATATCGATCAGATGAATGGTTTAGTAATGCATAAAGGACAAACAGACAGACAGACATACATTCATTATTAAATATATATATATATATATAGTGTTATAAAATTAAATCATTATAATTGGTAACCAATACAATATTTAATTAAAAATAATTAATAAAGTATCCATAGTGCTGGATGAAAAATTACTTCAACCCTCAGTAAATGACTTTATTATAGATAAAAGACATTATTTATTTCAATAATAAATGCATTTAAAAGTAACTGTTTTTAGTATTAAAAGTAACTAGTGTTTAGAAAATAATTTCTATAATTTATGAGGAAAATAAGCAAAAATATAAAATTGCAAAATTAAAAGTAATATGACTAGCAGACTAAAATTATTCATGAGTAATTCATACAAGAACTAGTAAATTTATATAAGAGAAACATTGTTAGACTGGCTTTAAGTCAGTTGTTACATATGTTAGACTTAATAAAATAAAACTTCAACATCAAAACTGCCAAAAATAATATTATATTTCATTAATCAAAGAAATACGAAATTACATTCATAAACAACCGTGATAGAGTATTCTTATACAATTTATTTAAAAAAAGATATAATAGACTATTCCTATATTATTACAAGATTAAAGATCAAATCTTATTTTCAAAAAGAAATATAATTTACTGTTGGTCATTAAAATAATAGTAAACAGTACTGATAGTTATTAGGAACTGAATTAGATAAGATTTAAAAAAACTTTCTAATTACAGGAGGGTGTTATTAAATTGAGTAACCTAACCTCCTGAATTTCTTGATCCTGCAAAGGTATCGCTGTTGTAACCTACGTTAAAGTTTCGCTATTGTAACCTACGTTAAAGGTATCGCTTTGTCAAATTGATGAAGTGGTTCTTTCTTAGGGATTCTTTGGTTCTTTTTTCACTCTTATGATCTACAACTCTTTTAGAATTGTTTACTAATCATTTTATGATATAAATAGCTAAACTAATTGAAATAACGACAAAAATAACAGTGACAGCATAATTAATAAAAGTATAGAAGTCAGTTTACCAAAATTTATTCAGAAAAGAACTTTTTATATGGTGGTATTTATTTATTTTATACAATATTAAAAACCAAATAAACATAAGTAATAAATGAACCTCAGAGAAAAACTGTTTGAAATAATCAATTGGCTGAAACATGTCTCAACATTTTTGTGTACAACCTTAAACAATGTTGGCACTGGGTGCTCCACTCAAAATCGTTTTTACTTCTTATAATGCCGTTCTGATTAGGCGGTTTAAGGCAAAGGAAAGATACAGGTTCATCATAAATTTTTATATCTTTTTTTTTATTCGGCGGCGATAACAAAACAGTAAGGAAGCAAAATAGCTACTTTATCTGTAATACAAATGAATTACTTTAAATGGTAGAGTTTCCTGCTACAATGAAGAAGAATTGATGTGAAAGAGTATTGCTTCGGCATTTAGGCGATGATGCTTCAACTAAATAATAAAAACAATCAGACTTAGCTGTTGTAAGAGGTTTCCACCATTGAGGATCACTTGCTAAATAGTTCGAGATAGCACTGCTGAAAGGAAAGAGTGCCAGAGAAGATGGGAATACTCGGAAACTAATTAGATCATGCAGAAACTTTGTCATTTTGACGAACACCACTACCATTCCTGGGTTAAAAAGAATGGAAATCAGTGGTGATTATGATCAGATATTATATCGATATAGCTGATGCCAGTTTTCTTAAAAAATTCAGTAAATGACTGTATCGAAAGTTTATGGAAATTGAATAAAAAAAAAAGAAAAGAAATAAAATTAAAACTTAAAATATAACACTACTCATTAATGTTTCACCTTTATGTTTTGAATCGTTTTTTAAGTGCACAAAAACATGGAAAAAGTACTTAGTTTCTGATAAACATATGTTTACTAAATTAAACAATTATGCCTTTTATTACTATAATTACGGTTTGTTTTCACATATAGTTCTGTCATAGGATCATTAAGTAACATTTTTAATTATATCAGTAATCTTTGGTCCCGACAACTGACCTCATCTCCTAATAAATAAGATAAATCAAAACAAACACTATGAAATATATACCATTCGGTCATTACCAGAAATGAGATTTTCATTGTTTTGTGAGGAGTTAAGAGTTGAAAACTTTCATGAAGGGATGTGGTAGGTAAAAAAGAACTTACCTATCACACTCTGATGGTTCGACCACTATTATATCTGGAATTCTACCAGTTATTTTTGCACATTTAGTCTTGTGTTTTTTGGGCATTTTTTCTGATAATTTTGAGAAGTTGAGAAAAAAATTCAAATGAAACAGCTGGAATTAAATATTTTTAATGTTTAACAGTAAAAAAAAAAGATATGTTACATTAGTTTAATTTTGTTTGAAACTAATAGAGTATCCTCCTGTATTAGGGTCTTGAACCATCTGGAAATTGTTTGTGGAAATTCCAAAAGGTTTCAGCAACATGTTTCCTAAATCCTTAAGCTTCCCTGAAATTATAGAAATAACACTTAGATAGCAACATTTTATACTGATTATCAAATTTCATATCAATTTCATTACTATTTAATTAGGAAAAAATAATTTATATTGTACATAATACTTTAGAATATAGAATATGTAATATTTTTTATATTCTGAACTGAAATATCTTTTATATATTATTGAATTAGGAGATCCCAGTAAGTTGATGAGATTGACAACAGCATGTACAAAGGACCCTAAATGTTGAGTTCTAATACAAGAAGAAGGATCTGAAGCCTTCAAAGTTCGAACGGCTTATGGCAGGGAGATGAACTATCACTTATGTTGTTTAACTTAGCACTGGAGAAGGTGATAAACAACATCACATGAAAATGGAGGAGTCCACATCGGAATGAATCATAAAATCCTTGGATATGCAGATGATATAGCTGTCCTAGGAAGTAATCAAAATAACTTTAAGAAACTGGCTAAGACTCTGATAAGAGAAGCAAATCAAATCGCCCTACAAGTAAATAAAGACAAAATAAAATATATAATAAGCTGAAAATTCAAATACCTTGGCTTCAAAATAACCTCAATGAATGACCAAAAGCCAGAAATAGAGCTTATAACAAGTGCAAACAGAGATTTCTACTTCCTCTTAAAGGTATTGAAATCCCAAAACTTCTCAAATTAAGGGCATACAATGCTATGATAAAACCAGTTCTAATATATGGCTGTGAGACCCAAACACTAACTGGAAACCTAGAAAAAGGGTTCAATCCCATCTATCCCAGGGGCTTTCTGCATAATTAGATTGCTCACAAACTTCACGATTTTCTCTCGGTCTGGTGGGATATCATCCTTATCTAGTTCCCCAGGTTGCGGGGGTTCAGGATCAAGTCGTGGTCAGCTTCAAGTGGCCTTCTGTGGCGTGATCCTTATTTCCCTGAAATATTCTGCCCATCTGCTGACTTCTTCCTTAACCATAACTAAGTTTTCATCTTTATTCTTACAAAAGGTGAGGCAAGGTTTAAAAAGCCTTCCTTCTCGAGTCTTACACCTCCAAAGAAACACATGGAATAATGGTCTTCGAATTTTTCCTGAATATTTTCCAGCTTCTTCCTTTCCCAGATTCTTTTCTTCTGCCTGCAGATCTTTTTTTCTTATGTCACTATACTCCTTGGCTGTACTTCTAATGTGATGCTGAATCATCCTACGCCTTGCCTCATTTCTTGCTTTGAGTATTGTCCTGCATTCGTCATCAAGCCAGTTGTTTCTTGCCTAGGTCTAGGTTTTTCGCTTAGCTCCTCCATTGCTGTTCTATTTAAGGCTTCTTTCAGATGTGATCTTGAGGAGACATTGTTTATTCCTCCATTACATACAAGTAGCTCAGACATTCTCAAGAAAAAATCTTGTCTTGTACTTTCGCCCTTCAGCTGTTCCACATCAAAGCAAGGCAGAGGCTCTTCCTCATGCCTTCAACACAATTTTTCGCTTATATTTTATTTTGACTAAATGGTGGTCTAATCCGCAAACTGCTCCTCTACAGCTTTGGACATCTAGAATATCTGTAGCATGTCTTGACTGAATCAAGACATGATATATTTGATTTTTTGTCCTGCCATCTTGTTGGTTTTGTTATTTTAATAACCTTAATGATTTGTTAGCTGAAAGCTTTAAGCTTAAGCTACGTTTAAATTGCACTTCAAAAATTTTATAATAGCACAACATTGTCAGAAAATAATTTCTATTCAAAGTAGAGTGGTAAGTAAAAGTTGTACACATCAAATTTTTACTTTTAGAGCCTTGGTCAATTTCTATTTTTTGAAACTCTTGACACTATTTTAAATAAGGAAGAGTTATACTTGACCATTAACACAAGGCATAAACCATAAATAAATAATATACCATAAACTATAATCCATAGAAATAAATATTAGAAAGGCAGACACATCGAAATAGTATAATCGAGAAAATATATTGTTAAATTAATGTTATACTTATTCTGTAAATAAATAAATAATTATTAATGACCATAATATTTAAACAATTACCTAACATTTCTGTCTTCATTTTTTCATTTCTTTCATTAATCATTGATGGAAGTCTCTAAAAACAAAATAAAATAATGAGCAAACCAAGATTTAATATGGAAGAAATAAACACAATATAATAATAAAAAACAACATAAATGGTACTTTTAGAATAGAGTATATATTTTGACATGAATAACAATTTGGTCAGACCACATGGCAACATCTACCAGTCAATGTCAAGCACAACATATAGCTATTTCAAAAATAAGATATTATTTTTTTATTTTAACAAATTTTTAATATAGAATTAATCTTCTATTTTTAATTTAAAATAATATAGGCATTTTTTAATGAAGAAAAAGAAATATGAGTTTAAATATCAAGAATAAAGACTATGACCAAAAAACAGTTACTTTAATGAAAATTACCATGCATGCTTCCATCGCTTCTCTATGGGATGAATCATATTCTAGGATTTTTTTGAAATCTTCCAAAGCTTCATCTAACTTCTCAGAAGATTCATAAAGCTGTGCTCTCCTCAACAATGCTTTGATATAAGAAGGCTCCAATTCAATTGCTTTGCTAGAATCTTCAATAGCTGACTCATTTAATTCCTAAAAATGACAACACCAAAATAGAAAAATAGAATTCTTCTCGATTCAAGATAAAAATAAAAATTACATACCAACTTAATTTTTGCAGCAGCTCTATTGGCATATAAAATCGCTCTGTCTTTGGGATAGAGTAAAGGACAAGTCCTTAAAGCAAGGGTGTATGTTTCTGCTGATTCCAAATATTCTCTGTTTTTAAACAATTCATTTCCCTTAACTTTTAAAACTTCAGCTTCAGATTTCAGTTTCTAAAACAATAAACAACACTTTAAGACTGTTTCCAAATATTGAATTATAAGTTCTTGAAATTTGATTAATACCTGAAAATCTTCTTCAGAATAAGCCAATTCTTTTGTTTTCAATTCATCCTCATCAATATAATCTTCAGCTTTAGGTTTTTGTTGACTTGGACTTTCCACATTTTCGTCTAAATACTCATCAAAACCATCATCATTTTGTGACGAAGATCCTTCTTCAGTTTTTAATAATTTTGAATCATTTGGTTTTATGTCGCAAGTTGCTTTGAAATCTTCTATTAATGAATTTACAAGTTCATCATTGGTAGGAATTGTATTGACCGGAGCGGCACTGTCATCTCCTGACATTTTAATACTTCAAAACTAAGCTAATTAAGTACTTAAATTAAAAAAAACATCAATCTTGGCAATAAGATTTAATGATAGATGTCAACTACACTGACAAGAATCGTAACCTACGTTATAAACATGCAGTAACCTGCCAGCCAATATTTACGCAACTTGACTTCTCATTTCAAATATATAAAAGATAACTAAGACGTTATTTGTTTAATTTTATTAATTTTAGTCATGAATTATTTTCAGAAGATTATTTTTCATTGCAATTTTCTGAATTGAATTCGTTTGATCTCATGTTACATCATATCTAGAGATAAGTTAATCTTTGTTGTGGTTAGAATTGTGATTTAGTAAAGTAGTTGATCTATTTCAAAATGCTGACTTTGTATAGGAATGTTGGTTCTCCATGTTTAAGTTTGTGTATTGTACGAATGAAGCACAATATTTCTGATAAAATCAAACAGAAAATTGCTGATGGTCCAAGCCTTGAAGAGTTTTTAGCTGGAGATGTTACTGACAAAGAAACTTGGGCGGACTACAAGGGTAAAATTAAAAGGGAAAAAGGAGAAAATGAAAGACTTAGACTTCCACCTTGGCTCAAAAGAGAGATTCCAATTGGTGAAAATTATTCTAAGATAAAAGAACAATTAAGAGGGTTGAATTTACATACTGTGTGTGAAGAAGCTCGGTGCCCCAATATTGGTGAGTGTTGGGGTGGTGGAGAACATGGTACTGCTACTGCAACTATAATGGTTCTTGGAGATACTTGTACTAGAGGATGTAGATTTTGTTCCGTAAAAACATCAAGAGCACCCCCGCCACCTGATCCTAATGAACCTCAAAACACTGCTAAAGCAATAGCCTCTTGGGGTCTAGATTATGTAGTACTCACATCAGTAGATAGGGATGATCTGCCAGATGGTGGCTCCAGCCATTTTGCAGAAACAGTTAAAGAAATAAAGAAACAAAATAGCAACATTCTTGTAGAGTGTTTAGTTCCGGATTTCAGGGGAGATGTCATTGCTGTAAGGACTATTGCTGAATCAGGCCTTGATGTATATGCTCATAATATTGAAACTGTTGAATCATTGACACCTTTTGTTAGAGACCATCGAGCAAAGTACAGGCAATCACTTACTGTCTTGAAAGCAGCCAAAGAAATTAACCCCGAGTTAATCACAAAGTCATCTGTAATGTTGGGTTTAGGGGAAAAAGATGAAGAAATAGAACAAACTTTAAAAGATTTAAAGGAAGCTGGTGTTGATTGTATAACATTAGGACAGTATATGCAGCCAACCAAGAGGCATTTAAAAGTTGTAGAATATGTTACTCCAGCCAAGTTTGCACATTGGGAAAATATTGGGAATGAAATGGGTTTCTTATATACCGCAAGTGGGCCTTTGGTCAGAAGTTCATTCAAAGCAGGAGAATTTTTTCTCACAGCAGTTTTAAAATCAAAAAAAGAATCCCAGTAGTGCTTATTTGCCAGCTGTAGCAGCTTTTGATTTGATTATTAGATATACCTTAAAATGGGTGATCTTTAGACCTAGGGTGTAACATTTCTTCAAAACTAGAATATTTTCTTTGATGATGTATTTAAAAACTTATGAATGACTTAGAAATGAATTTTCTAGAGAAAAGACCTGTTTACAAACAGTAATTTATGAAACAAAGTTTTTTTTTTAAGTTGGATATAGAAGTGGTTTTAATTTTGAATCAATGTTACACACCAAGGTGTAAAGATTCCTTATTTTACGGTATTTAAGATTGGTTTTCATGTTACCATTGTTGAGCTATAAATTACTTTATTTTTATATAATGAAAATTATTTTTATTGAGGTTGTCATTCTAAATGAAAAAAAATCTTGAAATGGCAGCGAGGAAACATCAGTGATAGAAATTTAATTTTTAGATAGTATTTCAGTTATAATATATAATGTTTACTTTTTTCCATTTTTTTCTTTTGGTTTTATAGATCTTAGAAATAATTTTCACTCCTAACCTAGATCTGTAAATAATGTAAGAAAAATATTTATAATAATAATATGGTTTTATTCTTATTTTATAAATTTATTTATTGCTAATATAATTATAATAAACTATACAATTGTATTTTACTCTAAAGTCCTATTGTTGTTGACAAAAATGTGACCAATTTACTAATATTTTTCAAAAATATCATGCAATACACTATTTATTTTATCTTAGTTATGTTATTCTGTGCTCCTAATCTTCTGATTTTATATTATTTTAGTATGTTTCTGGGTTCTTACATATCAATGTCATCCTTGCATTTATGTGAATTTCACAACTGTCAATTCTCTAAAATTAATAATTTGTCAGAAATAGGTCTTTTGTTAATAGCTTAGTTGGCAGGAATTAAATGGATGTCATTAGAGCCCAAACTTCCTTTTGGTTATTTTATAAATTATATGATAAGTGAACACTATTATGACACTTGATGTAAAAAATGTCGTACCAACATTTGTAAGACTTTTGCAAATGCTTCTTTACAGGAATACAAGATTAAAAGTTATTTTTTTGTTTATTATTGAAATTTACAACTGTATTAAATAAATACAACTAGTTGATATCAACAAATTAAGAATGACATAAACAGACTTGGTAGCACTCCCTAAATAGTTCTAATTAAGAAGATGACAAGGCTGTCTCCTTTCAGAGGCCTAGTAGGACTAACAAGAATCGAGGAGGATGGCTGGAAACAAGTGGTTTCGGATGTTGCTGGAGTCATAGAAGGATATGAATGTGGGTCGGCCTAGATCAGCGAGAAAATTAATATAATATGATTACCATTTTCCAATTCAATTAGTACATTATTGTTTATATTTTTATCAACCTTGTCTTTTTAATTTTTTTTTTTACATTTACAGTTGAGTATCTTTTTTATTTACTGTCAGTCAAGTATTGTTACATTTTCTGTCAATTCTATGTGAAATACCTAAAATTTTCTATTTAAAAAATTGCTTTTGAAAAAAATAAATATTTAAAAATTATCACTTTAAGTGTTAGTGCACCAATGATTTTTATATATAACTTGAACGTGGAAATCAGTCTTTATAATATTACAGAAAAAAAAAAAGTGTTTCTATCTTATAATCCTTATTCTAATATTTAAGTTTTGTGGAAACTAATTCTGATTGGGTCATTATATTTGTTTTATTTATCTTTTTTTTTTTTTTTTTTTTGAAATGCTACTGACAGTAGTTTGAACGATTATAAACTAACTGAAAATGTAAAAATAATAACAAATGTAAAAAATAATAGGTTTATAAAAATTTAAGTAATAATAGACTTATTGAAAATTTGTCACATATTAATATGAACTTTTAATGCTTGTATATCTTTTAAGGAAAATCTGTGCTCATATATTTAATTTTTTTAAATCCTAAATGATACATGCAATATGTCCTCAAAGTGTGAACCTTCAATCTTAGTACCCTATACACTGGGAGTCTCTTAAATAATTAGAAATGTTTAAATAAACGATAGTAACATGAACCTCAAGAGCAACTAAAAATTCATATATAGAGTTATGGACAGAGTTCCCAGAGATGGACAGTTTGGCCTTTAAATATAAATAATAACCTTCAGGATTGGTTTACAGCTTCAAGGATTTAGGACAAAGCTTTCTGTTGACAAACATAGGAAGAAAACCTCCAAAAGTAGGCTTAAGAAAAAATATCAGTTATTTTTTAAGTAATCTCGAGGTCCCTATGTTTGATAGCTTTTTACTAACCAAACTGACAAGGATTAGTTCTACATTTATTGTTTTTTTTCTGGGAAGTTGTATGATCTTTGTTATTTGGCAATGATTACTTCCAATTAGCAACAATTGAATTTATTTGTTGTATTATCAAATTGCATGTTTACAAGTTAACGTTTCGGGATATTTACTCCCATCTTCAGAACCACAATCCCAATGATCTTGTGAATACACAGCTAAAATATTGAGTTAAAATGTAGTGCATGTTACAATACATGTCAGAATTGGGTTGTTACAATAAATTTGTAATTACCTTAAATCTAATGTGCTCGTCAGGTTCTAATTCAATTTATAATAAATCAGGATATGTAACATCCAGAGCAACATCTTGCTTTTAGACTAATTATTGGGTGTCTGCCATAGTGAATACAATTGACCTTTGGATATGACTGTTTATTTTTATGTATCTGCAATTTCATTTTTATTAAATTTTAATTTTGTTTAATATGTCAGCATAATGTGTTCCTAAATGTTAAGTGTCTATTTTGTAATTTACTGTTGTTCTATTGTTTTTTTGTGATATGTATGGCTTCAAGTAATTTCCTATTGGTGTTTTTTTGGTTGTGTGCCTAATCTGTGGTTTATTGGAGTTGAATTTATGCTGTAATCTTATGCCGTGATGTGCTAAAGCTGTTGTGTTGATGTTTTTTGTATTTTTACAGTTAGTAATATGTTGTGAAATTCTGGTCCCCAATTGCTTGGATGTTTCACCAATGTAGATTTTTGGGCCGTTTTGACAATTTAATTTGTGTATTACATTTTTCTTGTTTATTAAGTCTATTTTATCTTTTGTATTGGTGATGTACCTGCTCAGTTTTTTATTATTATATTGCCCGGGTTTAATGTTTGTTATGTCATAATTTTTGAACATGTCTTCAATTTTGTTAGTAAGTTCGGGTATATATCTCATTTTGTAGTAGTAGTTTAAGTCCATTTGGTTTGTTTGTGACATGTCCTGATTGTTCTGGTTTGTTGGATTTGTTTTCTCAAAAAATTGGGTGATGAATTGTTGTGTAGGTTTCTTTATTATAATGTTTTCTTTTGTATTGTTTGTTTTTTTGTTTTATTTTCATTATGGCTTAGTGTTGTATGCAATCAACTGTACCAAAGTTTGTTGATTAAGTTTACAGGGTAAAAGTTCTCGATAACTATTTCTTTTTCTGTTTTTACTCGTGGAATGTAAGGTTTGTCCATAAGTTCTATTGATTTGTGTATTAGGTTCTTGGCTGTATTAATTATTTGATGTTTGGGATGGTTTGAGCTAAAGTCAAGGATTCTATTACTGGTTTTCTCTTTTTTTGTCCATTTGGTAAGTATCTGTCATTAGTCCAATATTATGTCCATCTCCAACAATCTGAATCTGTTTGTGGCTTTTTCTATTGTAAATCTGATTCTTTTGTTATACTGGTTGAAGCTTTTCATTATTTCATTTTCTGAATCTTTTTTTATTATAAGTAGCAAGTCATCTATGTATTTTTTTTATTAACAGTGGTTTTTGTTCTAAGTTAGTTAGCTGTGTTGTGATCAGTTTGTTTAAAAATGTAGTACTTAAATTTGCTGACAGAGTACTTCCCATCCCGACTCCCCAAAGTTGTTTACAAAATTCATTATTGTATTTGAAATAATTATTTCTTGTACAAAGATTTATTCCTCCGTTGAATATTCTTTTATCGTTAATTTTTATTTCATTTTTTACACTGTCCCAGTTGTCATCTGTAGTTTTTGTACATTCATCTAATGGGATATTAGTAAAAAGTGATTCAGCACCTAAACTTATAATTTCTACATCTTTTATATTACATTGGAAATTTTTAATTATTTCTTTCAATGCTATAGCATTTTTGACATCGAAGTTATTATTATTATTAAGAGCGTTGAGGGATGGCTTTAGGAATTTGGAGAGAGCTTCAGTTGGTTCATCTATATTGTTTATTATGGGTCTTAATCTATTGTTATTTTTGTGTAGTTTTATGAGGCCATGGATTCTAGGTTTAGCGGAGTCTGAGGCTGAAAGTTTATTTTTAATGAATTTATCTATGTATCCTAGTTTATGTAGTTTATTTACATATGTATTGACTTTACTATTTCTTCAGTTATCGGATTGTTCCTTATTTTCCTATAAGTGTTTTTGTCACTTAATAGCTCCTCCATTATGTCATTGTAATATTTTTTATAGAGTATTGCTATTTTTTTATTTTTTTCCGATTTTATTATAACAATATCATTATTTCGGTCAACGAACTGCTTTAGCTTGATAAGGTCTTCGTTTATTTGGATATTGATAGGTGATATTGTTTTATTTTTGTTGGATACAAAGTTATTAATAAGTGTACATATTTTATTTCTTGTTACATTTATATGATTTTCTGGTGTGTGTAAATTGCCAAGTATGTTCTCAATATCTATTTTTAAATTTATTATATCTTTATTTTTGTTCTGGAGTTTGAAACTAAAATTTTTCCCTAAAGATAATAAGTTAATGATCTTTCTTGGTATTTCAAGTTTTGTGAGATTTTCCACTCTGTTTTTCGTGTGAAGATTATTGTATCTTTAAATTATGTTTTCATTATTGAGATTCTGTATTATCATCATTTAGTAGGTATCCATTGTGGTTTATATTTGTTGCTTTCATTGAGGTTATGCAATTGTTTGTTGTTTCATTTAATAAACATTTAGGAACACATTATGCTGACATATTAAACAAAATGAAAATTTAATAAAAATGAAATTGCAGATACATAAAAAATAATCATTAAGAACATAGTATAAAAATAAACAGTCATATCCAAAGGTCAATTGTATTCACTATGGCAGACACCCAATAATTAGTCTAAGAGCAAGATGTTGCTCTGGATGTTACATATCTTGATTTATTATAAATTGAATTAAAACCTGTCGATGGAGCACATTAGATTTAAGGTAATCACAAATTTAATGTAACAACCTAATTCTGACATGTATTGTAACATGCACTATATTTTAACTCAATTTTTTAGCCATGTATCCACAAGATCATTGGGATTGTGGTTCTGAAGATGGGAGTAAATATCCCGAAACGTTAACTTGTAAACATGCAATTTGATAATACAACAAATAAATTCAATTGTTGTTAATTGGAAGTAATCATTGCCAAATAACAAAACAAAATTCTACATTTATGTTTATAGCACTTTAAATTTAGGATTATT